TTTAAATAATATTTTTTCTCCGGATATATGAACTATATTTATATATTTTTATTTAATAAATTAATAAAAGTTATGTACATAAAACTTTTTATTTATAAATTTAATTCCCTATAGTTATGTGAAGTCAAGACATAAATATTCAACTAAAATTTGTTGACAACTCACTACATTTGATCTCTTGTTTGATAAAAACGAGGGAAAGACAAAAGATTAATTGCTCCTGCTCCGTATTGACATTTCACTAAAATTTTAGCAACTTGGTCAAGCGGAACTTCCTGACTAAGAGTGAGTCATAGATTTACCCTCTAGTCTCATCGTCAGTGAAGAATAAATCTATTCTTCCTTCCTATCTTTTTTTCTTTTCCCCTATTGTCCCCTTTTTACCCACAATACTCTCTCTTTTTTTCTGCAAAATAATTATACGTTTCGACTTAAAAAATATAGTAAAATATTATATTAACTTTTTTATATTTATAAAATAATAAAAATTACAAATTTCAAAATTATTATAATTACATATTTATTTTAATAATTATTATTTTATGATTTTAGAACATTACTAATCTAAGAAACTATATATTTTATTTATATACCCACACAGCACCCAAAATTCCCTGAAACTTGACAGAACCTCACACGGCAAGGTTAGGAAACTTGAGTGGCAAGGTTCATACAAGTTTGTGCCGATGTTTAAATGTCCACATGAAAAGAATATTTACACGAAACTTTGAGGAAATATTACACTATAAATATTCACGTGCAATGTTCAGTCAATGTTGTGTCAATATTCACCTATACTTATTATATTTAGTAAATGAAATTTTTATAACTAGGCGAAAATGTAATTTCAATATTTACACAACATTCACTGAACGTTGCACGTGAATATTTATGTGTAATATTTCCTCAAAGATTGTGAGTATATATTATATATATTTCGTGGGAACCTAACCTTGATGTATTAGCCGGCCGGTGGCACGTTTTGCTTGTTGTGTCTTTTTTATTATCTTTTTAATGAAAAAATGTCAGGACTATATATATATATATCTCGTTTTTCAAAATAATATATAACATTTTATTTAATGTCAATAAAAACTTGACATCTGAGATGGTAGGTATTTCAAATCTTTACTATTATGGTAGGTTTCCCAAATATTTTCTAAAATTTCATGTTTCTCAACACTCACCTGAATTGGCATGTTTGTTCCTTTAATCGACGAGTATTATTTTTGCGAAATAAATTATTACTGTCTTGTGGAAATTTAAATATACGTTAAAAATGTTTAATTTTTTTTTTTTGAAACACGAACAAACTTAATTGTATTATATTGAATAATTTTCAACTGAAATAATAATTGATTTTAAAACAAAAATAGAAGAGAAAATTTGTTCACATCAAAAAATGATTATTTATTTCTCATTTAAAAAAAAATTTAGAAAATAGTTGTTTCTAAAAATGACAATGTAAGTAGGAAAAAGTTACTAATTCATGTTTTCCAAAATCTTTTCTCAGATTTGTAACTTTTGAAAGAGACTGTCACGAGACAACTTCCTTAATACTCGTGCGCAGTAGTTTTCTATGGCATCTATGGCTTCGCAATAGATTTTAATGATTACAGTCCCTGAAGGTCTGGGGATGCACAGTGGGCAAAAATGCTCTTTTTTGTGTAAATTTTATACAACTTTTTTTTATAGAATTGATTTATTTAAATAAATCAAAAAACAAATGATATATAGCTTACCCAGCAAACACGCGTTCTATAAAATATAATTGCTCCATAAAATTCTCCAGTCAATCAAGATTATTTTATTTTTTTATTTTATTCATTATTTTATTTTTAATATGACCCTAAAAACCCCTAGGAACCAAGTTTTATAAAAAAAAAGAATATTCTATTTTGAAGTGTTTTGAATTAAAAACAGTTTTTCTTTGATTTATATTTTTAACCTAAACAAAAATTTCTTTGAGTCAAAGAAATATTTCTCCCTTACTTAAGGACGCTGAGTTACCACGACTGCGTTGGCGCAGATTACGTAAATTCGTAAACAGCTTTGTGTGTCTCATGGCAGCGTGCAATTATAATCGGATTTATAGTCTAAACAAGTTTGTACAGCTAAATTTTGTTTGATTCAAATAAAAAATTTCGTAAAATCAAAAAAATATTTCTTTGAGTCAACAAAAAAGAAGTAAAGAAACAATTTCATTAAATCAATGAAATTTTTCTTTGACCCTATAACAATTCACAAATTTCTTTGATTAAAAGAAAACTTCTTTGAAACTATCTTTTTTCTGAGTGCAGTTCAGCCAATTTCAGCATATTGAATATTTTCTAAAACGTTGCAAAAAAAGTTTAATATTGTTTCTAACTTTTTATGAAATTCGTTTCGAGGTCTTATTAGTGACATCATGATTTATTAAAACATATTTAAGTATCATTATAATGTTCCTTACCCAAAAGATAATTAGGAGGCCACTTGAGGAATTCTTACCCATATGTTCTATAAGTGTTCTAAAACACGGAAGTCATAACTATTCCAGAAATTATATTTCCTTTCTGATAAAACGATGCTAAAGTCGTCTAAAATTTAAAAAAAATTCTCTTCTCGTTTTAATAAATATCAAGAACTCTGTTCTTGAATTATAACATTATATATGTATCAAGTCAACTGTTGTTCTACCGATCCATGTAATGCATGGTTGCCATACTGTCAGGGGTAAAAATTTTTTGAAATAAAGTTTAAAAACATTGTTTTCATTTATTGTTTAAGAATTGAAAGATTAATTTTGAAAAAATTTGTGTTCTCAAATTTTAAGGGGAGGTACCACCCCCAATCCCGTGTATTAGGAAATCCACATTTTCTTGTGGCCCTGATCTGTCCCTGATCGGGGCCAAATTCACTATACACTGAAAAAAATTTGCTTCGCATTAATGACTATTAACCATATAGCAACTTTAAAACTAGTCAGCGTAACCAAGCATTCTAGTCAATTCAGTTATGTAGCAAGGTTAATATTGTCAAAGGCGATTTAGTAGAATTGATCCCTTGTTTCCTAGTTATATTAACTAAGATTTTTGGTTAATATGACATGTATCTATAGTCAATTTTGCTAAAGTTTATTTAGTCAAAGTGATTCTAGTCAATGTAACTAAGATACCTGGTTATTCTGATAAGGTTCCCTGGTCATTCCGACTAATTGTCGAAATCAACTTTGACCAAGATTTCCTAGTGGGTTACTCTCGTAACCAGGCAAATTAGTCAATTCCTGGTATACGGGTGTTCGAATTTTTTTCAGTCAAAATAAGAAAATTTTTGACCATTTTATAATTTTTATTTTTTGAAAAAATTTAAAATTTTGAAAATCCATGCGAGAGATTCTTAAGAATCATTAAAAAAGTGTGGAAAAAAATTGTCGATGAAAAATAGTCAAAATTGTAAAAAAATATAGATATAGAACAAAAAAATCATTTTGAGCTCCTATAACTTGACAACCTGTCGAAATTGTTAAAAATAGTTTTGGTGTTTAAATAGGGGAGAGTAGTCAGGGTTGGACAGTGGTCAGGGTTGAGCCATCGCGTTTATTTTGTTTTATTACACTAGATCCATCTGTCTTTGTATGTAAGTATTTGTTAGCAATGTCAGCGAACTTTTCACATACGTTATAGTGAAGTGTGCGAACAATAAAGACGTATTATGCAAGTCAGTGCTGTACGCTCAACAAAAAACTTTTTTCTTGTTTCAAAAGAAGACAATTAAGTGCAGAAAAAATATCTCAAAGACAAAGTAACTTGACTAAAATTGTTCATTAAGATGTTATATGAAAATGTGGAACGTAATATGGTGTTTAGATCACGCGTGTGTGTGATGTGACGCTAAACGACAGTGGCTCAACCCTGACTACTTTTTTTTTTAATTATAACTCCGAAACTTTTGGTCAAATATTTTTACAATGTTCAGCAAAAACATTACATTTTAGTAGATCTTTCGAACCATATGCAAGAAATCTTAAAATTCGGCTTACAGGGGAAGTTGTAGAGAAAAATCAAAAGGTCAAAACTATGTCCAACCTTGACTACACTCCCCTATAGGTCCACTATATAGGAATATAATGGTAAAAAAAGTAAATTTCGATTTTTTCGACCCGAAGTCTCTTTTAATTCACAAACAATATCAAAAGAATAATGATTAAAAATAGTGCATTGATCCAAATAATAGGTGATTTCAGATGTTACAAATTAAATTGTCCCTCAGGGAGCAAATTAGATTATACGGTAACTCGAGGGATATTTGAACGCGGTGCATATTTAAACGAGTCTTATCTTTGGAGATAATTTTCCGATTGATTTTAAAGACAAGCACCGTCATTGCGGTTTATTGCAGTTTGTCACTCTTCGCAGGAAAGTTTCGCCTAACAATAAAAAATCTTAAGAATACTGAATACAAAAAATCAAGATTAATTGATTTACAAAAAAAATTTATTTGATTCAAATAATCTGTTACTTGACTATTATCGCAGATAAATATTTATTTACATCAAATAAATATTTATTTAGATCAAACAATTATTATTTAAGTCTTAAATGGTATTTGTTTCAAATACAAAAATTATTGGTTCAAGTAAATATTTATTTGAGTCAAGTAACCGATTATTTGAATAAAATAATTTTATTTTTCAGTATATGGGACCATCCATAAATTATGTTGCGCTTGAAGGGGAGGGGGGTCAAGAATTTGCAACATTCAATAGAAAAAATGGCAATCTAGATTCTATCATTTTCTATCCAGATTGTACAATGTAACATCTTGATTGTAGTGGGTAACATAACCATACTTTTTGTAACATCTTTGATACAGTACCGAGTAGCATAATGATAGTACCGGATAACATCTACTTTTTACCATCTTAAGATCATTAGTTCTTACCATCTATATTCCTCTCCGTAAATACTTATTATTTTTACCATTGATAAAAAGGTTTAATAAAAAATAAAAACTGAGAATTTATTTTAGAAATATTTAAAGTATATAATTGAAATGTTACGAATTTACATTGGTCTGTATTTAATGCATAAAACATAAATTTAATATTAAATTATCATTTTGTTGTAAAGTAGAATGTGGCGTTATCGGTAAAATGATTGCCGCGCGTTTTACACGCTAGATGACAGTATAATTGTTTTCTTTGTTGCCTAATTTAAAAATAAAAAATAAAATAGGGTCAGTTGGGGTAAATGGGGACAAGATGTTTTGGAGCTTAATTTACAGTTTTAAAATTAATTTCAACGTCAATATTTTAACCTCAGATCACCTGCAAGAGGTTTTGAGTATTGTCAAGCTTTTATCTTGATAATTGGCAGCAAGATAAAAAAAGTTATCGCTCAATGCATAAAAACTTGAAAATCAAAGTCAAACTGTTTCAGTATTTTGCCTCCATTTCAAAGAAAACAGACTTAAAAATCATACCAAATTTTTTTCTTATTCCTTATGACTCCTATAACAGAAATTCACTTGAATTTTTGATTTTTCTCAATTTGGTTAATAATGACAAGCTGTCTTCCATTACCCTGAGTTTTCAAATTTTTGGGGTAAATGGAGACAGCTTTTCATTATTAACCAAATTGAGAAAAATCAAAAATTCAAGTGAATTTCTGTTATGGGAGTCATAAGGAATAAGAAAAAAATTTGGTATTTACCCCAAATTTTATGAAATTTTCTAAATTTTGGGGTAAATGGGGACAGTCAGTTTCATGCGTTTAAAGCTTATCTAAATTTTTTTTTCTGCTGCATAAAATTAATCCTGGGAATGTAAATACCAACTTAAACAATTATAAACCCGCAAATATTACATTTTAAAGGAAGAAATTTACGTAATTTGTGAAAAATAGCCATTTCTTCCCTATTTACCCCAACTGACTCTAATACAAATTTATTTATTATTAATCAATAATAACAAATTAATTAAATTGTTTATCTATTCAATTCAATAGTAATTTTTAAAAATTTTAATTAATTTTTACATTATTTCCACTCACTATGAATGTGCGACGAATTCATCGCACATTCATATTTTTCAATCCACCAGGGAAGTTTTTTTTAGATATATCAAAACACCCAAAAAAATATTAATTTTTTTCTTGAAAAAGTACAATACTTGTGTTAAAAATGAAAGATTTAATTAAATTAAATTTTCAGTATATAGACGAGTTTTAACAACTTTTTAGGAAGAGAAGGTAATTTTCAACTAAAATAATATTTGAAATTGAACAATAAGAGCATAAACATTGTAAGATTTCAGGATCTAGTTCCTGCGTTAGCTTTCATAAGGTTATTCTCATATTAAAGGCTCATAAGTCATGTTGGTTGACTGGCTACCCACACAATACAAGAATTAATTATCTGAACATTGCCAGACGTTTTCACTGACATTTTTAGACTATAAAAATTGTTAAGCTCAGTAAATACTGCCCTAAGGAGAACAAATTTATGCATGTGAAGAAATGTTTAACACGAAATTTGCTTTCAAGAAAAACTAAAAAATAAAAATTTCTTCAAGTATAAATGTTTATTTTTTTAAATTTAAAAAGAAATTCGTAGTGACATTTATTGAGGTAATTTTTTTGTATTAAACATTTTTTCACATATAAATTTTTTTTGTCAAAAAAATTAAGAGTAAAAAATGTCAAAATACAAAAGAATTGTTTTACATTCGTTCTTGACCTTTTAAGAACATTTTTATGAGTTTCCGCTGCGCCAACTTCCCACAAGGCATTGTGTTTCATATTGTACGAAGAAAACTTATTCTGAGAAATAAGATTCTAGGTGGATGTTTTCAGAAAATATTTTTTAAAAAAAATTTAATTTATCAAATCAGAGATTTATAATAACTTAAGCTGATTATTTTAAATTCTTCTAAATTTTATTATTTAATAATCTTTTCACAAATATTTTCATAAAAAAAAGAAGGAAAAAATATTTTGAATAAAATCATCGATTAAGAAAATTTTGATAAATCATATAAAATGATTTTAAGTTATAGTTAAAAAAATTTTTTTTTTCTCTATTCTTACAAATTGTTTTTGTTTTGTGTTTATAAATAATAATTATTGTAAGGAAGAGATTTAATGTAAAAAATTATATTTTTTGTGTTTTCAATTTAGTTACATCCTTTTGTGTAAAAAAAAAGAAATATGTAAATTATAAGATTTCACCTACATAATTAAACTTACCTAATTATTATGAGGCTAAACTTACTTGTATAATTATTATAACAATAATTTAAAAAAAAACTTTCTCTTTTACCAAAACATTGTATTTTTTGCTCTTATAATATTTTTGTTTACATTTAAATTTATTATATACGTTTTTTCATTACTATTGTATTTATTTTGTTTAAAAACATATTTAAGAAACTTTAGGATCAGTTGGGGTAAATGGGGATAAAATCGCTATTTTTCAAAAATTACGTAAGTTTCTTTCTTTAAAAGGTAATATTTTCGGGTTTACTTTTTTTTAGTTGTTATTTACATTCCCAGGATTAATTTTATGCAGCAGAAAAAAATTTAGATAAGCTTTAAACGCATGAAACTGACTGTCCCCATTTACCCCAAAATTTAGAAAATTTCATAAAATTTGGGGTAAATACCAAATTTTTTTCTTATTCCTTATGACTCTCATAACAGAAATTCACTTGAATTTTTGAGTTTTGATAATTTGGTTAATAATGACAAGCTGTCCCCATTTACCCGAAAAATTTGAAAACTCAAGGTAAATGGGGACAGCTTGTCATTATTAACCAAATTGACAAAAATGAAAAATTCAAGTGAATTTCTGTTATAGGAGTCATAAGGAATAAGAAAAAAATTTGGTATGATTTTTAAGTCTGTTTTCTTTGAAATGGAGGCAAAATACTGAAACAGTTTGACTTTGATTTTCAAGTTTTTATGCATTGAGCGATAACTTTTTTTATCTTGCTGCCAATTATCAAGATAAAAGCTTGACAATACTCAAAACCTCTTGCAGGTGATCTGAGGTTAAAATATTGACGTTGAAATTAATTTTAAAACTGTAAATTAAGCTCTATAACCTCATGTCCCCATTTACCTCAACTGATCATTATACAGAAATCTTTTATAATAATAAGCTTATAATATTAAATGTCCAAAGAAAGCGACACCGCAAAATATAATTTATTGCAATATTTATATGTTAAAACCTAAATATATTACAAAGTTGTTCTACTTCATGCAAATTGTACGTAAAATTATTAACACTATTATTATTATTATTATTATTATTATTGTTATTATTATTTTTATTATTATTAAATTTAAGTAAAAGAATATTATGTGCAATATAAACCCAAAATAGTAAATTACTTTATTTTTGAAATTTCATGAAATAATTTGTTTTATAAAAATTAACAAAATGTCTTGCCAGACAAAATATTGAAATTTAATAGTATATTATGCACCAAGGGTGGGTACACCGAGTTTATTGACAACCAAATTTTGGTTAAATCAACAAAATGCATTGCTATACAGTTAACCAAACTTTAATTGAATCAACGAAATGTTTATTTGATTCAAACAAATTCTTTCTTCATTCGCAAAAATTTATTAAAATATCCCGATCGTTTATTTAGATCAAATAAATATTTTTTTGAATCAAATAAATGTTTATTTATATAAAATAAATATTTTTTTTGAATCAAATAAATTTTTGTTTGAAGCAACCAAAAAATTGTGTTAATACAAAAAATTATATATTTGGTTCAAATAAATATTTTCTTTGAGTGTAATTTTTAACGCCATCGTGAACAGCTTTTTTCACACAAATGTAGATGGCGCAACTGTGAACAAACGTTAAAAAACGCAGTGGTCAGACCTAGACAATACAGCTTTAAAAATAATTTTTTTAATTTTTTAAAATTCGTACCTGATTCTTTAAAAACTCTGAGTGATGTCACCCTTTACGTTATTTTATTTCTACCATAATAATCTTAGCAAAATACAATTCTAAAACTATGCATTTTCACAAGTGCTGCATGAAGATGTGTGCGGGCTTTTAAAAATGAGAGTAATGTATTTTGTGCATTAAATGAGAACCAAAAAATTATTTTTTAAACATTCAAATGTTAATTTTCTCAAAAAAAAATTTAAGGATTTTAAATACTAAAAAAAATTTACAATCTACATACACGTACAAGTCTTTCTAAAATAATGAAACTTAATTTACTTATATAATATTTCAATTTGGTATTTTTTCATTTTTATCTAAAAATAACAATGTATGCCACTATAAAAAAGTACCATTTATTTTTACAAAGTGGCAATTTGGAGTAATTCAAACTATTTTATTTTATATCTGAATTGCACCGAGGAGAAATTAACAAAAATATTAGAAAATGTATGTTACTGATATTGAAACCATAATTATTTTTGAAAAAAAAAATTTTTTGCATATTATATATTAATTATCTCGTAGCCAAACATTCATTGGAACTTTAGTGAATGCTGTATTTAAAAATGTTTGAAAATGCTTGGCAATACTTGATCTTGCCGCTGGTTTCATTTCTTCAATTATTTCTTTAGCATTCTCATTGAGAAACTTATTCATTGCTTGACCCAATACATTATTGATTTTCAACTGATCCACCACATTGAATGCGGCAGTATCCAAATTAAAGTCAACGATCAGACGGGCTATTCTCATATAGCTAATTCCATCTCGTATTTCTTCAACACCCTGTACTTTAGCGATAGCTGCAACATCACCTGAAAAAATAATAAATTTCTATCAGCGTGCGACAAGCGTTTCACGTTTTAAATTGAGGCACTTTAATATACGTATTTAAAGTCAGAATAAATTTTATTTATTAAAGGGAAAAAATTTAACAAGGAACAAAAGTAGGCTTTTAAGGTGTTGATTGATGTATAATCAATAAATGGTCAGGTTTGATCTAAATTAATAATCACACATGTTGGTTAACCATGGCGGATCGGAAAATATGAATGTACGACGAATTCATCGCACATTCATATAGTGAGTGAAGATAATGTGGAAAATGAATGAAAATTGATGAAAATTACTGTTGAATTTAATAAACGAACTATTCAATGATTAAATCTTTAAATTGAATAAAAACTGTAAGAAATTATTTATACAGAAGTTATTGGTTTAAGTGAATATTTATTTGATTAACCGATTACTTGAATCAAATAAATGTTTTCTTCAGTGTTTGAACAATTTAATTTAAATAGAATATGGAAGATTTTTAATTTGTACCCTGGCGAAACGCAAACTATGAATGTCCCAGAAAATCGGCACCAAATGTTTTAACAGCGTTTAATTCATGATAGCGAATCAATAATGTCGACAAAAGTTATTTCGGGGTCGCTGATTACGAATCCGATGTCAGTTTTTAAAAATTAAAAATGGCGGATCCAATATGGCGGTCAAAAATTAGAAAACTGTAATAAAGCTTTTTTTGTGTGACAAAAAAGATAAAAACCAGAAACCTTATAATCCGCTATCTTGGATCCGACATTTTTAATTTTTTTTAACTATATTTTAAAAATGAAAGTCACTATGTGCCTCGTCGCTATTGTCTGAAGAGTATCGAAAGAAAAAAGCCATAAATCATCGAAACCCGTCCAGGACAAAGTCGTGACCAATTACACGAAAGTAGTACAAATCAGTAACTCTTATCACCGGTCATTATCTACAGGTAAAGATGGTATCATCTTAAAATTTTCTAAAGTCTCACGAAAGAATATTCATGTTCGTTAGAATCAATTAGAGATCAAAAGACACCACTAGGTAATTAAATTGGAATTTAAGTTTCTTTTTTGGAAATGCGTAAATATGTATTATAAAGGTTAAAACTAAAATTATTTTCTTTTCTTATTTTTATCTTATTTAATATTTTGAATCAAATTAAATCAGAGGCCATACATAGGGATAATAAATAACCCCCCAAAAAAATAATTAACAACTTAATTGTAATAAGATATTAATAATTGAGCAGTCCAGTGTGACGTCATCGTGCAGAACAAGCAGTAATTTAGCGCAGATATTTCTTTTATCGACGTGTATATATATGAGAAATATGTGAGTGACATGTTATTAAATTTAGCAATAATTATTAATTCATTTAATTTAATAGTAATGCACATAAATTTTTGAATACAAATTATAATACACAAAATTTTTGAAGAACAATTATATTGCTTGAAAATGTTGAATAAGTATTATCTTGCTTTGATATTTTATTAATAATTTTACGAATGGCGGACACCAATATGGAGAGATTATATTGACCATGGTAATAGTGCTTAACGTCCGATCAATCTCGGGTTGATTGACAAATTACCACTGAGTCTACATATACACTACCGTCAGAAATTGTCGGTACGGCTAGCCAGAGCACTATTCAAAGCACACCTGTATTTAAATCATATTAACACTCATTGTCAGTCAAAATAAAAGCAGAACATTATAAAAAAAATTGAAAAATTATTATTTATTCAGATATTAATTTCGATGGTGTCACTCTCTGGAAATCAAGTTCTAATGAGTTTTGGCCAATACTTTGTGGAATTCATAATCCGAATGATAATGTTTAATTAAAAAATTGGGTTCTTTGTGATCCTAATGCGTAATAATATATTTAGTAAAAGTGGAATCACGTTTAGTAATTTCTATATTCTATTCAAGTTCTTTTTTTATAAATTAAAAATATTAAAATATATTCTTACCGAAAGAAGCCCAAAAGTTCCCTTCACTTTGAATTGGAAACAGAAGAATGTTTCCTACGACTTTGTAGTGTCCTTGTAGATCAATTTTTGGAATTTTTAAGTGCAGATCAAGCCGTAGAGTCGTTATGTTAACTCTAACCTTTGTTACAGAATAGTTTCCAGGTCCAAATGCTGTAATATTAGAAAACAGGGCATGAACACGCACTGCACCTTGATCATTTTTCATTCCTAGTTCTGGAATAGTTAGAGGTTCGATTGGTGGCAGATCCAATTCCGATATTCCTAAAGACAAATGTAAAAATTTGCAATTTTTATTTATTATACGTTCCACTGAGATAAAAAAAATCAAGTTCACGAAAAAAATGTTTCTGTCTGATTGTATAATTATGACTTAATTTTCCAAAAAGTTCTGTTAGAGTTTTGGAATTTTTATTCACTGCAAAAAGAAGTATCTTATTTTAAAATGTTTTGGTATAGCGTTTTTAAGACATTAAGATGTTTAAGATGTCTTGAAAACGCTACCAAAACATCTTAAAATAAGATACTTCTTTTTGTAGTGCTGCACAGAAAAAAATTAATCTCTAAATTAGAGATTTAATGTGAGATTTACACATAAACTACATATCTCTGGAATCGGACGTCGGATGTGAACAGATTTCTAGAACTGAAATTTGGGGTTATATCTATAATCCGAATATTAGTAATATGAAAAACACATATTTCATATGGCTAAAAATCATATTAGAAATCTCTAATTTTATGATATGGAACATATAGTTCTAAACTATCAACTTATTTGAATAAATTAAAATAATATATTATTAGAATAAACATTTAATTTTTTTCATATTTCTTAAGTATGTAAATGTCTGCTAAAATTACATTTGAAAAACGTTTTAAATGTTCTAAAAACATTTTTAGAACTGTAAGGTACTTTAAATTTAGCCTATACACTATACAGAACATTTTTATTAATAAAATTCAAATTAAAAAAATAAGATAGAAACAATATTGTAAATTTTTAAAGGTTTAGAAACTGTTTATAATATCTAGAACAAGACAACATTTACACTTACCTCTAACTAGATATGGTCTCAAATGATTAAAGGATTTTTGAATACAAAGATCCAGCTTTACATCCGTCCTGTTGCATGGTAAAATGTACTCCGCTGCAATTATATTAATATGAAATTAATATAATATAATAGTAAATAGTTGAGAATTATAATTAGTAAGTAATTTACAAATAAGGTGAAGGTCAAGTTTTTAAATATGGCATTGCCAATTTTTAGATATTTCTTTAAGTAAAATTTGCATCCTAAAAAATCCTTAGTTAGTAAATCGTATATGACGAATGTTGAATATCATAAATTTAGAAAATATTGCCAATTTAATGCTTTATTAAAAACTAGTATATAACATTTATATTAGAATAATGTATTTATGTTTATTTTTATTATTATGACTATGAATACTTTCAAGATACGGCAATTAGTATTCTACGCTGTGTTACGCTATTAAAAACAAAAAGTAAATAACGTAAAGCAGTGGCAAATCTTGGTGCAAAATTATAAAAAAATTTAATTTATCAGCGTATGCATTAACTTCTCGACATATACGATCGTAAATTGAATTATTTCCATATTCAGTTCTATAACAGTTAAATTTAAATAATGAAAAATTACGCAATGTTTTTGATGGGGCAGAAAAATTTACACTTTGTTAAATATAAGGACAGTTGGTAATACCAATTACAATTAATTAAATCTAAATACAAAAATCTAATTGAAATTTTGAGTATGTATCTTAAAAACACTTCTCAAATTAGGATAATTATGTAAATAAATGTTGTAAAGTATACTTATTTGTCAACAGCAAAACGCAAAAATCTGTTTTGAATTTGTTTTAATCTCGATACCTATAAGAGACCTGCTAGTAGGGTGACCATATTTTAGAAGCAGCTCTGGGATTGGTAATGATCATTACAAATCCCAGAACCTTAAGAACCTTGTTAACTATTTCATCAATATGATTATTGAAGTTGTCTTTTCAAAGTCGAAATCCAGTGACAACAGTGCAGCAGTATTGGACACCTTGGATACTGCAGCATCCAATGCCACAAAGAGGATGGACTATGGGGCATCCAGTTTCCTAAGGTTCCCCAGGTCCGTTTGGAAAGACTTAAAAGTAGAAAAGGAAGCACTTGAAGCGTTTTTAGCGTCTACAGCAGAAGAAGTTTGATTCCGTCTGACCTAGACAACGAGACAATCAAAGAAGAACGCGAAAAGTAAGTAAACTAAGTATCTTCAGAGGATCGAAGAGGAGATCGTCAAGATGGTAGTCTTACAAAGTCCAGAAGAATGTCAACATGCCTATTAAGGACGGACTTAAGATTTCCAGATCTTGGAAGTGAGGTGAAGACAAAGCACCGAATCTTAAGCAAACCAGTAAGAAGAAAGCGACGAGTGGATCCACAATGGTGATCCGAGTCCAACAGGAAAAACATGCCGACGTACTGAGCAAACTTCGGAGGGAAGTGAATTCGACGTCATCTACACGCAGGTCGTAGGTGCAAGACCTACAAGAAAGGGAGATCTCCTGATCAAAATCGGAGGAGACTCCAATAAGGAGGCATTCACCGCTGAAGTCAACAAAGCGGGTAGACCGTGGATCGACAGTTCACATTGGAGATCCGCAACCTCGATTTTCTTATTATTATAATTATTATTAACTATTAATTATTGATAATTATTTCTTGATGAAGTAATTGATAATACTAAAATTCTGTCAATTGAAATAGTTTTAAGGACATACAATTTTAGAACGGTGTGCGGTTGTAATACGCTTTAAAAATATTTTGCACAACTGGCCTCTCTTTCAATAATGTCTCAGAATAAAATAATTTTACAAAAAAAGAGATAAATAAAAAAGTTATGCTGTACTATATTTTGTACTAAATAGATAGAATCATTTATCATATAAATATGTTATTAAGATAGAAGTGGTTTACATAGTTTTATTTATTTAATTAATGCTACGATTATTATAAATGCGCATATGACATTTTATAAAGGACTTTTTTTATTATTTAGGTGACATTATGAATCTTTGGACTTTCGTCAAGACAATGTGTGTTCAAGGTGAACAGATTTCAGAACTAGTTTGATGAACAAATTTTTATTCTGACTCATTTATTTTACAAAGTACAAAACTGGTTCACAATTTTTTCGTAGTCTGTGCTTGAAATAAATAAGAATTTTTTTTCCAAACATATTATAATTAATATTTAAACATTGCAGCTATAAAATTATCTTCTTTTTTTTCTTTTTCTGATTACGTAAAAATTAAGCTATAATTCTTATGATTATGTGTTTAACCTTTGTCGTACGTACCCTCTAATTTGGCCTCTATCTTTCTTTAGGCTGTATTACAATATTGCTTGCAAATAAACAATTTTTTAAATCATACTTTTGTTGATTTATGTATGAATTGCAAAATACATAAAAATCTTTTTTTGAATTACTTCAAATAAAAAATTTAATTAAATTATAAATTCTTTGAGTTTAACTTCCGATTATGTAAAATATTAAGCTATAACTCTTGTGATGATGTATTTAACCTTTGTCGTACCCTCTAATAGCTTCTGGCTATGGTTTGTATTTTAATATTGCTAGCAAGTAAAAAATTAAGAAAAATCATGCTCAATTGATTTACGTTTTATTTGCAAAATACATAAAAATCTTGTTTTAGTTTACTTCAAATGAAAAAGTTAATTAACCCGAGTCGAAATTTAAAGTCGCCTTAGAGCCTGCTAAAACGTACGTTATAGAAGGTCTTATTTACATTGCGTTAGGATCGACTTAAGACCTCATAGATGCTACTTATGTCACTTTTAGGCAGTTATTATTTTCTAAGGAGGTCTTAATTAAGACCTTTTCAGAGCCTGCTAACTACTGCTCAATACAATATGCGCTTGCGCATAGAACTAGTCGGAGGTGGTTAGTAGGTTCTATGGAGGTCTTAATTTAAACTTCTTTAGGACCTGCTAGGACCTACTCAAATAAGTGACAAAAAAGTCGTTGGTTCCGCGAAAAAACATATCACTTTATAATAGCCTTGAAAAAAATATTCTGTTTCAAAATTCCGTTGAAAATCAAAACATTTTAGATAAGATTTGGAAGGCATATACAATTCAGAATTATATTTGGCTTTTTTATTTTACGTTGCCAGTATTAAAAAGAATTACCTTATAAATTTTACAAAAAAAATTTATCAAATATTAATGTAATTATTAAAATAGTCTTGTTTCTTTAAAGAAAAATAATAGTAAGAAAAAATACAATTTTAATTAACATTTACAAGCTCAATAAACTATTTTTGTAAAAATTTGTAAGGTAAGTTTTTTAATACTGGCAACCTAAAATAAAAAAAGACAAATAACAATTCTAAAATGTAAAATGTTTTCCAAATCTCACCTGACACATTCTAGTTGATTTTCAATGAATTTTTGAAACAGTTTTTTTCGAGGCTATTATGCAGTGATATGTTTTTTCACCAAGCCGACGATTTTTTGTCACTTTTTTGCTGTCTTAATAATTAGAATTTGTATGAAACAAAAAATTCTTTCTTTCATATAGCAATACAGTTACAACTGTAGTAAGAACAAAATAGTTTTGTTGATTCTACAGAAACAATGTTTTTCGTTGTACAATTATTTTTTAAAATTTATAAATAATAAAACTTGCTTAAACTTAATGATTTATATAAATTTATTGATGCATATCATGTCATTTTTTATAATTTTCTACTCGTTATACACGTCCGCTTTCAAACACAAAAGTTTTAAAACTAAGTATTAAAAATGGACACGTGTGGAACCAAGACATTATGGAGGGAATGCGCACGCATTCTCCAAAATAAAAAATTTCCAGTTTCTTTGGTCAGAGTATCAAAAAGTACTTAATTCGATCTAAAAAGAACTTAATAGGCTCTGTCAGTCATACGTTTTTATGTAAGGGTACCAAAGAGGACTTAAATCTATGTTAACAGGACATAGTAGGCTCTAAATCAGTTATACAATTTCAAGTCAGGAAACTTAAGAGTACCTAAGTCAATCTAAATAGGTCCTAGTAGGTCTTAAGTCGATGAAACAGGTCTAAAAAGTATCAAAATCGAACTTAATACTTCGTAGTAGGACTTAAATCAACTCTAAATTTCGACTCGGGAAATCATAAAATCTCTGATTGTGATTTTAACTTCCAAATCGATGACGTTATTATTTACATATTGCACTGCAAAAAGAAGTATCTTATTTTTTTTATAACTTGCTTCTAAGTTATCTAAAACAACTTAAAATACATTAGTTTCTTAAGATATAAGATGGATAAGAAGATATACTTTTGGTAACTTGCTTCCAATGTATCTTTATACTCTCTAAATTTGAATCAGCTAAAATCCGCTGATTGGCAGCGAATAGTCGCTGATTGAAAAAGCTATAAGTATGCAGCTGCGAATCAGCGACTAACAACTATTTCAATCAGCGGAATACTCCATTTTAAAATAAATTTATCTTCCGACGAAAATGACCGACGTTCGCCGATTCGTGATTCGCTATTTTATTAGCTGTAACCGCTGATTTGCAGTGAAAACTTTATTCGCTGATTCAAACAGTGAAATTTTCGCTAATTCAAATTTAGAGAGTAATAAGATACTTCTTTTTGCAGTGTGCATATCTATAAATTATATAAATACCTGAAAGCTGAATTTTATTAGCCAATTTTTTTTTATTTTTGGTTTATTGGTCATTCTTCGATTTTGTTTTAAAATTTAAATGAAAAGGTGCAACTTTTTATCTGTGGATTTTTTTTCTAATGTGTATACTGTAGACAATAAATGTATAAAAAAACTTGCGAATTCTTCCAATGAAATGTAATTAATTTTTAAAACATAACTCGTCATATTGGTTAAATATGAAAAATAAATTATTTTGTAATTTGATGTGCATATTTTTGTAGCTCTTCTCAAGTTCACAGAAAAAAACTGAATTCAGAATGAGTCGTGTAGGCGGCTCATTTTGAGTTGCAACAAAAATAAGACTAGGTTTTTTCTGTGTTTATAAAATGATGACAAAGATTTAAATAACTTATTATTTAATTTTTTAAATTGACACATTCAGCTCATCAGGTTTTTTTCAGATTTTCTTGTTTGAAATAATATATTTCACATATTTGGGTTGAATTAATCATTAAAATATCTAATATTGATCGTCTAAAAAAAAATTAATTTTCTTACGTTTTCTTCAAAATTCTTCGAAAAACTTGAAATTCTGCGATTTAGATTTTGTCAAAAACATTTTCTTACATAAATTTAAATGATAAAGAAGATGACACTGACAGATTTTGTCGTCAATTTTTTGCAATTTATGCTGACCAATAGTTATTATTACAATGAAAAAACGAACATTTTAATTTTTTCAGTAACGAAAGTAATGAATATGGATAACTTTTTACAAAAATAAAAAAATCAATCTTGCAGTAGGTGGGTAACCAATAATAGACGTAACCTATTACATCGGTGATATTTCTCATAACCATAGGTGAAAACTATGCTACGAGTTTGCGATTTTCAATGAAGAAATGTGGAAAAAATGGAAAAGATTACAAACTACATTAACTGGAAAGTGAATTTTGAAGAAAGAGAAGCATAAGATTAAGGATGATGAGAAAGTGGAGAAACCGAAAGTAAAGGAAGAAAACGATTTGAAAGTGTAAATGATGAAGAAAAAACGTGGAGCGAAAGAATGCTGACATTAGAAGAAAAAGCGTGTGTTAAAGGAAGAAAATAGGAAGTGGAATAGGAATGGGTAGAGATGTGGCAAAGTAGAATTGGAAAATGAGTGCCAGAAGGAAGTTGAAAGGAAAAGAGGTCAAAGGGTTGAAAGCGCATTGTGAAAGGTGGATGGAATATATAATGTTAAGAGTAATAATGGAGGAATTCAAGTTTTATTGGAGCAATATAAGCAAGTGAATATGGTTCACTCACATCAGATTTTTGTCACATGGTTATAATTTAGTCTAATATTGATGTAACATGAACATTTTTTTTGCACTTCTAAAATGAGGCTATAAACTTTCCATTCAATGTTAATTTAACCTTTGTTGTTGTTTATTGTAAAAAATAAAAAAATTAATAATAAATTAGTTTCTCCTATGCGAGTGACGGAGGGTTAAAAAAAATCATGAATGCATTATTTTCGAAAGAATTAAAAATTACAAATATTTTATAATTTTATAAAATTTTAATTTTTAATTATAATGACTAATTTTGGTGTATACGATAAAAAGGCTTGCATTAAAAAGTATTGAAAATTTTAAATTCCTAGCAATTCAATTTTTGTCCAATTTTTATTATTCTCCAACGATGAGGAAGAATAAAATCTCAATACTTATTTATGATAGTTGAAATTAAATTAAAACCTCCATTAATATCTAAAGTTTTTTTTTTATAAATATTGCAGGGCACTAAAAACAGTTTATAAATGGCAAAGTTTATGATTAATAAGAAATTTATGTCATTACAAAATACTTGTTTCATTCGAAATCTGTAAATTTCTGAAATAAAACAGTTATTAAAAATTCTTTTGAAAAATTAAAAAAAAACAAATTCGTTTAAAAAATAAATGTAGAGAACTTAAAATACCATTTTTGTATTTTCCAAAATTTTTAAACTGCAAAATTATGATATAAAGAAAAAAATAAAAAACTTTGAAGAAGTTGCATTAAAATGAATAAAATTATTATTATTTCAATATCTATTCGAAAGTTTTCTGCAAAACAGGATAAAAAGGGAATTTCCCACAATACATGGAATAAACAAATTTGGAGTTGTACAGAATATGAGATAATTTCAATTCAATTCTTCTTAGCAGAAAATAAAAAATTTTATCTGAGGGTCTATATTTCTGGAGATGAACTTCCTTAATTACAAAATAATTTCCTCCAAATAACTCAGTAAAAAAAATTTTTTTTTCATCTTTCAAACTAATTTCAAATTTAGATGTAGAATTTATAAATCGGTTTGGGAGTGGAAATAATTTACATAATTTATTTTTTATAACACATTTTAATTATATTAAGCATAATCAATTATAATTCAGTAAAAATGGACTTTTTATATATTCATTGCGCAAAGATTTTTAAACACTTACAAAAATATTCCCTTTCCTTTATTTAAATATATTGAATGGACGTGATAATTTTTTCAAGCTACTAAAAAAAATCATGATAATTTTCAAGTTAAAAAAATATATTTATCCAAATTAGAAAGAAAACTGAAAATTTTCCAATTTAGAAATTTATTTCCTTTTTTTCAACTAAAAAATAGTTTTTTTCAAATTTCAAAAATTTTTTATAATTAAGAAAAACTTTTTACTTTCTATAACTTTGACACACTTAATTTTTATGTTTTTTTTAATCATCGTAAAAGAGAAATTAATTTTTCTTCCATCTTCAAGTATTTGTAAATGATGATTTGAAAAAATTCTGTGGTATAATAATATTTGCGGTAGGAAAGTTCTCCTGGGTCAAAATGACTCAAAATGTGTCAAACGAAGGGTTGATTTTTTCATAATTTTTTAATGCTTAAAAAAATGTTATGTGTACAAACTAACATAACTAAAAAAATTATTTATAGTATAACTAACAAATTGAAAAATAAATTTTATGTAAAAATAATGGAGTAAAAACATCGAATGTCAAAATAAAAAAAAATAATTTTTTGTTGTTTCTTTTTTTCTACATTGAAAAATCAGACGCATTTTGTTTACATTTATCCGACAAACTAAAAAAAAGTATTTAGTCATTTTCAAGATATGATTTTTGTAAAGTAATAATTTGTTTTTGTTTTGCAAAATAGCTCTGCTTAAAACCTCATCAGTTTCGAGGCTCCAATAAATTATACTCTACGGCTTGTTATTGTATAAAAATATATATAGAGACGACTTGAATTAAAAATCTGATAATCCTGACATTTTGTAAGAGATCATGTAGGTTATATTTACATATATATTTTTAAACTTCAAAATTGGTTCATGTAATAAAAAAATTGTGCCAAATACTGCGTTGGCAAATAACGCTAAAATATGCATAATTATGAAATTTATTTTCTTTGAAAAAAACGTTTACTTTCTGTGGATTTTTTAAAAAAAAAATTTTATATACTTTCATATATTCTTTTTTATTTTTAAAGTAATTTTGTCCATATTATTATTATTTTTATTTATTTAATAAGTTGACGGTATTAATTATTATTATTATTATAAAAATATTACAAAATTTTATTCTAGTCAATTTATTTTACCAAGAAGAAAACTTTGTATTTCTTACATATTCGGAGGTTTTTTTTTCTTTTCCCAAAAAAAAGATCTGACCTCATATTTCATGAAGGTTGAGTATTTTTTGGGGAGGAGGGGGAAATAAATTTAATTTGGTTATGGAAGTAGTAAAAAGTATTATCAAATTTGAACTCTCATTGTTCGTGTGATATTATGTATTATATACATTTTCACTGACTGATCTGTTTCATTGAGTGATGTGGATGAGAATGTTGGGGCTTGATACCTCCAAAGTAGCACTCATACACATGAAAGAAACTAATGCTTACTTTAAGTTCATAATACTTTCTCCAGCCAATTCAGCTGAGGTAGTTATGCAATCTCTGACATAACCTTCGGCATACCAAGTTACGCCACATTTTCTATTATGCCTTATTCCTTTTTACTGGATTACCATTCTTCAAAAAATGACTTTACACAAAGTGCACACGAATCTATTATTGTTTTGAATTTATTCTTTCGCCAATGACGAGGCTCAAATATTAAATTAAAAAAAAAAAATAAATAAAGTAAACAATATTCGGAATAAAAAAAATTAATAACAATATTTTATTTATTTAATAAAGTTTTCCCCAAAAGAGGAAAAAATGTAACTAACTTTTTAAAATTAAAGAAAACCTCTTTTTACTATTTTTCATTCCCTTTTCATTATAAAAAAAATTATATGCAAAATGTTTCATAATTTTAATTAAAATTCTTATTATTTATAATCTGTGTAATTTAAAAAGACTCATAAATTATTTAAATAAATGTTAATCTACATATAGTGAAAAAAATGGAAACGGATTTTTAAATTGTGCAAATTTTTTGTTGTGTTGAATAAAATTTTAGAAAGGAAAATAATTTAAAAGAAAATGTTTAATTATATGTATATAATATCTTTTGTAATAAGGAAGACGAGTAATTTTCGAAATATCAAATTAAATATAATAATATAAACAATTGTTCGTGACTGATTGTCTTTTATGAGCATCTGAAAATAAAGCTGTAGAAGAAGAAGAAGAAGAATAATTTGTCATTTATTGTGTAATTAATTAGTTACAATGAAAAGTTATTAACAAATTTTTTTTATGTCAAGTACCTTATTACTAAAATTAAATTTATTACTAAAAGAACATTTTTATTCATTTAAACTTTGTAATTATAAAACATAAATATGATTTATAATACAAGGAATCAAAAAGTATTTGAAAAATTTTAATTACTTTTTTACCAACAAAAAACTAATACAAATTTTGTGGCTAATAACTAGTGTTTTAAATTGGAAATTTACTACCCTTAATTGTGAAAAATGTCCCGAAGATCAATTTTTTAATCCAAAAAAGTTATACTCAAAAAAGTGAAAAAATCCAAATCTGTATTCTTAAGACATTTTTTTTTTAAATTATAAATGATTTTATATATTTAATTAATTAGTATTAATCATATTTAACAAATAATTAAATTATTTTAATAAAATTAACTTTCACCTTTTTTTAAAAATTTAGAATTTTTATTTTAGAAACACAAATCTTACGTGTATCAAAATTAGGTTTTCTGGATATTTGATCAAACTTGGGTTGAGCTGTAATGATGGTTTGGCCAAAAGCACTTTGGTGGTATAATCCCAAAATGAGAATACTTATTATCCTTATAGTCGAAAACATTTTCTTTTTTTTAATTCAATACAATAAGAAAATTGCTTAAAAACTGAATTGAACAATTTTTATAATGTACTTAATGTCCGAAAGAAATTCACCAATAATTTAAATTTCCATTATTAAAAGGAATAAAAATTGTCATTAAATGTCTATCACGTGCATTCTGTGACCACGAAAAATTCTTTAAATATTGAAAAAAAATTTCAATAATTAGAAAAGAATGAATCGCGATCTTAAATTAAACTAAAGTGGGATCAACTTCATATCTGTCTTATATGCTAAAACCCCTTCTCTTGAGGTTCTTTCGGTTGAAAAGTCGCAATACAACATCATTTCATTCTTCTTACCTTAGAGAACGCATACTTTAAATGATGAATTATTTACGTGTTCAACAGATAGTTTGGACATTCTTGAAGGATAAACTTTTTTTGATAAAAAAAAGAAAAAAAAAGTTGATTCATTCCATTTAAAAGTAAAGTCTAGTTTAATTGAAATCATTTATTGAATAGAGAAGAATTTGGTAATAATAAAAAGTTTGCATAACATCCATTTGACACAAAGACATTACAATTTTAATGATAATAGTAAAATAATAAATCAATCAATTTTTTGAAGTTTGTTCCAAACTATGATTCGGGACATTTTGTATACTTCCAATATAAGTCAGGATATTTCACAATGTTTTTGGTATCACGGGATATTTCAGGATATTTCAGATTATTTTCGTTATTTCAGATAATTCAAAATAATTGAAGATAATTTAGAAAATTTTTAAATTAATTTACGGCACAATATTTCCACTATAATTCACGATATTTCAGAAAATTCACATTGCGATACTTCAGATAATTCAATATACTTTAAGATAATTCAGAGTATTTCAAGATAATTCACAGTATTTTACGTTACTTCCATAAATTAACGATACTTCATATAATTCATTCAAGACAATTTGAGATACTTCAGATAATTCACTTGAGATAATTCGAGATATTTTAGAAAATTCAAAATACTTTAAGTTAATTAAGATTATTTCAAAATAGTTTAAGATAATTTAAAGTACTTCAATGTATTTCAGGGCATTTTACGATAATAAAGATAATTAATTTCCGTATAGATGTTGATATATTTGTTTCAACCAAATTTGTTTAAATATTTAATAATGAAGGTTTAGTTTTTTTGTCATGTCAATTTATGAATTAAAAAGTATAAAATACAGTCAATTAAAAATAACATAACGTTCAGATAACTCTTTAGATAATTTACGTGTGTATACAGAACTGAAATTTAGAAAAATTAGAAAGCTATCAATTTGTTTCTTTTCTTTCAGAATTATTTTCATTTTTAATCACAAAACTGTCTTAAAAAATTAGTTTAATATTATGCAAACTATATTTAGAAAATATTTAACTATGTTACAAAAAGTAAACAAAATTTTTTTTATTTATCAACATGCATGAAAAACTGTGCAGCCTTTTTCACTTCATTCATAAATTTTATTTTCATTCATTTTGATAATTATTCAATTATATTACCTATAATAATTGAATAATTATTATTAAATAATTTTTTTTTAATTGTGATTTTTTTCTCGACGGTTTTATAATGTATTTGTAATATAAAACAATTTTTAAAACATAAAACATGAAAAACGCATTGTTTTTAAATTAACATTTTGTAAAAAAATTTTATATCTGGGTTTTTCCACGAGAACAATTGAATTTTAGTCGATGCGTCATGGTGATTAAAACAGTTGTATCTTTTTTTGGTTATAAAATCAAAAAATCTGTTGAATACATTTCTAATTCCTTATCTTTCTCAAGGGAATGAAAAATTTTTATTTTATAAAAATTAAAAAAAAGTTACAGATAAAATTAGTCATCGTGATGCCCGAACAGAATATCCGCTTTTTTATGGAAATTCCCAACTATTAAAATTAATAATAATTTTGTTAAACAAAAATTATTTTTTGAATATTCCATTTCGGCATTTCCAAAAGAAAAGAAAACCATTGATGATTGGTATACTGTATCTAGAAAAAAAATGTTATATTTTGACTGTTAAAAATTCTAATTGTTAATAAATTTGAAAAATGAATTTCAGTCTAATCTTTTAAGAAACTTTTTTTTAATCACACTAGAAGTAGAAAGACAATTTTCTTTCGAAAAGTAAATTTTTTTAATTTTAGGTATGTACATATTTTCAGTAACATATGACTTATTTATTATTATGAATCGTTCAATATATAAAAAATTGTCAATATTTTTTTTGTTTGATTTCTCATTATAATTTTACATGTTTTTTAACTGAGTAAATGCTTTGCATATTTGACTCGTGTTCACGTAAATACACTTAAAACGTAATATACTGATTTTATAAAAACTTTATTAAAATAATATTTCATAAAATACAATAATATTATCGACGTTATCATATTTTTGGTGGAAATTATATTGAGGAAGCGGAAGTAGAAAATATCAATCAATCCAAGTCCGGTTAATTAAAAAACTAAAACACAATCTTTGAACGTTTCGACAGCTTTCAGAAACGAAAAAAAGAATGCCAGACAAATTTATTAGATCAATGACAAATATCATGTATTAATTTAAAAAAAAAATTCCCTTACATTCTTTTTCGTTTATGAAGAAGACAGTGCGGTTCTGTCGAATCGTTAAAAAATTGTGTTGTTTTTAAATTATAACCTGACTTGGATTCATTGATATTCTTATAACTTCTTGAATATTTCATAAAATCTCGTTTGTCTAGTATTTAACTAAAAAGACAAAAAGTTTTCGATTTTTTTATAAGTGATTCTTTTTTGTTTCGTTGGATGACAAAATTTCTAATAATAATATAATAAAAAATTCTTTTGCTTTACATAAAAGAAGATAATTATTATTGATCTACAATAAATAAAATAAATTAAGTTTTGTGTAATAAGGAGTTATATTTTATATAATTTATTTGTATATTTATTATTTATTTATATTAGGGTCAGTTGGGGTAAATGGGGACAAAATCGCTATTTTTCACAAATTACGTAAATTTCTTCCTTTAAAATGTAATATTTGCGGGTTTATATTTGTTTAAGTTGGTATTTACATTCCCAGGATTAATTTTATGCAGCAGAAAAAAAATTTAGATAAGCTTTAAACGCATGAAACTGACTGTCCCCATTTACCCCAAAATTTAGAAAATTTCATAAAATTCGGGGTAAATGGGGACAGCATAGTTTCTAAGAAAGTTTTAAGAAAAAAATTTCCTTAAGTATATTACTGTATTAAGAGATGAAAAAACTTGAAAAAATTTGTAGTAGATACATAATAGTTGAACCAATTGAAATTTTTTTATATTTTTTTTATTTCAGTATTTTGTCTCGCATTTGAAAAAAAAAACAGACTTAAAACTTATACCAATTTTTTTTCTTATTCCTTATGACTCCCATAACAGAAATTCACTTGAATTTTTGAGTTTTGTTAATTGAGAAAATCAAAAATTCAAGTGAATTTCTGTTATAGGAGTCATAAAGAATAAGAAAAAAATTTGGTATGATTTTTAAGTCTGTTTTCTTTGAAATGGAGGCAAAATACTGAAACAGATTGACTTTGATTTTCAAGTTTTTATGCATTGAGCGATAACTTTTTTTATCTTGCTGCCAATTATCAAGATAAAAGCTTGGCAATACTCAAAACCTCTTGCAGGTGATCTGAGGTTAAAATATTGACGTTGAACTTAATTTTAAAACTGTAAATTAAGCTCCAAAACGTCTTTTCCCCATTTACCCCCTGTCCTCATTTCCCCCAACTGACCCTTTATTTTTTACCTTTTTTCTTTGAAAAATTATCATGTTTGCAATTTAATTAAAAAATTAAATTAGTTAAGAAATTTAAAAAAAATTGAAACCATATTGAACCATTAGGAAAAAAATCGAGAAAAATTGAAAGCAACATTCTGAAAGGATTGAGATTCTATACTAAACTGTATTTTTCAATTAAGAATTATTAAACAAGTATCTCACGACGGCTTCTCATTTATTCGTTTAGCTGTCCATGTACGGCTTAACCTTCAGGATCAAGTAGTTATTTTTAAAATTAAAAAATCTAAATTTGGATAACATTGCTCTAATTTACTTCTCTATAATATAAGTAGTGTATATATTTCCAGGAAATTTTATTCAATTAAAAATTATTATAGTAGCTCTCTGAAAAGAAATAAAAATAAATTTTTCTGCTTCTAAATAAAATTTAACTTGTTTTATTTTACCTTCATTTGTATTTTTCATTTTTGATTTTAAAAATTTCTACCATAGAAAAGATCTAATAGTTTAATTTTCTGAACCCCATGATTTTCAAGCAAATCTGGTCAATTTTTTAATATTTTGGATGCCATATTGGGTCCGCCATTTTGAATTTTTTAATTCTGACATCAAATTTGGATTTAGTGACCCCAAAAATCTTTAATGATGAAATCATATTTTTTTGTAAACTTTTTTTTGGACCGTTTTGAACCCAAAACCGATTTTCCGTAAGACTGTGAAGGGGTTAAAACCCGATTCTAATTTCAAAAATCTAATTATTATTATTATAATTATAGTACATATGTTATGAAGCATTTAATCCTTTTAGAATCGCAAAGTGGCACTTAACAATTTTTACAAATCCGCAGTTGGTAAATTTTGAAATTTCTTCTTTTTTTGCAATGAGCACGTCTATAATTTTGAATTCGTAATAGCATATATTTAGCATTTTCATGTCGCAGTTTTTCTGAAATTTCTGGTTTTAACAAAGAAATCTCGAACACGGAGAAACTTTAGTTTGTAAAATATTTGACATTATAATAATTATTTTTACAAAAAAGAAAAAACCAATAGTAAGAGAGGATGAAGTGAGAAAAATAACATTATTTTCTACTACTGTATTACAAAATAAATTTATCGGTATCATTTAAAAGTATAGTATATATTATTAATAATTACAATAAGGAGTTGGAATGATTAATAAAAGCTATATGAATTGTAAATTAGGAAAAAGAGATATTCACAAAAAGAATTTTGACTAGAATAATTATGAAAAGTAAAAGTTGAAATTTCACATATTACACTCTGTTTTAAAAATATTACTATTTTTATTGGAAAGAAGCAGAGGTGCTAAAAATATTGCTCATCTTAAAATTGGTTATTGTAACATCTAAAATTGTTTTTTGAAAACATTCCCATTGAAAATAGGAATTTTATTTCTTAGTAGCATTCCATTGGTCCAACTTTACCGATGATGTACGAAAAATAACCGGTTATTGCCGAGTATAACCGATTGGGTTTCATCATAGTAATATTATCAATATGTATGTATTAAGTATATAATTTGCAAATATGAGAAATGACTATTTTGAACATTTTATTCAATATTTAGATTTAACAAATTAGATTAATTTAAATAATAATTAAATCAAATGTATAATTTCATGTAAAAAAATTATTTTTAAATATGTGTTTATTATTATTTTGTGTTTTATTGAAAATAATTTATTTATTTTAAGTGTTTCATAAAAATTTCTGAAAATGAAATATTGAAAAATTTTAACAAAAAATAGTTTCAAACAAAGTATAATATCAAGTAATCATTGTAAAAAAGTAATTCTTAGAATTTTTTTTATTATATTTATTTAAAATAATAACTTTTTAAAAAATCTAAATTTTTTGAATTATTGTTAAAATTTTGAAGAGATTTTCCAAATTTTTAATTAAAATTATTCAAAAAGTTAAACAGTAAAGGAAACACAAAATGAAATTTACTGAATAATATTTAATTTTGAGAATTTAATTTAAATTTTACTTTATTCATATTAATAATTTATATTTTAATTAATAAATTTAAAATATAAAATTAGATATATATATTTTGTAGAAATTCTCTCGCAAGCGGCAATACTTTTTGTTGTTTAGTATAAAAAGAACTTCCCTTTTTTCTCAAGCGTGTATTGCGACGATTATGTGAATGTGTGTATTATTAGAATAAGTTCTTTATAATAGTATTGTATTAAAAGCGTGCGTTCCTCAAGAATACGTAATATGTGTGAGTATATATAATATGTTTACTGTGATATTTGAAGGTGCAACTTGGAACATTTAATATCGACTATGGTAAAATTTAGTATGTAGTAGTAATTTTTTTCTATTATTGTGGAGGGCTTTTTAACTTTTATGTCAATATTCCCAAAACACTATATAGTAATTTTATTTTCACACGGGATGGATATTTACCATAGTTTTTGTAAATTTCATAATTCTTTTTTAGTTATTAATATATTTATAAAGCTCGTTTTCAACGATTCGCCAACTTCAGTTCCCTATTTTTTTTTATTAAAATTTCCTACTGTTTAGAAATATAAATCCATAATTGTTATATTACTCTTTCCAAATAATTAAGAATACTCACTGAGTATAATATTTAAATAGTAATTTTCACAAAGATAGCGCTATATCCTCGTTTACTATTGGCTTTTTGTAAAATTTAGTTTTATAATATCAAATTTTATAAACTAAAGTTTCTCCGTGAATGAATCTGATTTTCTTACATTCTTACTTTTGAGGTTTTAATTAACAAAATATTTAGCAAGATGTAGTCTAAAGTCTTTTGATAAATATCGTAACTTAATTGCTATACGCGGAAATGTCATCTCACAGAAAATTAAAAGGCATTAAAATAAGCTGCAACGCTTATTATTTTAATCTAATTTTGCTTATTTTAATCCATTTTGGTATTAAAATAAGCAAAATTGGATTAAAATAATGAGCGTTGCAGCTTATTTTAATGCCTTTTAATTTTCTGTGCTTTCATCAGTAAGTGCATGAGGTTGAAATGTGATAATTTCCACCTACTAATTATTCTCTTAGATCAATAACAACACGTTCTTCTAATCCATAAGAATCATGATTTTCCAATATAGATTTGAAACTCGTAAACAAACCCTTTCTCGTCAGCACGTGCTTCTTTATACCCACGTTTAACAGGTTTGACAGGCATATCTTATATTGCTTCATGAAACTTCTGCCTTTGAATTTTATTTGAGTTTCGTCAATATAGATTACTTTTTGTTTGGATTTTGTAAGGTTTTAAATTTTTTATTCAATTGATCTAATACGACACGTAACTTATAGAATTACTTTGGATTATCATTTATAAATGAAATTTTCCCAACATGAAACGAATCCTATATTTAAAGACACAAACTGCTAATTAATGGATCATTCAATTGAATATTATTTGATCAGTAATATTTAGAAAGAAGGCAATCGTTTAATCTCCATCATTTAATTAATTCCCAAGAAGGTTTGTATGTCTGTGTCACTGATATCGATGCAAAGGTTATCCTCTGATTCGAAATTGCTTGGTATGTCTACCAACTCGTCATCCATTTTTAGTGCTGCCTAGTCTAACAAAATGGGAACCGTTTTATGTAAAGCTAAGTCTAGAGAGCAACACCATAGTAAGAGCGTCTAGTGCTTAATTTTTCATTTCAGGAAAAGCGACATTTGGTTCACAAAAAAATAAGTGATTTAAATAAATATTTTTCGTGGAATTGTAAACAGTTAAAAAATGAACTATACCTAAGCGAGGACTTCATCTAATAGGAAAAAAAGATTTTCCAAGAAAAACTGTGTTTTTTTACTTGATTTTGAAAGAATAATCCTTTTACATCTATATAAATTTTATTTAGTTTGAATAAAAAATACCTGTGGTTGAGAATGGAATGTTTTTAAAAAGTTATTTTAGAATATGTTTCCACGTAATGGAATATTTATATATTGATGTTATTTAAATTGTACACGTATGTTTCCTTAGTTTTTGTACGATAAATTATACATTTATTATAAAAGTTAACGAGTTGTACTGGTATTTGGTTCTTTTGAGTTCATTATAACCATCTGAAGAGATTTTGCGTCATTTAGCGATGTTTTTCTTGATTTAGGTCGAGAAATATTGTCTTTATTCTAATAAAAGAAATAAAACTTGATCAACCTTTCACTAAAATTCGATTGCTGATGAGTAATAATTTTTTTTCGTACGTCAGTCATGATACATATCGTGGGCCAAAAAATTTAATTCTTTGGGATAAAATCTGATTTTTACAGGAAATTTTGCTAACTTTAATTAATTTAATATTAATTTTGTTAACTTTTGCTAAGTGGTTTATCTGTATTTTTTGCAGAATTTCATTAATATAAATTTATTTAGAGATTTAAGATCTTTTCATTTTTGTTATGCCTCATTTAATAGAAAATTAAATTATTTTCGAAACTTTAAAAGCAGATTTTACAATTTTTAATTCATGAGATTTGTTCCAACGAATGGTAATCTATCTTTAAAAAATCTAAAATACCATCACGATCAGATTTTTGGTTAAGATCGATTAACAATTTATGACATTTGTAAACATTTTGTTCACGGAAACAAAACAAAATACAAAAAAACTTGTTTTGTTTCGGATTAAGTTATCGGAATCAAAAGTGAATTTTGTTTAATTTTGGATATCTGAAACAGGAGTCAACTTCGTTTAATTTCCTTTTGACTGCAAAATTTAATTTTAATTCCTTTTAATTACAAACTTCGGAGTATTTAGTTGCAAAGTTCAGTAAAGGTTATTATAAATATTAAAATATTCGACCTGATCAATTAGGTTCTTAATATATAATTGAATAAACACCAATTAATTATTTATTATATTACTCAATTATACATCAAGAAGAATAGATTTATTGTATTAATTTCTGAAATAAAAAATCTACAAGTATGTCTAAATTTTACGATATTCAGGATCACCAGGCCATGGTCCATTTGGCCCAGGAGATCCAGTTGGATAAGGACCACGTAGTATTTCAGTTGTTGATGGTTTTTCAGTTTGTACAATAATTTCCCGATCCTTATGCAGTTTCCTCGGATATGGAGAAAAGTCTGCAAATTGTAGATTTTAATAAAAATTTTAATCTCAAAAAAATTTAGTTTTATATTAATGATTAATACAGATTTAAACTCCGTACTTAATTTTTTTTTGAATTAAAAAACATATTCTCATGATGAACCTAATGTTTTTAATTAAACTTGATGGCAATTGATAATTATCTGTATTTCCATTTTCTTGTTTAAATACCTGTATAATTCTCACAATTTGATGGAAAATGTAAATTTTCCCAAGAAGTTAATATTCCCTGTTGAGGATTAATTGATTGTTCATTATGTTGATCATAGTTTGATGAAGGTACATTACTGTAAAAAACATTAACTTCTCCTTTAGGATGTATTACTCGATATCCCCATTCATCACTTATGTAGAAAATCACTGTGTGATTCCCATGCGCATTTATGTAACCATAACAACCGTACGTTATTCCTCTCAAATCTTTTACTTGATGGTGAAACTGATTGTGGAATTTGACATTGTATCCATAATTAAAAGTATCTGCAAAACATGTTTAAAGTGCGTTCTTATTATTATTCAGTAACTGATATTACAATGGATATTAAAAAATACGTGTTGGCAGGTAGCTACTGTTGCTATAATAATTATTCCGCAGAGATTAATTTAGCAAGTACAGAGCAATTTTTTCAGGAATGTTATAAACACTTAAAAATTTTATTGTCCTTTGACTCAATCGCATAATCCTGCTGCTTCGATAGACGACAACTGCCCCGAGAAATGCAGGTTGTGCTGTATTTTTTCAAAATCAAATCAATAATAAAACTTCAGATGTTTCAAAAATTAATTTTGGAGCGTCAATTTCAAAACACAAATGCGACAGCAAAGCAGATATATTCTGTCACATATCTGGAACTTGTACAAAATCGTAGACCAATGAATGAATATATTGAACAAATTTACTAAGATTGTTTTCATCTTGAAATAGCCAATCAGAATGAAAATTCGGTACCACGTGAAATTTACAGTTTCTGTTACACAATGTGAGTTCTTGGAATGACAATAACCTTAGCAGCAATGGATATTACAGGATATCCTATGGACGTATTATTCGTGTCCGGAAATTAGGATACCTCTAGGATATTCTAATTTCCGGTTATTTGTAGAACGTCCGTATGATATTGTAGAAGGTACACAGAAAGAAACTGAACTCAGAATGAGTCGTGTAAATGGCTCATTTTTATGTGCAACAAAAATGAACCAGGTTGGTGGCGCCACTTTCTATGTCGTTTAGTTTAGCATTGAATCATTTTGAGTTGCAACAAAAATGAGACTAGGTTTTTTCTGTGTAGAAGGTTATAATAACAAGAATAAAAGAAAACATTTTGTACACCAACAAAATCATAAATTTTATGTAATTCACCTTCTTCCAAAAATGTAGCAAACGATATAGTTTAACAGTAGAAGATGTACTTTCTGATGGTATAAGTAACAATATCAGTGTTGATGGCGAGGATGATTATTGCATTCCAACTGGTGAACAAGAAGAAAAAGTTCCAAAAAATTTGACACAAAAAAACTTGTCAATTTCATCAGAGATTAAAAATTACTCAAGGATGGTGCAGAATATCTAGCTTCAATTTTGAAAAAGAAAAACTTGCTATCGAAAGGCACCACAGTACAATTTTACCGAAGCAGAGAAAAGGAATTTCAAAAATTTCTGAGTACAAATACAGAATGATTTTCAGACGTACAGTACTAACAATTAGTGATAAATTATACATAAAATACATATTTCCTTACCGCTATGGAAGTTTTGATTTAAATATTGTTCCTTTTGAGAATCTTTTATTAATTCAATCGACTCACTTATATTTTTTTCTTCTGGCATTTGTTTTATATTTAAAGCAAATATCTGAAACTAATTAAAAAATTTATGAAAATTCAATTTTATTTTTATAATACTCCTTTAGGCGCATTCTTTAACATATTGCAATTAAATTCTTTGCTAATATTATTTTTTATTACAACATAAACAATTAATTCAATGCCATACGTAGAGATTTAAAATATGTAAGATTAGTTGTTTTTTAATATTATTTATAACTATTGTAACAGAATCATTATCACAATTCAATTGACACTCTAATTAAAAAGAAATTTAATCTAGTTTCTAAAACTTTTTTTACTTCAAGTAATAGTAAAAAAAATATTATTGTAAAATCAACACTTGTAACTTTAATTATAATATTGTGTCACATACCAAAGCGAGAAACACCATAAACAAATATAAAAGCATTATTAAAAGTGAAGCGCGTTGATAAATTTTTTTATAATTATAAAATTATCTAATTTACGTATGCACTAGTCAAGAGTTGACTGTAGGACTAAAGTTATCAATAAATATATTAGCTGTTATGCTAACAGGATTCAGCATTTATATTAACGATTTACTTCGCACTGTACTTCGACCTTTTCTCACTTGTCCTCTTAGTTTCCTTTATTCAAACATGACTCATAAAACACATACTAAATCTTCATGTAAAGATTTAACTAACTTAAAACACCATTAATGGATTATTTTTATTTTTCCAATAAAATCATTAAGCAGAATTATAAGAATGTCAACAAAAAACTCGTTTAAAAATAATTAAAATATTTATAGTATCCGTTAATTATTGCAATGCATTTAATTTTCAAGTTCAAGTTTCTATCTTTTGCAAAACTAATAATGCCACGTGTCATATATTAGAAATTAATAGCCAATTGCAAGAGATACATAACTTCGTGTTGTTTTTCCACCGAAAAAAATAATAAATAGGTTCTAAGAAATAAGGAGTGTCTGTATAAAATGTTTACTAGAGTATCTTCTTTTTAAAAATAAATAAATTTAAATATATTTATATAATCAATACACGAAATGAAAAGCTACACAAAATTTAAACTTGATTTGGAAATAAGGGGAAGAACTCATAAAATTTTATAAGTACATCTTTAAAAAAAAGAAATTTGAGTTTTCAATTTTTTTAAATTAGGCATTATTTAACAAGGATTATTGTTATTCAGTTTCACAAACCAGTAATCTATTCTCAGACGAAATCCTCTTACAAGGTCCTATACATTTTCATGCATAATTTCATGTACATGCGAATTAACCTAATCCCTCAAGAGAACCAGCAAGGGAAATGTACAAGAAATTGGAATGGTATAGAACGCGTATACGATAACGTGTGAAAATTTCTTTCTTGTGGGAACATGTATCAGTTCATGTACTTGTTCTTTTACAAATTCTAATAATTATTATTATTATTTATAAGTTTATTTACTCTCCCTGTATTCACTAGGGTTTTAAGTTCAAAATACATAATATCTACTAATCTAGTTAATTTAACCTGACTCAACTACATTCAGAAGGAATAATTTTTACTTTAAATAAAAATGATCAAATTATTCCACATCCAGCGCGACCGGGTTCAGAGTTTCTGGGGCTCTATTTGACGATAAAATAAAAATACATTTGCACGCGGACGCTAGTTAATTTATTAATTAAAATTAACAAACGTCTACACAGATCACAGGGAGGGAAGTTGGTGAACCCAAAAATACAAAATATAAAAATAAAAGATGAAGCGACTTCCAGGAATACTAATTTATTGAACAAAAGGTAAAATAAAATACATTAACCATATTTATACTTGGTTAGATCTATATAATGATCTTTAAAGGTCAAACAATAAAATGTAATTTTCAAATAACTCCATATATATGTATATGGATAATATGTATAATTTCGTCAAATTGTAATTAGTACGCTCTTAGTGAAAAATTGCGAATTTAGTGGATGCATTATAACGTTTTAATTTCTAAAGGTAAAAACCGAACTACAAACAAGACTGTCTCAAATTAATATCAAACTGAAGGGGAACTTGAATTGGTCATGTAATAATTTTCATAGTAAATATGTTATAAAGGTATTTAGTTATAAAATAAAAAATAATACAGCTAGCGCTAGGACTCCATTAAGTAAACACATGCAGTGCTTCCAATTATCACACGCTTAATATCTTTTTTCCATTAAGTCTGTAAATCAATTTGAATTTTTATCGATGCAAGAACTCTAATGGAGTTATAACGCTGACATTATCATAAATTCTTAAACAATTTTAAAAGCAAAACTCAATTTTATTATCTAAAGATCTTGTGAACTTTGTGTTGACAATGAACTATTATCTCCATCCTCACTATCGTCCGAATAACTTAAACTTTCTTCGGGAAAAAAATGATGATCAAAATCTGGTCTCAAATGCTTTGTACAAAGATCAACATTTATAATTTGAAGAAATGGTGAAATCACTTTAACTTTACTAACATCAATACCTGAACCTCCAACATAAACTTTTAAAACTATTCCATTTGTTCGACTTTCAGTACATTTTATAGCTAAATTAATCCAATTATTTGTCACAGAATTACATCCAGAAATATCAAGCAATTCCAATTGAGTTGCCATAACCACTAAAGTACATAAACCCATATCTTTAATTTCCGGACATCCGCGGCACTGTAAACTTTTTAAACTCAGAAAATTCCCTAAATGCTGATCCGTAACTTTTCCCAAGTAACTGATTATTAATTTTTCTAGTTTTGGTAATGTCACCAATCCTGCCAGGCCCTTATTTGTAACAGCTTGGCAACCTAAAAGAAGAAGAAAATAATTATTGGAAAAAGTAAATATTTGCCGCAAAAATTTATATGTGACCGTCCACGACAAAACAAGGCTTAGCTCCCAAAAAATCAATTTTGAGCTTTTGATGCTAATCGATAGATTTTAAGTTGCTCTTTCACATGCAAAAGTCAGAAATTGTTTATGTCAATTACTTTTGACACTATAACGTTCTAAAGACGGGCATGTCAAGCGTGTTCCTTGTTTCTGCTTCTACTTCAATCGCTTGCCCTGTGAAATTTAATTTTGGGAGCTAAGCCTTGTTTTGTCGTGGACGGTCCCATATATTATCCTTAAATAATTACCATGAATATCAAGATATTTCAGATTTTTACAACAGGCACTAACAACAAGTAAACAATCATCAGTAACTGAAATGTTCTGTCCAAGATTTAATTTTTGTAACTTTACTAATTCAGCAAGATTTTGCAAGGCCTGCGATGATAACATAGGAAAATATCCACTTAGTTCCAAATTCTTTAGACTATTTGTACGCAATCGTAGAGCTTGCATTACACTATCGTTAAAACTTACACAGGTTTGCAACGTAAGTGAATGCAATTTATCAAACTTTTTTAAAGCCTAGAAAAAAATCATGTAGAAAGTACAATAGCAAAAATCTGTATCGTAAATAACGAACTTACATTTAAAAAATGACATGGTGAAATCCCATTGCATTCGGTGAGAATAATTTCCTCAATTGAATCTGTAGGCAAATATAAAAGACATTTTCCAGTCAGACAATTCGAACTGATTTTTAAATACTTCAATTGCTTATTTTTGGAAAAAAGTTGTAACAAATCATGATCGCATGAATTTGTACAAGAACCCAAGGACAATTTTGTTATATTTGAACAACTTGCGGTTAGAGCAAGAATACCAGATGATGATACATTTAATGATGATAAGTTGATAGTTTGCAAATTTGGACAAAATTTACTGACAATTGTTAATGTACTTTGACTCAAACGATGAGAAGGTAAGGAAAAATCTATATGATTCAAAAAACGACCACAGCGAAGTAAAACTTTTCTTAAAGTTGGTGTATCAACATATTTTCTTTTTGTAGTGTGTGCAAATCCCCATGTTGTTTGAGATAAATCTAAATGACGAAATCCACGCCATGCTTCTTGACTTACTGCACGCCAACGTTGACAAACTAGAAGAAATGACACAATAGGAATAAAAATAAAACAAAAAACTTATAATTTTATAATATTTACAAATTATTAGAATTTTAATTTGTAACAACATCTCTGGTTAAAATTTCGGAATGATTCCAGATTAAATACAGACAGATCAGTCCGAATTAGTCCAGAAATTGTACGAAAACAATTCGAAAATGATTCGTATTAGTCAGCAATCAGTCTGGATGAAAAAATAAATCCGAGCTCAAAATCAATAATAATAATTAATCCGAAACATTCCGGTTTCGAGTCAGGTTTCTATTATCCGGAATTTGTCCGGTTAAGTCTGAAATTAGTATTATTTATGTGCTAGTAAATCCGATCTAATACGAAATTAATCGGATCATACACAACAAATAAATGCAAAATTATTTCTATTGAATCCGAAATTTATTCGACCTGTGTAATCAGTAAATCTAGAATCTTCATTCACGTTTGATCGAACTGACTTCGGATAGAGCTGATTAATTTCATCTTCACTTGTTACACAAATTGGGTGAATTTCGGATTTAGCCGAACTAATTCCGGATGACAAAAACCTGACACTAAACCGGACTGATTCAAACTAATTCCAAATTAGTCCACAATTTTTACCAGGGATTTTTATTTATCAGAATTTCTACTAAGTTGAAATTTTCAACGACAGAATTATATTTAATTAATTTCTTACCGCTTTCTATATTAACTTTATCTACAATGGGAAGATAAAGAAATATGTGAATTAAGCAATCATCATTCAATCGATGAATTGGAACTTTTTCATCTGCCAAGTAATACTGATGTGGTTCTACATCATCACTGTCATCGGATATTGTTTTTTCTTTCTTTTTCGGAACAATTTTTTTTTTATTTTCAATACTGTCGGGTTGATGCCAAGCATCTGCTGGCATTACCCTTAAATCTCGATTATGCAACTGAATTGCTTTCTTATAACCATCTTCTCTGGCTCTGAAAATTAAATAAAATTATTTAAAATAGTTTAAATTTCTATTTCGTTCAGCGCCTTGGTTTTACGGTTATATGGTTTGTGAAATCATTCGTGTAATTTGTTACAATCTGATATTGATGAGCTTTAAAATGATTTTAATTATATTCTACTCTAGTCTGATGTAAATAATATATTGAACTTAAGCTTATCGAAATGCAATGTTTTTTCATTTACAAGAAGTAATACGCTTTTTTCTGGCAATTATGTTACGGATGGAGTAATGTTACAAAGAGTTTTTGTTGCACGTGATACAGTTATTACTTTTGATTGCAAGTTCAGTTTTATTAAAAGTCTTGGAAAAGTGCTTGTCTTCTAAAGCGGGATCCCCACTCAAGTCCAGAATATACCCGTGGAGTTGTATAAAAAATTTAATTTACCTTAAAGCATCTTCAACATTATTGAATGTGACGAAAGCATAATTATTTTTGCCAACGTTCCTTTTTAGATAGCAGCCATCTAATTTTCCATATTTGGAGAACAGCTTTTCTAAATCTTTATGTGACGTCTAAAAATAAATACGAGATGGTAATGAAAAACATACCGATTTAGGTTTTAAATAATGTTATTTATCAACTTCAAACGAGAAATTCGATATCATTAAAAGAACAATACAAGCATGGCCAATTATTTTTGTTGCTGTCCAAGATCGGATTTTGTTAACTTTTGAAAATTTGTACCGAGTAATTACTTTAAAAACCACTGTAAAATTTGTTTAAATTCAGATTCAAATTATTTCATATCGCGTTTTTAACAATTAATTGACAGACAATAGTAAGGCTTTAATCTAAGGGAATAGGGCAAAAAAAATCCACTGCACCATCTGTATTAAAGATTTTCAATTAAATCATTTATTAATTAAAAGTACATATTTGAGTTTTTGCAATTCCAAATGAATGAGTTGTAGAATGTTGCTTCTTAGTCCATTTAGTCTTTCAATGTTATCCGCTGAAACAGTAAATACTTAGTTAGGCAAGAAAAGAGAATAATGAATGAAGACTAACGAATAGTAAATTAATTTAGCTTACTTTTTTAGTTCTTCAATAGGTGCGTCTTTGGCCTTGTTAAAATATCCACAAATATGCGTTCCCCAATGGCCAAAATGAAATCTTAAAACAGAAAGATTTTCTTGGACACGTTCAAATTACAGAAAGTTATTCTGCTTCAATAACAACTGTTAGTAAGAAGTGTCTTGGAGTCACATCGTTCTGAATCTCAGATTTCTTTAAAGTAGACTTGTAGCAGATGACGAAAATCCAAATAACAATCATCATAGTGTAATGTGATTGATTTTTGCGGATACTTTAAGATATAACGAGAACTAGAAGAGCATTTATATAGTTAGCCAAATCCTCTTGTTTTCTCGTTTCTCATCCGACAATGTCCATTTGTGTTAACACGTTAATGTTTATTGCGTCAGCACATTAATGCCCATCGCACCAGAATATTAACATCCATCGCATTGCCACGTTAATGTCCATAGCAATATTGCATTATGGTCTATCTCCCTGATGTTATAGCTTGGCCAACATCCAAAGATTCATTAGCTTTTCCTTTGATGATATCTACCTCCCTCAATTCATTATTTTATACTGATTTGTTCAAAACTCAATTTTTTGACAGATGTTCATTTTAACAATTTTACTATGAAATTTCACGTATGTTAAATAACAAATAGAAAATAATAATTTGAATTTTAATCACACCTTATCAATTTTGAAAATGAAATATTAATTATATAAAAAATTTTAAATTACATTTTAGGGGTGCGCTGAAACAAAGCTCTAACCACCGGAGTGACTTTTCAACAAACATCAAATTTAACTAGCTTAACTAGCTTAACTTCAAATTTAACCTATAAAAAATTGGCGTGATTTGTTGTATATTGCAACATATGCTATGATCTAAATTACAATTTTCATCACACGTAGATTTCGGAAAGCGATATCTTTTCAAAACATTGACAATTTGAAATTATTTTTACATAGAGTATAGAAAAACGCTTTTTTTTACGCAGTGGTACATTACTTTTCTTTCGTTTTTTAAATAGGAATATTATAATAAATTTTATATATTTATCATTTTGTTAAGTAAGTAAATTAATAAATTATGAAATGACGGTCAATGGAAAAACTCATGAAAGAAGAAGCAGTCTACATTATGCTGAAACAAAGTTATCACTCGCAGCGTAATTTACTATACTCAGAATATATGTTAATAATGGGAAAGCAGTTCTCAAAGGAGAAAGTTAAAATGAAGTTGTTCAACATTGTAAAATAAATAATATAAAGTAATTAATTAATTTTGTAACCCCGTCGGTTACATAAAATCTTCAAGGTGAAAAAATTGTAAACACTTAAATTCGTGGACACGGCATTCGGAGTAACCCATACAAAGGGACATACAGTCACAGCTTCTACGCAGATTTCAGTATCGGCATTCTCAAAACCCATACCGGAAACTGAGGTTGTTAACATAGTAAGTAGGAAATGTTTAAATAATGAATAATACCGCTGGTTTTCTCAATCTACAGAAAGTAGAGAAATAGAAAAACCTAATGCCACTGGTTGAATTAACAACTCAGGATAAGGAACAAATTATAAAGGAAAGTCATGGATCGATCATGGCTCAGTACTTTGGAGAGAACCAAAATCTGGAATAAATACAACTGTACCATCAAAGTTTGAAGATTATAAACATCGTAGACAATCAAGACATATATAGTCGCATAACTCTTTATTGACATTTCGATTACATCTTGAGACATCCACGGAAAAGAAGAGGTTTGTACAACGGTATAGGGTCAATAGTTAAGACACTTTTTGGAACATTAATACACTGAGAGATCTTTTGCACCGCATTAGAACTACGTGTGTGACTGCAGCGCCACTATAGGTTTTGGTGCGCTGCATTCTAAATTTTGTATCGTGACTGCCCAAAAATAAAAATGAACCTTGCGGCCGTCAATTTTTTGGACAGCTACGCTCCAAAAATTGTACGGCTGCAGACCAAAAACGTAGTTTCATAGCTGACCGCTAGAATGCTCCGCAGCCGTCTATCGAAAGTCTGTTACGGTGCAAAAGGTCTCTCAGTGTAGAAAGTGATTTCACTCTAATAAACGACATAGACAAACTATACGGAGAGAATGCAAAGCTTTCTCAAAGCATGGAGAATCAAACCATAATCATACGCAGTCTCCTCAATCCCAGCACCCACAACATAAACCGTTCCATCACTTTAAAAGAATGTAGCGAAGATATTAATTACTTAATAAGCGCAATAAATTATGTCAATCACGGGATTGTTCATCGATAACTTCTGACACCGAAGTTATTGATGTTAGAATTAAAAAATCTGGAAGAACAAAACGTTAAATATCCTATCAGACTGAATGACTACAACTACCAACATGTTATCGACAAATCCGAATTTTCAGTAGCAATAATAGACAGAAAATTGACATATACGTTTATAATCCCTGTTGTTTGGATCTTATTCCCATACCTGTACCTCACGGAAAAACTTTCTTAGCAGCAATTCCATCCCACGAATTTATATTAGTTAGCCAGGACAACACTTTTTACGTTATAGTAATAAACATTTAATCGAAAGTTGTAAACAAGCAAAAGCTGTTAAATTTTGTAAAAGGACGCAACCGAGTTATTTCTGAAGCGAAATACATTCTTGCGAGAGTGAAGTTCTTAAGTTAAATGTAAAACTTTTAGATGGTAAAATTTGTCATGTTTCAATTTTCCAAGTACAAGAACTCGTATTTATACCTTTATACGCCGAAAATCAATATATTTTGGTGCCAAAAAACCCAATAGAAATTAGTACAATTTGTGAAGAAGTACCAGTAATAAAAACATTCAATCGGTAACTGAATTACAGATGTTAATTAAATTGAATTAAATCGAGTAAAAGATAGGGAAGATTATAAGTTCATTAGATCAGGAAAATGCAAGTTGTGCAAAATTGTCATGCAAACATGTAGCAAGTTTGGTGCAATTAGAAAAATGTCCAATCACGGCAAGCTTGGCACACAATTGCTGCAAGTTTGCAAAACTTAACATAATGCGCAGTTGTAAACGGAAGCTTCTACGGCTGCGCAATAAATTTTTAACCTCCAAAGCGGGGTGCCTTCTTATTAGTTTATTTGGAAGTAAATTGTTATAAGTTTTTTTTTTAATATTATACAAGCTTGAAGCAAGCTTGCAGCAAGAATATAGGAAACAACTTAAAAAAAGAATTACAAAAATTAATTTTAAGAATAGTTTACCCCCTTTAAATTTTTTTAAATAAAAACGCTAAGACACGCAAATTTTATTTTGATCTTGTGGTCGATTTTTTTGAGCAAATTAATAAATACACGAAAAAATCTGAACTCAGAATGAGTCGTGTAGGCGGCTCATTTTGATATGCAATAAAAATGAACCAGGTTGGTGGCGCCACTTTCTATGTCGTTTAGCATTGAATTATTTTGAGTTGCAACAAAAATGAGACTAGGTTTTTCCTGTGTATTTGTATAGACATGTATAAAAATATAAATGTCTCCTAGTTTTAAGTCCTCTACAATATATATCAAGTTCAAGCAAATTGGAGATACACACCTCGAGTACCTTTGTTGTTAGTACAATCGTAAATAACTCAATGTACGAGTTATTAAATACTTTACTCTTAATATATTAGTTAGTATATAGATATAAACCGGTCAGATGCATTTAAAAAAATTCTTATATGAAACAAACAATTATTATTACAAATAAATGTGGATTTATATGTGTATGAACAAACGAAAAAACTTTACTTCTTTCAATATAATTTTAACAGAGAATGGGCATAATATGCTCAAGTATTATTATCTTTTTTTTACTAGAAAAACAGTTTTGCTCACAAACAGTAAAATATGTTACTAACCCTTTGTGCTAAGTTTCCAACAAATAGTTTTCGAATCGGAATACCATCTTCGGTAAGCAATGAAGTTTCTTCATTACTGGATAAGTCATAATCTGAAAAATAAAAAAAATGCGAATTATTATTTTTTATCATGTAAACAGATATTATAACGTTTAATTTTAAATACACCAATCATATATTAAACAAAAAAATTAAGAAAAAAATCGTTAGTATTAAAATTTATTGCTTTTTAAACACAAGTCGATAAATGTACTGTAACTTCTATATTTCAAAGAATTAATATTTCGTAACTTCAATACTGATTTTTCCATATCATATAAAAGCAATTTTAAAAGAAAAAATAAATTGAAAACCCCAAACCTTAAAAGAAATACTTTTAGGAGAATCTTACAAATTAAACTTTCTATAAATTTTATTTAAATAAGCTAATATTTTACTAATTTGTTACTTTCGGAGAAAAAAAATTTCAAAACAGTTATAAAAAATTTAATTTTTGACTGGGACGTTTGATGAAGAATCGCCAATATATATATAAAAATTTTGTCGTCTAGACGTTATTTTTAATTTTAGAGTATTTAACCCATAACCAATGAAATGCGTCTGAGAAAGTATGCTAATATTATAGTTTAGTACGCATCCTTAATGTCTATTAACTTTAAGTTAGTAATACATGCAAATAACACTAAATGTTTGTATCAAAATTCAACCTCAGATTTCTATATACAGAATATACCTATAACAAGAGAATGTGAATCTTAAATTATTATAAGTATTATTAAAAAACATACCGTCTTGTGAAAGAATACTTATGCGATGAAGAATATCAAAATAACATTGCCCAATATCTTCGTTCATTTTTTCTTTTTTAAATTTTCTTTCAGGAAAGATTTTTATCGTACATATTTTTTAAACAAGAATTGACCACAAAGTATAGCAACCATTTTTCTCTCAGGCTGCGCTCGATCGCTTCATTGCGTTGAATAAAGGGAGATACAAGGACAGATATATACTTTCATACGTGTTACACTCATTGTTCAACGTAAAACGCAATGTTCAAACCTGGCAACGTAGAATTCATATTGAATTATACTTTGAGCTGCAAAATTTTGCCACCAGGGCAACGCTGCTTTACCGAATCAGTTAATTCAGTTAAGTGGGGGAAAATTTAAGTTGGCACAAGATAATTTTTTTTAAATAACTCGTTTCAATGGAATTTTTGAACTTAAGATTAAGATTTTATTTCTTATTTTTAAAAAATTATTTAATGCCATGGTAAACAATTATTTTTTTATTTATTTTTTTTAAACCTACAAGTATAGAAGAAGTTGCTATTTTTAGAGAACTATTTAATCCAATCAAGACGATTTTTTCATTCCATTAAATAGTTATTTAAACATAGGAACTAAAATCTCAATACAATAAATGTAAGGGATTATTTTGCTTACTGCAGGGTAATTATATTATTCGTATATCACGAACTGATCACATAAAATAAGATCATTCCAATCTTAGAAATTATAGTAACCTTAAAATCTTTTATAGAGAAACAAGCTTGGGTTGCGCACAATATAAGGGTTTTGAACATAAATGTTCTAAAATGTAACTAAAAGGTACACATGGAATAAATAAATAATTTAATGGTGAAAAATAATTTATTTTTATTAATTTTAATTAAATATCGTTAACGAATTAAAAGTATAATTTCACAAATAAATACATACAGATCTAAAAGTTAATAGTGACAAAGTATAAACAATTATAGACTGCTAAAAATAAATACATATTTGAATGCAATATTTTACAGCTATATTTCATAAAAAAAATGTACATCTTCAATCGACTTGTTTTTTAGGCGTTGCTGCTATTTCAGCCATTGTAATTTTCGAATCCATTTGAATAAGCGTTTCAGAAATGCTATTAATAATAGAATTATAATTATTAAATAAATCGTGAATTTCCCTATTTAAGGCCTTTGATTCTTCATTCATTGGTAAATAATTCAACGACAAGGTATTTAATTTTTTTGATAGTTCTGGTGCTTCTTTCATACTCTCTATTTCCAAAACTGGATTTAATTTTTCTATTTCAGTTAGTAATCGAAGATTTTCTTTTATTTGCGCCTCAGAAGTCAATATATATTCTAATTTAGCGTCAGTTTGTGAATCACAATCTTCAAAATTCGAATCTAAATAATTACTTAATTCTGGTAATCTATTAATTAAGGTATTTATACTTTCGCGGCCAGAAAGCGCAGTTGATATGAATGTATTTATATTAAGGAGATTTTCAATAACAGGTGTTTCAGAAAATTTTTCCTTAGCTGCTGACATTGAAACATTTCCATAAATTTGCTTTTCAAGAGCAGCTACTCGCTCCTCTAATATTTCAAGACTATTCGACATACTGAAACAAAATATTTAAAATTAACAAATAAAATTTTTTCCTACATTTCGAAAGTAAAACAAATTTAATGGAATATTAAGGTTGTATTTTAAGACTGAAGAGTAATCTTTGATTTATGGAAAAAGTTTCGAAAAGCTCATTTAAAATTTATTAAAAATTTTAAATTAAAAATACCGACAACTGATATTTAAATTGTTGTTTATTTATTATTTATAGCATAATTTTACCGTTTAGAACTTTGAAAAATATCAAAATGATTTTTTATGTTATCTTATGTTTTCGCCATAAAAATCAAATTTTCGGATATTATCACTGATTTTCGTAATCAGAGCACCAAAATACATAAATATACGTGGTATAAAAAAATAGGAGATCAGTATACGGTAATTATATTTCTTATTAAAATTTTTTATCATTTATCTCAAGTACAATTTCTCATTAAGCTCTCCTCCAATTTTTATTAAAATCGGTTTATCCGATCGCGAGTATTTGATTATTTACTAAAATGTTAAAAAAACTTTGACCAACTTTGAAAAAATATTTACAAGTTTTTATTATACCATCATAGACTATCGAAACATATAAAAATGAAAAAAATCCATCGACCCAAAAAAATTTATGGAGCCACTTTAAGAATTCTTACCCATTACGATACTCATTTTTTCAAAACTGACAAATCTTTTACTAAATTGAGATTGTTAACAACGAGAATGTAAAAATAATAAAATTTATACAATTGCATGCGACGCAATATTTAAATCACCTGCGTTTGTTTTTTATAGAAATTTTTAACCTAATAAACGTCTATCTAATGTTTTCAACCTAAAAAAGGCAAAAATTTGTAAATTTTGAAATGGCACTTTTTTACAGTCATTTTAAATGGCATTTTTTCACAACTTTTTCGAAACGGTATATTTCTCCTCCCAAACGACGAAATATTCATAAAAAACAAATTTAATGTAAAAACGTGTTTAGAACATGTAATAAAAAAAGCTTTTTTTTAAAACTATCGGAATCATTCAACGTTTTTTTGAAATTAAAAAAACTACTTTTGTGTGTAGTTTTGTTGCAAAATTATAACAAATGAAAACAATTACCTAGTATATTTAATCCACTTATTTTAATCTCAATCAAAACAACTTGTTTTTCATGTCAATCATACATACATCAATATATAGATCTGTTAACTAATGAATTCAAAATATGTCATTCTTAAAGACTCACAGAAAGCTTCAGTTATTGTCCGCAGCACCACTGAACTAAAGGTTCTTCAATTACTTTTACAGTACACTTTGGATATCCATTTATTACTCACAATAATTATTTTCACCATTTTTTACTGATTTTTTGAGATTTTTAACCTCAAACCAAATGTTAATCGAATTATTCGAATTCGGTTAGCATCTGGTTTGGGTGATCCGCTATAGGGTTTCCTCTCAGGTTTATGCGTAATGGAGCGTTCACAGCTCGTCTGCCTGCGCAGGCAGCAATAAGAATAACAGAGATAAACAATTAGAGTTAAAGAGAAAAATAGTTATTTATGATAAAAAAAAGCAAAAACTTTATTTAATTGCGGACATCATAAAATCTTACATAAAATTTAAGAATTGAAATATCAACTCATTTACTTTTATCTATAAATATAACTAAAAAGACAATGTTACACGATTTTGGACAAATTGTCAAATCTGCGAACGTGCGAACGACCGAACACCCGAACCACCTCGCGGTTTTTCACGTCAAAAACATCGAAATCACAAACGGTTCTTTAGTTTTCGAGGCTAAAGGTGCTTATATACCTCAAATTTCGATCAGATGAACATTATTTCTGGACCGTGAAAATGCGTGAAAAGTCATTTTCACGGCGGGTATTTTTGAATTGTTTTAAACAAAAAATGTTTTTTTAAGAAATATAATATTAAATAATTGTTTTAATATGTAAGAACACTTTAAAATAGTGATAGAGAGATGATTTGATTAAAAAATTTAGCAAATTTTGCTTTAAAACGTTTTCTGCTACAAGAAAGTGTAAAATGACGATGTTTGTGAAATGGTTTGTACAGTGCTTCTTCCTTGTTAGTGTCTCTCAGAGTTTTGTTTATGTTATGTCGGTTCTTTTTAACTTATAATAAATAATGAGTGCTGAAAATAAATCGGTAAGTTGAAATGTTTATCAAATAAATTTAAATTCAACTAATTGTTTCGAATAACTGAAAGAAACATTTACACATGTACACTGTACAAACCATTTCACAAACATCGTCATTTTACACTTTCTTGTAGCAGAAACGTTTTAAAGCAAAATTTGCTAAATTTTTCAATCAAATCATCTTTTTATCACTATTTTAAAGTGTTCTTACATATTAAAACAATTATTTAATATTATATTTCTTAAAAAAACATTTTTTGTATAAAACAATTCAAAAATACCCGCCGTGAAAATGAGTTTTCACGCATTTTCACGGTCCAGAAATAATGTTCATCTGATCGAAATTTGAGGTATATAAGCACCTTTAAAATGAATCGAGCATAAACTTGGTTTTGTGGTGGCGCGTAGAAGCTTCCGTAGAGATGTGAACGCTCCATAACTTTACAACCCTGTTCGACGGATATTTTCACATTTCGTTGTTCCCAACTCTGCTTGTCACTTGACAGTGGGAATTTCGTCTGCTCTACGAAAGTTTATAAATACACCGTCAATTAAATACATATACATACACTAATATTTTGTTATTTCTTACTGGCTATTTGTGTATACAAGAGACTATTTAAATATAAAACAAAACACAAATGAATAGTTTAAAAAACACTGCTCAAAAGTTAAACACAACATTTTCAACATAATAAATCAAATTTTCAGGCTTGTATTCTTTTCTGTAAACAAATCGTGCTTCCGAAATAAACAAAAACATTAATTTAAAAAAATTTTTTATAAATAAAAAAAAATTACACTAATATTAAACAGTAAAAATAATTGAAATAAAAATATTTAACTAAATTTAAACTTAAAATTTCCGTTTTCATAAGAATTATTATATTAACTTATTATTTCTATCCAAATTTTAAGTTATAAATATAGATTTTAATGACTAATTTTCTGTTTGTTATAACTTGATTTTTTTCTCTCAACTTTTAAATAGAAAAGTATGTACTATTTTAACACGTTTGAATTGCTTCCGGCTTTAGGCTCCCGGTTAATTAATTCATAAACACGATTCAATTTAAATGAAAACTGAACTCTCACATTAAACAAAACTAGACAGAGAGGTCAGGAAACTAATGTTTATACCTCTTGGTTTAACATCAATAAAATCATTTTTGATTTAATTTTTTAAGTTAAAAATTTCTGCCATTTAAAATAATGAAGAAATATAAATATATTTTGTTTATTTATTGTTTAAACTTTATTGATGTATTTCAATTATTTTGCGATGCTGCATCTGCACATTTACATCATCACAGAGAATCATTTGAGAAAGAAAGAACTGAAGATGGTGCATTTAGTCCAAGAAGCAATAATCATTATGTAAATGGTGAACATCATCAAGAATTTGATCATGAAGCTATTTTGGGTAAGTGTATAACGCATATCACCTTTTTAAACTTTTATATTCCTTTTTTTACATTCTCATCATAATGAGAAGGTATTACATTTGGGCGATTTTGAGCAATCTCTAATTCCAGTAAATCTCGACGTTTTGAGACTTTCTGATGCCGAAAAAATGTGTCTTAAAAAAATGTTTGTCTGTATGTATGTATGTATGTATGTATGTCTGTAGACAAATTTTGTCCGACGATAACTCGAACAAATTTTAATGAATCGACTTCAAATTTGGTATACACTTTAAGTGTACCAAAATCTTGCCTGAGTTCGTTGGCCAGATGATTTCGTCAAAAATCAACAAAATTATTCAAATTTTAAGTTTTTAAAAATTTCAAAAATTCGCATTTAAAAAAAAAAATTTCAATTTTTTTTCGAAACATACGAGTAAAAATAAACACTTTTTTCCTCTGACAATTTTTAATAGCGATTAAAACAAAAAAGTTATACCTCTTTTTTTAAAAAAAGGACAAAAAAAGACAAAAACGGATGAAAAATGGGTAAAATGCAGGGCAAAATTACTTTATTTTGAGAAAATATGAGCAACTATGTATTATCTCTGTTTAAACCACCTTAAATTAACACAAATAACAGTAACTTACTCATAAAATTCCGAATTTTTTGTTTTTAATTTTTTTATAAGTCCAACTATTGTTTTGCATTTCCAAACATTGCAATTGTTTTCAAAAAATCCTCTATTTTAAAATAGTTTATATTGCACTGTTTATACCACAATTTCGTATTTTCTGATTATTTACTTTTGAATTGGATTAAATTAATTTATTTGTAGATTTTTTACATTCTCATCATAAATAAGAAAGTATTCGTTTTGGTCGATTTTGACTTTTTCTAATTTCAGTGAATCTCTACGTTTTGAGACCTCCTGATGCCAAAAAAATATGTTTTGAAAACCTGTCCGTCTGTTTGTCGTCTGTAGTCTGTCTGTAGACTTTTTTTGTCCCCACGATAACTTGAACAAATCTTAACGAATCGCTTTAAAATTTGGTACACGCTTTCAACATGTAAAAATGAAGCCTGAGTTCGTTGGACAGACTAATCCGCCCAAAAATTCAAAAATTATTCAAATTTTGAATTTTTAAAAAATTCAATTTTTCTCAAATTTGGAAAAATTTTTTTTTTTAATTTTCCCTTAAAATATTCCCAAAAGTAAACTTTTTTTCCATTAACACTTTTCGATACAGATTAAAACAAAAAAGTTAAAAAAGTTATGTTCTATAACGTTTAAGGTAACAAAAATTTAAAATTATTTTTGATGTGTTATTTTACTCATTAATTTTTTGCGGCACAGTTTTAACCTATTTTTCCACCTTTTCTTTCAGCAACTTTCCTCTCTAGATTCATGAATCTAGAGAATCTAAGAACTTTGCAAAGTTTTTGAAGCAGTATTCATAAAACATTTTTTTCACTATAACGAAAGCATTGTGAAGTGAAACAAAAATAATAAGCCAGTACCCGTAAAAATTTCGTTAATGGGTTAATGCATGCCTACTTTTTCTATTGTATGTTTATATAATTTTGATTAATTTAAATCAATTTTAATTCAATCACGATTTAAATCAAAGGGTTACACCCAGAGAAATTATATATTTGTCTCAGATCCAAATAAATTTAATTTGGTTTTAAGTATTTCTCTTGCTAGGTCTCTTACATTAAGAAAAAAATTCTTATTCCCTTTTGAAGAATTAAAAAGTTTTTCTAAATTATATTAGATGAAAAAATATCGATTTACAAGTTACAAGTTCAGAAACAAATTTAATATAATTTGTTAATCTCTTTTTTATGCAGGAAGTGTTAAAACAGCTGAAGAATTTGACAAATTACCAAAAGAAGAATCTAAAAGAAGATTAGAAATACTTTTGACTAAAATGGATCGTAATAAGGACAAATTTATTGAACGAAATGAATTGAAGGCATGGATTCTCCGATCTTTCAGGTAATGTAATGAAAGAATTCGCACTAGAATTTTTCATTTAACATTTTTGCTTCTTAAAATATATTTTTTACATTCTCATCATGTGAGGAAGTTTTATTTTCAATTTAAGTAATCGTTGATATTATTTTAATGTTCATAATTTAATCTTATCAATAAAGGACACGTGAATATTCCCCACATTAGATCTATCGAAATTTTTGGGGTGCCGAATTAAAAAATCATCCAATTTTTATTTAGCACAATAAATTAATTATTATTTTAATCGTGTAAACCAATCATGATAATTTACCATTTGAATTATAACTACCCAGGTGCGAGTTGGCGGTCGGCCCCAAGTTGGGCCAACCATGTGCTCAGTCGGCCTACCATGGCCAGCCAGAGGACGGGCCAACTAGCGAATTGATAACGTCAACCGACCTAGGGTCGACTTGGTTGGCCCAACTATGGCTGCCAAAGGGCCGACCAATAAAAAATACAATATAAAAATTTGTTATACGAATAACATATATTAGTAATTATTCTAAATTCATCATACAATTATTTTAGGTATTTAAACACTAAACGCAATCTTATACATACATACTAGGGCTGCCGACCGTCGTGCCCGATGGTTGGCCCAACTATGGCAACCACAGTTGGCCTGACTATGGGGGACTATGCCGACTGTATTTTTAGAAATTTTAAATAAGAATAAAAATTTTAATTATCATAAATTAATATAATAATAATTAATATTATAGTATTAACAAAATAATTCTTAAAAAAATTAACTATTTCAAATTATTTAATAAATATTCTATTTTATAATAAAATAATAATGAACAATTTATTTCATATCGAATCACTTTGGCGTTGGCAAAAAATTATTATAAAAATAAAACTTATTTAGATAAGAAAATTAGTCAATTCGAAATAAATTTTGCGTTTAATTTATCATGTATTTATATTTTAATTATTTAAACGACCATTATATCCCACAGTCGGCCCAACTGTGGCTGCCGACCGTCGTCTTCAACGGTTGGCCCAACTATGGCAGCCACAGTTGGACCGACTGTGGCTGCCAAGGTCATGCTGACCATAGTTCCCCATAGTAGACCCAACTGTGGGTGCCCTAGTCATGCCGGCCATTGTTCTCCATAGTCGGCTGAACAAGGGCGGCCAAGGTTGGTCCAACTGTGGCTGCTTACCGTCGTGCCAGATGGTCGGCCCAACTATGGGAACCATGGTTGGTCCAACTAGAGCTGCCGACGTTGGCAGCCATAGTCGGGCCACCTTTGGGTGACAATATTTACCATGGTCGGCCCGACTAGGCCGACCGAAATTCGCACCTGGGTAACAAATTGTAAATTTGTGCTAATTTTAAATCGAATTTCTTCATTCCAAAAATGATTAATAAATTTTTCTTTTTTTGATAATTATCATTTTCTGCTCTAATTAATTTTTTCACAATTCTTTTGTGATATCTTCTAAACTTGCTGGAATTAAATATTTAAATTATTAGTTATTTTTATTTGAATCTAATGTGGAGAATATTTATGAGTCTTATCAATAATAATTTGTCGTTGTTAACAGTATGTTGTCAACGGAGGAGTCACAAGATCGATTTGAAGATGCAGATGCAAATGAAGATGGAAAAATAAGTTGGGATGAGATTCTTCAGGACACTTATGGTTCTGATTCTGAAGATTTAGCTATCGATGATAAATTAGTTAGTGATGATAAAACTACATTTGAAACAGCTGATTCTAATGGTGATGGGTTCTTAACAGCAGACGAATTTAAAGCCTACACACATCCTGAAGAAACACCAAAAATGTTTCCATTATTATTGAAACAGGCTATTGACGATAAAGATACGAACAATGATGGTTACATTGATTTTCAAGAGTTTCTTGGAAATAGAGCGAAAGGTGAAGATAAAGAATGGCTTTTAATTGAAAAGGAAAAATTTGATCACGAACATGATAAAAATCGTGATGGCAGACTAGATGATAAAGAAATTCTTTCCTGGCTTGTACCAAGTAATGAGTAAGTATTTACAGTAATAAAATTTTCAACAAAATTCTTATGTTAAATATATTTAAATATATGTTGTATATGTATATTATTTTTTTTACATTATCTAATATACAGTTCCCATAATGTGAGTATTTTAAAATAAGTGAAATTCCGAAAATAGCAAATGTTGAAGAGCGCTCTACAACATATATGAGTTTCATCCAAATTGATTTCGAATCTATAAGCAGATTATTAAAATTCAAAATGGCGACTCTAATATGTCAAATGGGATATTTTTAATTTTAAATACCGAACAAAGTCGTTTAAAATTTGGTTTTTCTTTTGAATACGAATTTAATTGTTTTGTAAATTACAACTTATAATAAAATTTTCAGTGATATTGCAACAGATGAAGTGGATCATTTGTTCGCTGCGGCAGATGATGATCATGATAATCGTTTGTCATACGAAGAAATATTAGATCATCATGATACATTTGTTGGAAGCGAAGCAACTGACTATGGCGATCACTTACAAGACATCCATCGCTTTGAAGATGAACTTTGAAAATAATTTAATCATCGATTATAATTATAAGTTATAAATATTTTTCAGTAATTTTAATGCCTGTGCTGAAACCACTCGATGCTCTGATTTGAAAGTTATTACGCATAAAAATTCTCCTTTTGCGTATATCTGAACATGTAGTGATTTCAACGTAGGTCTTCTAAAAACTGACGAGTTAAAAGCGACGAAATTAATCTCCATCAATATTAAAATATTAATTTAATTAATTATAATATTTTATTGTGCTTACAATTATTAAAAAATTGACTGATTCACTTTTTATATTCGCATTTATTATTTATTACGTCTATTAACCAAAGTAATATTACGAGGAATTATTCCTTGAAGCGTGATTTGGTTTGAATAAGAGAATATCTGTACTGAATATAGTAAACTTCTAGCTTAAGAAAACTGTTACCATTATTAGTAATTTGTCCCTGTAATATGGACTAAGGTAATTAGGAGTTTAATTGGCAAAAGTATTAATAAAGCTTTTAAAATCTGTACATCTATAAATCTTCCATTGACTCTTATATTTTTTTGAGTCGTTTTTTAAATTATCACCAATGTGATACCGATGTCTACGAATTAAATTTTAGAATTTTTTAAAATTTCTATTAGTCGCCCTACAGTTGATGCCAAATTTTACTGTCGCACAAAGAATTATAATAATTAACTGCAAATGAATTGTACCTACATATGCTTTGAGAGTTAAGTGGAAAATTTTGCAAATGCTAACAATAAGAAACATATGATCAGAAATGAAAATTTAAATAATGGAATATAAACCTATTTTATTTAACAATTAAATTATGCTCTACAAATTGAATTTAACAGGATGTCAAATTAATTTTAATTCCATAATTTTTTGAAAATTAAACAAAATTTTTAAAAAACAAAGATAATGGTATTTTTTCTTGCCATAAAATCATGTATTAATTTTTGGAACTAAAACTATTAGAAATTGCAAAATACTTTACCGCTATAAAAGAATGGATAAAGGAATTTCTATTGGATGAAAGTAAAGAAAGTATGTACGTGTGAATGAAGAGGAAGAAAATTAAGATGTAAAATAAGAATAAATTAATGTTAAGATTCAAAAGTGTAAAAAGAAGTTTGTAAAAACTTGAAAGGTATTGGGATCTCTTGTACTGTAAGACGCTCTCTGGCGAAAATTTTTGTAACCCTCGAGAGTAGGTCGTTTTGTCTAATTTTGTCCAACTTCCACCAATCAGCGTAGGTTTTTAACGCGGTGTCGAAAAATGGTACCACTGAGAGGAGGTTAAATGATTAAGCCACGCCCCACAAGAGATCCCAATACAAAAAAATAATAAAATATGAAATTATCATTCAAATATTAAAGTATTTTGTTGTAAAATACTAACACCTAATACAGAATATTTTTTAAATTTGTTTATAAAATAATAATAAAAATAATATTTTTAATTTATTTATAAATGTATACGGGCTTACAAAAAATATGATTTTTTATTGTATGTGCCATTCCATGAGTTTTTTTTATCACTTTTCGGAGTAACCTATTCAAATTAAATGAAACATTTTTTTAATAATATTTATTAATAATATAAAGGTCCAAAATAATTACTTTTTAAGTAAAAACAATTGTTTATTTAAAAAATACAACAATAAATAATTTAAAAAATTCACTTTTTTTCTGCACCACCAAATAAATTGGTTTAAAAAAATATGCACAAGAAAAATGACGTAATTCGAAATAGTTAACTCACAATTTATTAAACAATGTTTGTTTACTTTTTTGTATTTTATTTACTGTGAAACGTCTGCTATCGATGCGCGCGACGTTCGGAAGTTGTCCCTCTCGTTATTGAGCAGAAGCTCATTACACTAGCGTAATAAAAATCATGTGTCAAAAATGAGGTTTCTCATCCTTCAAAAATGTTTTTTATGATTTTTTATTGCAAAGTAGTAAGTCGAATTCGCGTAAATCGGGGTTTAAGTTTTCATATAAAATAAATACAATAATTTAGAATTTAGAAGAAATATGTTTAATAAAGTATCAAGTAATAAAACTATTTACATTTTTATGAATAAAAACAACGTAAAAAACAATAATAAATTATTTATTAATTAATTACGAAATTCGCGCGGCCATAAAAAAACCGCGTATCTTCGGAGCTTCTGTTGCATTTGCGTAGTTATGTTCTGAAGGCGCTTTCTCCAACTTATTTTGACCCTTCGCCACCTGTGAACTACGAAGGCTCCTTTCTCTTTTTTACCTTCGGAGATAGCACGCCTCAGAGTGCGAGACTGGATATGATCCTTCCTCACAAATCTGAATGTCTACAGTTTTTTAAAAAGTTGAGAAAAATTTTTTATGTTATTTTATTCCTTCCAAGGATCGAATTTTTCTCCAGTTTTTATTAAACATTCCGGAAGGGAAAATCCTTACTCCATACCTACGGTTTTTGTCCGCAAAGCCTAGAACGCACTTCAGGCCAGGTAGTATAGTCCATCCGCTAACCAAATGGATTTGTAATTTCAGGAGCACAGATTGTGCTGTTATATCACAAAGCTCCTAGAATTACTTTCTGGATTCCTGGCAAGATTAGAGATTGTAATACCCTAGATCAGGCGGCTAATAAATTTACACTATAGCCATTAAAACAGCTTTTAAATGTACACTGTAAAAAAAATTTTGTGTCGATTTACACGCCGAATGTAATCAGTCAGATTAGCCGTGGAATCTTTTAGTCCTTACAAGTCTCCCGGTCTGGACGGCATCTTCCCTGTTCTCTTACAAAGAGCTACAGGGGATGCGGTGGGACCATTGGTGAGGCTTGCCAGGTCTAGTCTGACTCTCGTTTATGTTCCAAAAGTATGGAAAGATATCAAAGTTGTCTTCATACCCAAAGCAGGGAACAACGGATATTCCTCACCGAAGGATATTTCCGTTCAATTAGCCTGGCATCTTTCATCCTGAAAATATGCATGGTAGACAGATACATCAATGGTCTAGTGGGTCAAAGTTGAACTAAAACCAGCGATGTCTTAAGGAGCATTACGGGTGCGGTGCCCACTACGCCCACAATGGGTCCTTGGTGTTCTCTTAGGACTAGAACTCTTACCTGAGACTACATAGGAATAGATGCCCCAAAGAATTGAGCAGGTGGCGTACGTCTTTCTAAAAAACCTTAGTGGGTAAGCCTCTTCTTAATATGATTAGAGATAGGACTTTTCCACTTTACCTCTTTTTGTACGAATCAATACCAATTAAGTATTTAAATATGTCTGTTAACGTAAATTGCTTTCTGAGAATTTTCAGGCATATATGTAATTAAAATAATTGCCATATATAAATGTAAACTGAAAGACTGCATACCGTCTAATTATATTGGATACCAGTTATAAAAGTTTATACTTTGTATGAAATAAAATTAATCAATAATTTTTCTGAATACAATACTTTAATCATTTAAAAATGCATTTGCCATTTCGTATTTTGGAAAGTTGACTTCAAATTAGTATTCAGCAGTAACCAAAAAACTTTTCGAAAGTACCCCTTAGGCAGTGAGTTCCAATAAAATCTAATCGCTCTGTACCTCATGTTTGTTTCATTTTAATAATGTTCTTTTTCAACTTAGTCATAATAACTATATGTTACAATCATAGAAACATAAAGTAACAATAAGTATTTTATCTAAGGTTGATGAGGTACTCTCACATAAAATGTACTGTCTATACTTCTTTATTTTTATCGACAGAATCTATGGACACTATAATGCAACAGTATTGATTAAATTTTTTTCATACAAAATTTAAACCTTTTCATCCGGTCATTATTATAATTACAGACACTGTCCACACTTTCAGTTTAAATGTAGATACGGCAATTATTTTAATTATAGGTACGTTTAATAGTTCTTACAAGACGTTGTTCGTTAATATACATATTTAAATACTCGGTATCGATTCGCACAAAGAATGAGGGTGGTCATAAGAATGACCAAAACAGATTGCCTTTTGCCAATATTGCATATGCATCAAAGAGATGGATATAGTTCAAAAACCATACTATAAAGTTACCAGATATATTATAATTGTAATAGGATTAAGTCGACATCATCCCATGTGGTTCAATTTATTTTCAAAATTTTACATTCTTTTTATTTATCTTTCTTTTATAGTTTTTCAGGTAATATTACATTTGATTATACAGTTACTTTTTAAATTTAATTAATTAAGAAATTTAGGTTGCAGGATTGGTAAAATCATTCGGTAATGTTGACATGATATTGGAGTGCATGTCGCCAATATGTTATGTTTCAATGAGTACAATTCTTTATATAAATAACATTCTTCAAGTAAAACAAGTAATTAATGAATATTCTTTCTTTTGCTCTCTTAAAAAAATCTATGTTGTTCACTGATCTTCTTGCAATTAATTGTTCTAACAAGTTTTAATAAAAATTTTTTTATGTTGTAAATTTAATTTTTTCTGCCGTTTATACTCCTGCCCTATTGGCATATTACGCACTCGACAAGAGTCCCCGAGAAATACTTTTTATGGATGAAGCATAACCATTCTACAAATTTTTGCAAATTTTTAACCTAATGCGCCTACAGTGCGACTTTCGAAGATAGGAGTACTCGCATTTGCCTGAATTACCCGTCATTGGGTTTTCTCGCCAGAGAAGAGGGAAACTGTAGAAAAACCTCTTCTGAGTACAACCGGTTTATCGACTGTCTAGTTTCGGCGGTATACATCGGACAATTAATCGACAATGCATACCGTCGCACCTAGACGTCAAACCTCCCGCTCAGAATAGCTCACATGTCGGAAAAATCCCCGGCTGACGGGGGGCGCGAACCTCGTTCGCTCAACCCGCAAAGCCTGGAGCACCAACCAACTGAGCTATTCCGTCGGTGTAAATTTAATTTACTTTATAAGATATGTAATTGAGCAACCAACGCCCGGACTGTGGGTCCCAAAAGCAATATCTACTTCGAGTTGCGCGGTGGAAACGAGAACGAGCCAATAAAGAGACTAGATTCTATACCCCTCTACGCAACTCGAAGTAGATATTGCGGTTGCACATTTTGTACTTGCACCAGAATTTGGAACAAGTTCTTGTATCAGAACTTGTACAAGATCTGGTACAAGAAAATGCATGTGCTCTTGTACGTATTCTTGTGCAATATGTACATTTTCTTGCACCAGATTTGGTACATCTTCTTGTACATGTTCATTTATGTCTTCATTTAGTAAAAATTAAAAACTTTAAAGGCATGAACCTGCATAAGAATAAAATGTACAAGAACATGTACATTTTCTTGTATACAATTAAATATATTTTCTTGTACAAGATCTGATACAAGAATTTGTTCCAAATTCTGGTGGAAGAAAATGTACATTTTCGCACCAGAACTGGTACAAGTTCAGCTGCTGAACACGTACAAGATGGATTTTCAATAGGGTTGTACGCTGAGGCTCAATTATACTTTCTTTGTAGATAAATGTTATTTTCTGGAAAATAAAAACTGACTGGGACACGTTAACATCAGAAGCTGAAGTTGATATTCTACATAAATATGGGAGAAAATGTCAAATTTACACTATTATATATACTCGTACATATTTTCTTATATTAGATTCGCAATTACATATTTAGGAAATTGTATATACAAGATTTTGTAGTTAAATATACCTTTATTACTGTCATTAATTCATAAACCTTTGATTTTCTACTTTTTTAATATTGTCATTTTTCAGTTGGAATATTTGGAAATGTTATATTTTATTATTTTACACATGGCATTCCTCTGTTGATTAATATTTTTCAAAATAGTAATAAACCCAAACCGCTGCTGTTTCTTATTTATTGTGGCGTAGATTCACAAAAATACTACTATTTGATATTATTTTACAGTTATTTAGTTGGTTGGTTTTGTAGTTATTCGATTGCAAGTGGAGCTACTCTTCTTGTAATGTTTCTTGAACATGCTTGCGGAATATTTGATATTATAGGGTAAACTCAATTTATTGTTTGTATTTTTAGACATTTATTAAAATTTATAAAAACTTTAAGTCAATGTGTGATTTATTCGGTAGTATTAAATAAGACTACAACATACGTATTGTTCGCAGGCATAAGTTGTCTATTGCTATTAAAGAAAATCCTGATTCTTTTAATGACATTAGTTCTCGAAAAAAGCTTAAGAGGGAAATTAATCTTTGTGTGTCAATGCACAGAAAAGTTCTATTGTTTGTATAACATAAATTTTACCTAAAATTGAATATACTATTAGTATTATTATTTTGACAAATAATAAATAAATGTTTAATGTAAAGTTTTTCACACTTTACACTGAGAAATCAAATCAACGGACTAATAAAAATCTTTTACTTTTTGAGATTTATCAATGATATTCAGACTGTTCTTTCAACTCCCTATCTTTTTGTATTTGGGTGTTGTATATTGTTGCTAAGCACGACGGGAGTCCAAGTAAGTGAATGATATTGATAAAAAGAAGTTTTTGCATCTGTTAGCTGCAATGTCAATAAAGAATATTCACCTATAGGCTCTAATCTTATTCTGTGATTCAGTATGTGATGAATATGAAGGAGTCTGGTGATGGAATGAGGTTCGGAGTTTACGTAATATGTCAAGTATTTCATATTTTTCTTTTAACACTACCAACTCAGCATTTACTGGATAACAGCCTTAATCTTTCTAGCTCTATGTACAAATTATTTTTCAAAGTTTTAATATTTTTTTAAATTAAAATACAGCAAAAAAGATCATAACATTAATTTATACTTACAAGGATTATTGCTTTTATTCATATATAATTTGAGCTCTGCAAGTTGTCATTAACGTCCCTGGTTAAAATTTGGGACTGATTTAAGTTTAAATACAGACAAATAAGTTCGGAATTAGTCCAGAAATTGTACGAAAACAATTCGAAAATGATCCGAATTCTAAAATAAATTACTTTTTGAAAGATATACCTTAATATAAACTTCTAACTTTGATTCTACATAATATGCATCCAACAAAAATGGTATTTAACATAATTTTCATTTAATAAAAACATATGTACACTTTCGGGAATTGTCATATGCTTCTCCTTTTTTAATGAATTACTTGTAAATAAATACTTTAGCGTTATGAACTTTGAATAATTTTATAACTAACAATTATTTTCATAATTGATAAAATTAAACATTTATTTTATTAGATACAATGCAGATTGGTACCAACTGTCAACTGAAACAAAAAAATTGTTACTTATAATAATGAGAAAAGTTTCTGAACCAACTACATTTATCATTGGCAAAATATTCATACTTTCATTGCAATTTTTTACGAAGGTATAGTAATTTTTAAAATTGAATATAAATTAATTGCTTTTTGGGACATTCTAGAAAGGTCAGATTATGTTTTATTAACATTATTTTTAATTATTATGAATTTAATTAAAGGTTCTTCAAACATCAATGACATATTTCACAGTATTGAGGTCTGCGCGAGGATAAAAAGAAATTTTTACTGTTCTTTATGAATAGTAATTTAGATATTTGAATAGTCTTTCAAAAATCTTTAGTAGTAGACAAAATGCTTAGACGATCACACTTTATAAAGAATCGTAATATGGTATTAATTTAATTTCAATGCGTTGAAATTGTTCATCATTAAACATGATCTTCATTAAATCGATAAATTGTAATTAAGAAAAGAAAAATTTTTTATAGCGAGTTATGTCGAGTCACGATTACTTGAAAGTAAATAAAACTTATAAAAACCGCTAATATTTTGTTTAATTATAGAAAAACCTCAATTTCATTTCTAACGGCTTAAGAAATAATCAGCGACTGAAATTCTAAGCACGGCACTCTTCATAGCAGTTTGAATTTTAATTAATTAATTTTTTCAAACTGAAAAATTGTAGATCAATATATCGGAAAAACTTTTGTTAAAAGAATAAGTCGCGTACTATATCACTAAAAAATAATACTATTCTTAATTAATATACAAGATATATAAATAGGTCAAGAGTCAATCTTTTAACTTATACGGAAAGTACACTTATTATTACCCTAGGGCAATAATAGATCCATTACTAACCTGCAAGCCCGAACAATTACCCACATAGCACAACTTCTTGCTGTGAGGTTACTATAAGGATATCTGTAGGGTTTGTAAGGTTATCGTGTAAGCTTGCAGTAAACTTGAGGTAATCTTAAAACTTCCGCCTTACAATAAGCTTACACAGTAAAGCTAAGGTAAGCTTACACAGTAAGGTCGTGGTAAGTTTACATGGTAAGGTTGTGGTATGCTTACACGGTAAGGTTGTTGTAAGCTTTTCGTAAGGTTACTGTGAACATAAAGTAATTGAAAATATATTAAAAATAATTACATTACAATATATATTATACCTATTATAAATTTCTTTTTATAAAAAATTATATATATGGTAAAGTACGTCATGAATCCCAGTAGGGTTTGTTAAATAAAATTTACTGCGCAGCGGTATGTGCCATAGAAAACTACTGCGCATAAATATTAATAAAATTTATTTATTAACAACATTCTATGTTTACAGTAACCTTACAGCAAACTCACAGTAACCTTACGAAAAGCTTACAACAACCTTACCGTGTAAGCATACCACAACCTTACCGTGTAAGCATACCACAACCTTACCATGTAAACTTACCACGACCTTACTGTGTAAGCTTACCTTAGCTTTACTGTGTAAGCTTATTGTAAGGCGGAAGTTTTAAGATTACCTCAAGTTTACTGCAAGCTTACACGGTAATACAAACCCTACAGATATCCTTTCAGTAACCTCACAGCAAGAAGTCGTGCTATGTGGGTAATTGTTCGGGCTTGCAGGTTAGTAATGGATCTATTATTGCCCTAGGGTAATAATAAGTGTACTTTCCGTATAAGTTAAAAGATTAACTCTTGACCTTTTTGTATATCTTGTATATTAATTAAGAATAGTATTATTTTCTAGTGATATAGTTCGCGACTTATTCTTTTAACAAAAGTTTTCCGTCCAGCATTTATAATCTCTTAAAAATGCTTTCTCAAGGAGATTGAATTCGATGAAATTTTTAAAATTATTTCTATATCTAGGTAATGTCAATATATTTAGTTATTTATTTTTTCCAGAATATCCTGTTATTTTTTATGCATATCCCTAAATGTTTCATCTGAACAGAACCATAAATTATTTTTAAATTTTTTGAAACATAAATTTGTAAAATCGCACGAATATCCTAAGAATTAAAGTAAACTAATTATATACAGGAATTAAATTTGAAATTAAATTTGTAGAAAACTATTATTTCCATAAATGTCAAGAATTGACGTAAATAATATATTTATCAATAATTTGGTGCACTTTATCGTGAAAGCTGTAATTCATATTTCATATTTTTCATATTTATTTCAGTTGATAGTTCAAACTGAAATCGTAAAGGCTCTATGATGTTGAAGTATCAGCATCCAAGCAGGTTAGGTGGTTGGTGGAGATGTGAACTTTGAGAAGGGTCTAAAGGGGTTGGGTTGGGCTTGTTCCAGGGGTTAGCTTTGTCGAAATATAAGTAGTGCTCTTCTCATTTCATTACTCGTGCTAGGAGACAAAAAAGAAGTCATAACAGAAAAAAATGTTTTAAGAAAATATATATAATTTTTTTCGATATTCTTGCAACAATTCATTTAGTTTTACGTATTGTGTGAATCATCTGATGTTGATATGAAGTTGCTACACACTTTTAAATTTATTCTACATTTCATGTAGTATTTCATATTTGTGTACCATCATATGTTAAACAATAAGTTGAATGCAGCAAGGTATGTTAACATTTTACTACATTAAATAATTATTATATTAAATAAGATTAACAGATTTGATAACTATATTTAAAAAGTCAGCTAACTTTATTTTAAAAAAGTATTAATAATAGAATTTGTTATAACAAAATATTGTAATTCTTAAACAAAATTAAATTAACTAAATTTATTATCACTCACTAATTTTTATTAAAAATATTTGTCTGGGGTTCATTTTGCATTTTTAACAAAATAACGTAAACATATGAAGAGAATTATTATAACTTATTCGAATAATTTTTATACTTAAAATCGTTTTAAATGAAATTAGAATTTGCTGTAAACAAAAGATGAAAAAAATTTTTCATTTCTTCTTTTGTAATTTTCAAAGTGGTATTTTAAAAATAAAAAAATATTTCTATTATTAACATAATAATTTTTACAGTAAAATTTTTAAACTAATTATTAATTTATAAAAGAATTTAATTGATAAAATTTTTTTATTGATGACAATATGCATGTAGGTACTATAAATGTAATAACTTTTATGATATGTAAGAGTTTTTTAACCTGTATATTAAGGTAAATTAAATATTTAACTACAACTATATGAAGTTTTTTCTATTGCTTGAACATATAAGAATATTTAAATATCTTCTTTGACATTTTTAAGACATAAGTTTTCTCTTTCTTATTCTTAGCTTATTACAGTAATCTTTTAATTAGAAAAACAGTTATTTTGAAAAATTTTTCTCTTACAATTGGAAAAAATGTATTAATTTAATTTTTTTATTTGAAAAATAAATAATTAGTAAATAATAATTAATGAATAATCTTGCGAAAAACTCACAATTTATTTCTTTGAATTTGATTTTTCTCAAAAACGGTAAGTCGTACTAAAAAATTTCTTAAACAAAAGTTGTAGAGAAATAATTTCGTGGTGCTACTACTGTAGAACTTAATGTGTAAAAATAGAGACTTTTCCTCTTCCTCGTACCAAAAAAATCATTTTCGCTCTTTGGTGTAAATAGAAACGTCCTAGAGCTCAAAAAACCACAGTTCTGTTCAATACTTTTGTGAGTATATTTGAAAAAGTAATTAATTCAATCCATGCGTCAATGATGATTCAAAAATTGTATGCATGAATAATATACAGGGTGTAGCAAAAGTCCCGGGACGGTTAAATATATCATAAGGATTATACTTTTGGAAAAAATCTCCAATACAAAATTATTCAGGATAAAAAATCGATTGTGGTACGTAAACGACAATTCGGCCCAAGGGCCTTACGTGTGAAAAATTAAATTTTTTAAATGACATCGACTATTTCTAACAACACAGTGTTATTGCGGAAAATTGTCTCTATCCAACCATGTGGGCCTTAAATATTTTGTTTCTTTGACGAAAATTTAACATTTTATCAAAGATGTGGAACATTTGCTGTGTTATTTGAACAAAAATCAAACTGTTTAACACGTGATTAACTTTGGGCTTTAAATCTTCCGTGTTATAGATTCTCCCTATACAATGATTGGTGCCAATTTAAGATTTGGCATTGGGGCTTCTGGAAATGTTACTTCGAATGCAACTAAAATTTTTCAGTGTCATCCAGGAGGAAAGACAGAAGCGACAATTATTTTTGGCTTAGGGACACTAGGAATGAGTGCAAATATTTTATTGATGTCGCTGATATTAATTAAACAACAGTTACGAAGGTATCTTTTAACAATAGTGTATTTTTATCCCCTTGATTAAATTACTCGGTTATTATTTAAGAAATTCCTTGCAAGGAATGTAATGTACAAAATAAAAAATAGCGGATTATAACTAACCGGATTAGGGTTCGTTGCACAGAATCAATTATATGCGCTAAGATTTACTTGAATATTTATAGATATATCTAAGTGAATGATAATAAGGATTACATGAGGAGCTGGATATTAGAACTCGCCCTCCGCTCGGCTGAACTCCGTAGAGCCAGTCAAACGTTCGAAAAAATGATAAAAATTGAAATTCAAAATTTTGAATTTTGAAAAATACTACATTGTAGGAAATTAAAAGGCGCATCATTTTTCTCTTTTAAATTTTTTAATAAAACGAATAGTTTAGTTTCTAGAGACCAAAAACTGAGAAATTTAAATTGTTACCATTTACCCAAGCAAAAATTTCTGTCACACGCCGATATTGACAACAGGCGCAATCATGCACCAATACTGGCTGGCCGACAGTTGGCTTACGAGTATTGGTTCAGTACTGATATGGATTAAATTCTGTACTGTGCCAATACTGCAAGCCAATACCGGCATGCCAGTATTATTGAGACAGTAATGGCAAACCAGAACTCGGTCAGTATTAATTCAATACCGAATGCCAGTATCCAGAAAAATTATCAAAATTGACCTCCATGAAGTTGGCGTTGACGCCAGCGCCGAAAATTATTTTTCACAGGACCAAAAATGTCAAATTATTTATTTTTAAAGATTTTCGGTCCAAATAGGTAATGCCTTAAGAAATACTTTTTAAGGTATTATGTGAACCCAAAACTTTTTTAAAAATGATTTTTTATTTTTGGTCCCGTGAAAAATAATTTTCGACGTTAAGCGTCGACGCCAACTTCATAGACGTGAAAATTGTGTATTTGAATTTGAATTTGAATCAAATTCATTAATAATTGTCGGAGATACGATGATATATGTTTTAAAACTTAATTAAATTTAACAATTTAAATTTCTCAGTTTTTGGTCTCTAGAAACTAAACTATTCGTTTTATTAAAAAATTTAAAAGAGAAAAAAGATGCGCCTTTTAATTTCCTACAATGAAGTATTTTTCAAAATTTTGAATTTCAATTTTTATCATTTTTTCGAACGTTTGACTGTCTCTACGGAATTTAGCCGAGCGGAGAGTGAGTTCTAATATTCAGCTCCTCACATGTAAAAAACAATATTTTGAGCATGAAATATAATACCTATTTATCAACGGATTAACATCGACGGGAAGCTTATAAATTCATTTTTTTTCCTTTTAGATGGTCACAAGGACTTTTATTTCATCAAGCATTTATTGACTGTTCAAGAGCTGCTATACTTTTACCCCTTGGTTCAAGCATTCTTAAGTGTCAACCGATAAATAAGTGTTCTTTGGTTGAAACAGCTTTTTTATTGTTAGTAACTGTATCAACAGTAAACATGTTAACTATTGTACTGAATGATAGTCCAGTGTTTCCTGAGTGTGACGATGAGCCGGAATTAACTGTCCCGCTACTAATGGATTCGCCACAGGTAAATTATAATTTAAATTAGAAATTATACTTTCGAAGGCACGGAAATTTTACTGAAATTATTTTGAAATTTAGGGTAAACTTTTTTAGAATATAAGTAAAATCTATATTCCAAATACTATTCTAATATCCCCCCCCCCAACCTAAAACAACGAAAGCCATTCACCAGAAGTAATGAGAAAATTTGTTTGTTAATTCAACTTTTTTGGGAATAATGCTAAAAGAGGATTGACAGAGTTGGCATTAATGAGCTGATTCTTTCTCCTCGCTCCTTATTATTTTCCATCTAAATAATTCAGTAATGATCGTAATGATAAAATAAAAATTAATTTTAAACTAATACGCACTGTTTTCTTGAAAGGATCAAATTGCAACGAATTCATCCTTTCAAGAAAACAGTGCGGTGATATTATATAGCTTAATTTTTGAGTTTTCATATTTTTTGTGTTAAAGAGCGGATCATTAACCCACATATCACAACTTCTTGCTGTGAGGTTACTATAAGAATATCTGTAGGGTTTGTAAGGTTACCGTGTAAGCTTGCAGTAAACTTGAGGTAATCTTAAAACTTCCGCATTACAGTAAGCTTACACAGTAAAGCAAAGGTAAGCTTACACAGTAAGGTCGTGGTAAGTTTACATGGTAAGGTTGTGGTAAGCTTACACGGTAAGGTTGCTGTTACTGTAAGGTTGCTGTAAGGTGACTGTGAACATAAAGCAATATGAAAATATATTAAAAATAATTACATTACAATATATATTATATTATAATTTTTTTTTTATAAAAAATTATATATTTGGTAAAGTACTTCATGAACCCCAATAGGGTTTGTTAAATAAAATTTACTGCGCAGCTGTATGTGCCATAGTAAAACTACTGCGCATAAATATTAATAAAATTTATTTATTAACAACATTCTATGTTTACAGTAACCTTACAGCAACCTCACAGCAAGAAGCCGTGCTATGTGGGAACAAATACTTTTTGTTAATATTTTGACGTACGTTGTCTAATCTGCAAAAATATCAATGTCTTAAATCCTCAGTCGATTGTGATACATTTTTTAAAGCAAGATAGAGTCTTAAAAATATAAACATAGATCATTTCTATGGTTGACTACAATTAAAATAATATCTAAACGTTTGTAGAAACATTATCTGATTGTGAATGAAATGATTTTGCTTCTGAAATCAAGAATTAAAAGAGATACAAACATTTTCGCTTTTAGAATACAACCATAAAATATTGTATTGCTAGAAAGTCATCTCCAAAATTAAAATAACCCATACTATTAATAAAGTGCACGAACTTGTCAAGTTAAATTAGCTAATTGTACAACTAGAGTTGTCACGTTAAAAAATTCAAAACTATCGAAATTTTTATGCTTTGAGGGTGATATATAACATTTACAAATTCTTGGTCAAAACATGAAGGCGGTAAAAAGTTTAAGGAGACTAAAGTTCATAATTATGATAAACAAGTGAACCAAATAAACTTTCGTTTTAAATATTTAGTGTATGGAATGCTAAAAACAGTGAGTAGAATAAGTAAAACTAAATGACTCTATTAACATAAAGTAAAAATCCTTCCCAGTGAAAAAAGGTTTATTAAGCAAGCCGTTTGGATGATAGAGAGCAAACCGTCTGCTCAATAGTCTAAACGACATTTAGACATTTAGAAATAACATTTTGAACTATTGAGCAGACTGAATATGCTAGTTTATCATCTAAGCAGCTTACTTAATAAATTTTTTTTACAATGCTTACATTACAATATTGAGTTCAACATAATGTTGTGCTAATATTAAATATTTGATTTTAAAATTAATCGTTATTTTAAGTGCTCTACTTTCTGAATTATCTTCAGAAATAAATAAAAAAAACTGCATTAGTGAGGTAAGTATACTCTTCGCATATATAATGTAGTCTTTCAAATTAAACCTTCATATAGTTGAATGGGAATGCAAACAAATTATATAAAATACAAAATAATAAAATAAAAAAAATGTATAAATATCCGTATGTGTGTGTTCATTTTAAAAAAGAAAATTATTTGCTATTAAAGTGACATATTTCCATAGTAGTATTTTTCTTATTTTTTGCGCACTTTGCTCACCCAGTAAATTTAAAGTGAAAATATAAATATTACTATCAAATACAATTTTAAACTTTTAATTTTTATAAATTTAAATTTTCTGTTTCGTTCCTGTAGACGGCAGCTTGAAGACGTAACAAGAAAGGTTTTTCTTTTGTTTTAATTCCTTGGCTCGGAATGATCGTTATACTAGAAATTCGAGTGATAAAATCATCATTCCTAATAATAACTTTATTTGGAATTTAGATTAATTAGAATGTTATCACCATGTAGAAAAAAATAAGTGTCAAATTTTAATAAAAGAAGTGGTTAATACACACCAATTGATAAAATTCGTAATTTATAAAGGGAAACTTTACTTAAATAATAATTAAATAAAATTATATGCAATTAATGACAGTTACAAGTTAGAAGCATCAGTGAAAAAAATTTAAATTAATTTATCCTAATTAATCTTTTTTAATATGAATATACACACAGATAAATAATAAAACTATAAAATGAAGTAGATAGACAAGATAATTATAACGTATTACTTAAAAAACACTTTACAGTAAATTTTTTCTGTCAGGATTCTGTTTTATATTATTTAATAATTTTACACATGACAGCATTGTATTGCTCTGTAAAAATTGAATGTAGTAGACAATTATTATTTTTTTTTTTTAATTTAACAAATTTATTTTATTAAATAATAATAAAGACTTTAAATGAATGATGAGAGGTCCAAGCTTTTTTCCCGATGAAATTGCTTCAATGTGGCCTTTTGGATAAGTGGCAGCGCAAAGTACTGATTTTCCATAGTAGCTTTATCTGCCTGCAGAACATTTTAATGTTCCACAAGTAAATCGTATAAAATATTTGTAAAAGAGAGGTTACAAATTTTTTTTCGTTTTACTTTGAATATATTTTTCTTATCTAATTATTTTTTTGCTATTCGGATGTTCCTTCGCAATACCGAATACTTCAGGATATCATGGGAATGTCCGGATGCCTCCAAAAATCAATATATTTACTGACATACCTAGGACATTTGATAGATATCCTAATTTCCGCGATTTACAGAATGTTTGTAGAAATTAGGTAAAAAATTAACTTTTTCCATCTATCTTAAAAAGTGCTTCAAAAATTTTACTTAAATTATTTTTAATAATTTTGCTTTTAATTTTTCTTAATGCTTAGAAGCTAACCTTGATCTTCATCCTTAGTTCCTCACAGCACCGGATATTTCGGCATATCTGACGGTCATTCTACGGATATACAGTAGATCTTATGTATATCCACAATGTCAAAAAGTATCTTATACCCTTTGAACCTCCGCAGGATATCCTGAATATTCAGGTGTTATGAGGGGTTCAACTATTTAGAGTTTCAAAAGCCTTACAGTGCATATTTCTTTTATTACAATCGAAATTTAGACAGTCTTTTCGAAGGCTTTTTAAATTGCTCTACTTTTCACCTAACTTAAAAGTCGAAAAAAGACTATTTGGATATCTTTCACAGAAAATCCTACTCTCATTTTTGTTGCAACTCAAAATGAGCCAATGCTAAACGACATAGACAGTGGCGCCACCAACCTGACTCATTTTTGTTGCACTTCAAAATAAGTAGCGTACGCTACTCATTATGAGACCAGATTTTTCTGTGATTGTGATATTCTACCATAATTTTTTATTCCACTCTTAGATAATAAATTTTTGCTGTTCAAAAATATTATCTACATATGATTTTACCATAAATAAATACAGTGAAACCCACATATATCGGTTTTAAAGGGACCAAAAAGAATATCCGAAGTGAATGGGAATCCAATATATCCGGAACCTACATTTTTATATCCGAGTGAAAAATATCCAATGTAAGCGCGGGAATCCGATTTATGCGGGTTCTACTGTAAATAAAACATTTTCATCAATTTCAATTTATTTTGGAAAATGATTAAGTGTCTTTGTAATTCCTTACTTTCCTTAGAATTTTAAAGTTTGGTGAAAGTTAGAATATTTTAAAAACATCTGTAGAAAATTCCTGGTACATTCCTAGGACATGAATGGGTTATTTAAAAGTCCTACGTAGAAGATTATAAATTTTTAATATTCCTTGTAGAATAAGTATTAGTTTTTGATGAAAATTATAAAAATTGACTTTAACTAATCAAAGTAAATGTGAATTGATTGATTGTCAAAATAAATTTTTAATTTTGTGAACTAGTGTAAGTGAAGAGAATTTAAGTTTTCCCTACAGAGCATTATAAAAATAATATTTCATTATGGAACCTCCTTCAATAACTACAAAACTACATGTTAAAGGATTTTCGGTTTTCTCTAATTACAAATCCACCCACTATAAAAAATGACAACGTTCTGAATACAGTAAACGAAATTGTACATAACATTACCCTAAACAGCAACGGACATTTCAGAATATCCTATGGACGTCCTATCCGCATCCGGAAATTTGGATATCTCTACGATGTCGTTAGGTTATCTATAGATATTCCTGAGAAATCCTTTGGATATCCTACTGCCCGGTTATTCTTTAGACATCCGTAGGATATCCTGAATATCCGGATGCTGTTAAGGTAATTAAAAAAAATTAAAACTTCGACGACCTAAATGACGGGTGGGAGCTTATTGCTCAATTTTACATGTTAACAGATTTCTATAAAACTTCCTCTACAATATTATAGGATTTTCTTATACGGCAATTAATGTTATAGAAGTGTTCTGCAGCGCTCGTCAAAAAATTGTTCATTTTATGCTACAGAACACTTTTACAAGATATTGTAAATTTTATATAACAAATTTTTTTTATTGTTTTAAGGAAATTTTTATCATTAAACAACAATTATGTTTTCTAAGTAAAAGGATTTTACAAAATTGGGTGTTTGTTTAGATAGAGTTGCATTTTTTAAATTAAAATAAGTACTTTTTAACACTTAAACTTCATTTCCTATATACATATTGAAATATATGAAACCAATTTCCAAGATAAATAAATTTATTTTCCGAAAAAAACAAATTTTAAGCAGGTATATCCCTAAAACTAAACCCCATACTCACTAAAATTTAATGTACGTATCTTTAGTATTTATTTAAATATTTTATCAGATTTTAAAATATTTAAATCTTCTAGGAATAATAAATTAGACCATGTTATGAAATATTAAATTTTTTTTATAATTTTAAGGTAAATTCTACGGAATATTTTATGTTGTCTCAAGATATGTTAATTGTTGGTAACTACTCTATTTGAATATAATAATTTATATTTTACACCCAAAAAAAGTAATCTTATACTTAGAGTAAAATTCCTCTTCTAATATCCTCTAAATATTTCCTCTTAAAACAAGATTATTCAATTGAAATATAGAATATTTTTATTCTTCATTTTAATGGAAGAATGACAAAAGGATTCCTTTTGTATTTTCCTCTTTAATTAAGATTTTCCGTTTTAAATTTAGAAGATTTAAAAAAAGGAAACGGAAAAAAATAATGTAATCGTTTGATCCCTTTCCCTGGGTATGATAGTTGTGAAGTTGTTTTTTAACCTTTCAGTTTTAATATTTCTGGTAAAATGTCAACAAAAAGGACAAAAAATGGATTTGCTTTATTAAAAATACAGAAAATATAGTTAAATTCAAATTAAATGAATATTTTTAACGCTATTTTTAGATTTAAAAAAATTTGGATATTTCTTGTGAAATTTTACTACTCAGGTAAATAGAAATACTATAACCCCATTTTTGAATCTTTCGAATTTTTTAAATCTTTTTATTTACTTTTTTAAAAAAGTTTTAAAACGTTAAATAATTTCATATATGAAATTTTTTTCTGTCCTATAAAAAATGTTAACTTTTAAACATATCATCATGTTTTAAAATTATTTTTGCGCTGAAAATCTCGTTGATCATTACAACTGATTAATGAAAACTTATTTTTTGTATTTTAATTATCAATATAAAATGTTGATAATTAACCAAAAACATGACATTGTTAATGTTATATTAAAAAACAATTTTTATTATTATATTGAAATGAACTATTATAATTTTACTTAATTTTAATTTAAAAATGTATTTTCTGCAAAGATTTTATTATTTGATTGAAATTATAAATATTTTATTGATGGCTTTGACATTAAAAACAATTTTACGAGGTTTGGATGTCGACATTTAATTTAAGAGGAAAATCCTCTTAAATGAAGAATAATAATTTTGATACCAAAATTAAGAGGAAAATATGCATTTATTTTAGAGGAATCCTCTAGATTGAAAATTACTTTTTTTAGATAATGATAATATCAGTCATAATAAAATTCTTTTTTATTGACTTATTGATTCTGACTTTATATTCTAAAAACCGTCAGAATTATTTCTGTAACATATAATTTTTTTAAATTAATCTCCAAGGAATTGTTCTAATTATGTCAGACTGACCCAACAAAGAATTCTTATAAGAATGTAGAGCAACTTATGAATAATTGTTTTACTTTTGTTATAAATTTTATTTTATGAAAATTTGGTTTGATAAGTTTACTTATAAAAGTTAAAAACACTGCGTATAAAATGTTAACATTACTTAAAACTGTAAATAATACATACAGAGATGATAGAAGTAATATAAAATTAACTCGGCTTTGATAATTAAGATCTTCTTTAAGCTCGTCCGATAGTCTGATTTATATTACTGTTATCAACTCTATTAATAAATTGTGAATAAAATTAATCCAATTTTTTCTTCACGGGATTCTACATGACTTGATAGGAATAAATGCAATTATATTCAAATTATTAATCCTACGCTTAAGTGTAAATAAACCTAATTTTTTTCGTGTAACTCAAGTTTAATAAACAATTTATACTTTTATACTTAATACTTATATACATATGTATTTTTATTTCAAATTAATATTCTATTTAGTTTAAATTCGAGATCTACTAAAAAAATTTGATTTTATAGGTACAATTTGATAGTGGAATAAAGTTTTCACAAAACGTCTTTGATTCCAAAAACGTTTTAATAACGTTCTTCAAAATGTTATTTAAGTAAACATAAACGTTTTAAAAACGATTTAGGAAAGTAACTGGAACACAGGCGTTTTTTGTCCACTTGATGTTCATAATACATTATTCTAACAATTTGTTTCTTCAATCAAGTCATATAGATTTCTATGTAGTTTCAAAATATTAATAAAGAGTAAGATACTAATATTGAATACATCTTTATCTTTTTCAGACAAGCGTATATAATTTTTTTCAAAACCATCACTGGCAGCAGAAAATGACCAAGATAATTAAAATAATATAGCCTAGAGAAATGATAAATTCATAAAACTGTGAAAATGGATTTCTTAATCAAAACCAGATTTCGCACATGGTAGGTATTTTTAAAAGTTTTTGTTATTTATCCTATATAATTAATTATATAAGTCGAAATAAATACCGTTTTACTGACTCATGTATTCTACTGTTCACAATATGCCATTCTAAGATGGGCTTGTTGCACTCAACGTTTTTTTATGGAGATAAATACCTTTCATTTTCTATAACGATTTAGTTTTTGGCGTTATTTTTCATTTTTCATTTATATTATTAATTATGTAGCAATGATTGCTCTTGATCTGGTCGACCCACTGAAAACCACAAACTTTTACAGGATCAGCATATACATATAAAGTTGCTTTGCTTGAACCACAGTCGTCACCAGTTTTCATTTCTTTTCCCTGCGGAACCACCGATTTTGGACCTAATCCTCGAAATAAGCTTTCGAGGATCGTGATGTTTATAATATGTTGGCCAAAACTCAATCGTTTGTCTAACAACACTCCCAGGTACCTCAACTGTCTGCCCCATTGAGACTATAAAAAAATAACGAATTTTGAACACGACTATAATTTTACCGCGTTACAACACATATAAATGAGTGCTCCAAGTTTATCCTAGAGAGACTTATGTGAAAAGTATTGTACTATAATAGCATTAAATGTTCGGAGGCATTTAGAACTTTTAACACCCTATTTCGTTGACGATAAAATAGTTCAATAGTTAAGTTCGATTAAAAGAATACAGTCGTCCAATAATATTAAATTATGAGTCGGGAATTCTTCGTAGCTACAAATGTTGTAATTTTCTTTATGATCGGACAGAATGCAAACTTTTTGGCGTAATTGAGTAAATTTTATAAAACAAATTTTCTTAATTTGTCAATAAATTTATAAAGCGAACACGGTTTTTTAAAAATCATATAAGACAAAGGAAAACTTTTGTTTATTATAATTATATCCAAATGACTTTAGTTATTTTATAATACAAGTGCATAAAATCGTTGACATAATACGTGAACTCCGAGCTGGACAGATAAGTTGCTATTAATTATTAAATTAGTAAAACAACATTTCTTGTCTTTTCAATTTTTCATATCATAAAGTGATTTAAAAAATCAACTGATTGTTTTCTTTAAATACAAAGTGAAAAGTGTTAATTTCAGAAGAATCACCACATCATGAAGTTTCTAATAGATAAATTCTAAGTGGAAGATCAAACGATGAACTATTATTCAAAAAACGTTTAACTTATAATATAAGTAGATAGAAGTGAAAGTTAAATTAAAATGAAACACAAAAGCTTTTGTAAAAATGTGAAATGGAAAGTCGAATAAAAATTTGTATTTTAAACATCTTTAATGTGTTATTACTTATTTACTGTCATTTTTTAAAAATGTAATGATAACGACTAGAAAACATTAAACTTCTCTGCTTTTCTTTTTAGGAAAAGAATTTTTTTATTATTGAAATGCATGTGAAAAATTGATACAAAAAAATGTTTTTGCATCTTACTAATAAATTTTTATGTAGCTAAAAAGTTATGTAGCTGATGCCTTTAATTCTTTAAAAACTAATGTTTTAGGCCAGTTAAAAAGTAATATGTAACTAAATTTATGTTTTAATATTTTATTCATTAACATTGATATTAATTGCTATCTAACAATATACTATGGCTTTTATTTTAGTGCGTACTTTTTGGTACGTTTATGATATGGTTTGCCAGTATCACCATTAATTTGGGTCCAACTTTCTTAAGTGGAGCTCTAGCAGCAAATACGGATACAGTACAAAATGCACCAAGCTGTCCATTAGTGCATGGACCTTTTCGTCATTACATATTGAATGTACTATGGATTGCTGTTAATATAATTTGCATTGTATTAACATTATTTCACTTAAAAAAATTGCACAGGGATTTAACAAAAGCAAACGTTGAAGCGGTATGTATAATCTGGGATAAATATAAAATTTTTTAACAACATTATATTTTAACTTGCAATTTATAAAGCTGAGTTTTAAACATAATTAAATCAGGAAAGGATTATAAATAGCAGTGCTGTTAACAAAAAGTAAGCAATTATTGCTGTGTGGCAAATATAATTTAGCAAGTTATTATGAAATGAATGAAGCTTGTTGAATAAAAAAACTTAGCTTTTCGATGGTTTTTGTTTTAAATGCTTAAATTGTATATTTACTAAGTTATCATGGCTTAAAAAAGGTGTGTTTTTTAATAGTACTCCTGCTAGCCGTGACAACAATTCCCGACAGTACTGCATTTATATTATTATAATTCTCATTTTAGGTAAGAGTTGCTGGTCTTGTCACTACACTTGTTAGTGTAACAGGTGGGCATAGCGTAATGGAAGGAACAATTACTGAAACAAGGCCGACTAATAGTGCATCTAAGGTAAAAATGTTATGTAGTAAAATAAATACACAATTGAAATGAGTGCTTCTTTGCTTTGCATTACGTGTTTGCTACTACATATCAATGTTTTATTTAGGGTGTAGAAATAAAATTAAAGGTATTAACATATACGAAAGTATTAAAAAGTTTCAGGATTAAAAAAGTTTTTATTGTATTTGAATATTGCCTCGCAATAAATAAATATGAATTAATTAAATATGCACAATTACATAAATGTCACTAGGATGACGGAGCAATAGCAGAACATCGTAAAATGAGAAATTATTTTCGACGCATGGAAAGAGATGGCGTGCAAAGAGTAAAAATGTTCTTAGTAATAACAGCTGCTTATGTTATTTTTTGGGGACCCCTCTTTTTTGTGACTTTGGTACATCACCCTTCCATAGGAAACGCTACTGGCTATGAGGCAAGTGAAGAAATTACATACTAGACATAAGAAAATTAGAGCCAAATTTTTAAAATTTGTTTTAGCGATTTTCTCTCAATTTTATTGAAATTAACAAATGAAAATATTTCGAGGTACTCGTACCGAATTTATGCAATCAAAAATATTAATAAAATATTAATTGTAAAAACTATTGCAATTGACCCAAAACTCTACATATAGGTAGTTTGTTAATATCATGTAAAGAAAAATGATGTTTCCAGGTAACACTTCATATAGCATACGTTCATGCATTTGTAAATCCAGTTTTGTTTTTAACTCTTCATCGAGGACTTCGGAATTGTTTAATGGATTTTTGCTGTGGTTGCTGTATTACCGTTATAAAATATATGTTAGATACTCCATCAACCATTCCTGTAGAATCTGCACCCTCGGCAATATATGAAGCATCTACTACTATACCTATGCAACCGGAGTCTGACTTCAGAGAACGTATTTCCAATCTGCATGACTTCAAAAACATTGTTTTACTAAAACCGCCGCTTCCGCCACTACAGAAGGCCCAATTTAAAGTAAGTTTAAAATTGTGACGAAACTCATAATCGATCGCATAGAAAAGTGCTTTGTTTGCAATTGTAATTAAATAGAATTCTAAAATAGAATCCAATCCGGTATGATTGGAAATATTTATGCCGTGAAGGTTCCCATAGAACGAGATAGCTCTAATTTCTTGACAATCCCTATTTAAAATATCACACATGAGACCCTATATCGAATTTCTTTATAAGTTCTCTTACGTGTGAGTTACTGCAATAAAAATTTTAATCGAATTGTCGTTCCAAAGAGCAGAATGCGATGCGCTTTTGTTTTTGTGAAAGCTAGTTTTTTTGGTGTGTATAGGCCTGCCTTTCAGTTAATCCAGAGAAAACAGAATTTTTGTTATCTTTACTAGATAATACAAGATTCTCACTGTGAGGAAACCAGTATTTCATGGAAAAGAAGTTCCTTTTTCCGACTCGGTTAAATATATAGGATTAAATCTAGACAAGAAGCTGACCTGGAAGAAGCATTTAGATTATCAATATACACTAGAGTCTCCGAAGAGAGGACAGAAAGAGTCTTGGACCTCTCTACGGAATTCGTCCTTGACGCCGAAAATTGTAAACACTCCAGGGCCGTATATCGTATCACAGAGATGTGTTTTTTTTAACAGAATACATTCTGTTACGTATGTAAAACACTACGCGAGAAAGGTACACTAAAAACAAACGCTCCTGAGTTCACGTTCCTCTTTCTGATCCCGCCCATCTCTTCCCCCCTCACTCCTTACCGCGCCGCGTCACTACTTAGTCCTCTCTTCAGAAGTCCTCTCTTGGGAGACTCCAGTGTAGTAAGTTTTGCACTACTTTTTGGGAAACACACCAAGCTCCCAGCCTCTATACTGAAGATCCCAGAAATTAGTGTAGGACAAGACAGAATGGTCAAAAGAGTGAAACTCAAAGCTCGCTTCAAGACCATTGTTCCTTTGAGAAAGAATTGGAAAAATGCTGTCCACTTGGGGGTGAAGTATGGTATACGTATGGATCCAAGATGGAAAGAGGCACAGGCTTGGGTGTATACTGTAACTCTAATGCCACTAAAGTGACATTATCTTCCGGTAATTACACCACGGTTTGACAGGAGGAGGTCTGCGCTACAATGACTTTCGCAATGATTTGTCTTAAAAAAAGAAAATCAGGCAAAAGGATCAACATTTGTGTCGAATGACAGGCAGCTTTGAATCACAGAAAAAACTTGGACTCATTTTTGTTGCAACTCATTTTCTTTTGGGTATCGAAATGAGTATGGGACAAACTTCATGTTATTCAAAATGATATTGGCTGGAATTTCAGATTTCTAAGTTGGCATCATAAGCAGAGTAATTTTGTATTTCAATTATTGTTTCTAATATTTCAACAACACCAGAAAGATTATTTTGACCAGTACGAATATTTAGAAGTTTTTAAATAAAAATTATTTATTATTATTTACGTAGATAATAATTAATTTCATAAGTTTTTAAATTTACCGCTATTATTTAAGTTGGCAGTACCGTTCCTGTTGTCAAAACACATGTTTTCATTTTTCTAACCTAAAAACATATTTCCTTTATTATTTTATTACGCGATTACAAGCAATTTTTAATCAAATATATTAAGTCTAGCGTGTTATTTACTTCTTTGTAATTATTATATTTCATGTTTTTGTGCAAAATTATTCGTTATTTCACAATATTTTTCCATTTTTCTTTTTCTCAAAATGAAACTTGCCTGTTTCATTTTGATACTTTTACCTTAGAACTCGAAATGAAACAACCAGTTTCATTTTTGTTGCGAATCAAATTGAGTATAGAATCTATACTCAATTTGAATTCAGGTTTTTTCTGTGATACCTTGATTGTATTCCTGGCATAAAAACTAATCGATTGATGTATACAAAGTTTACATTTTACTAATATTTATAAAATTGATCGATATTTTAGTTGTAATCCTTCTTTTAATCTTGAATATGTATGAGTGTATCATGATGAGGAAGCTACATGGTCATGAAATAAACACCTAGTTTTTTAAATTATTATTAAAATTTTTAATATTAGCTAATTATTGGTTGCCAATGATGGTTGACAATCATTGGCATCGGCGTGGACAGCCCATGACTATACCAATAATGGTCCATTATTGGGTGCGAATGGTTTTTTCATTGACTGCTATCATTGGGCCAATTAATACGCCAATGGTTACTCGTGGCAGTTTCCCATTTGGGGGGTGAGGCTTTTTAAGACATTTTTGGGCCAAATATGTCAATTTCTACAAATCCAAATTTGGATACGGATGTTGTGGTTTTTGTACACAGAAAAAATCTTGAGTGACCTATCATTCCAACGAAAATTCACGAAGTGTGGATAGACTTACGATTCGGGCAAATCATGCTTCCGTCCGGTAGCGCGCTGGTCGCCCAAGATGGCACCTTCGAGTATCCAAACACTTAGGTTATTGCGCCACCGAAAAAGAATTTTACCAAAATAAAAATGCCCCACACTCAGCTCTTTGAAACGACGATTCGACTAAGATTTTTCCTTGTATGAAATCTAGACCTGTAGAATAAATTTCGTGAAGAATAATTGTTACCATTATTAATAGAAGATTTTTTGTTTCATAGGAACATGCTGTTCCGGAAAATATTTGGAGTTCAGTTTGCAGACAAAAAATAAGTGATCAACATGAAGAACAAACATTCAGAATCCCCGAAGCATTACTTCCGCCAACACTAGACATCAATGAAATGCATTGTGTGTTTACACCTGCGAGTAGCGATATATCAAGTGAATAAACATAAAACTAGTGCACTGTAATAAATAGAAAATCACCATAGACAAATTTTTTGCAAGTGATTATTTCTAAATAAAATTTGTGTTTATTTCATAATAAATATTCATTGTTAAAAATAAATTGTACTTCATAAATTTTCTCTTTTCATAATTATCGTGTTAGATCTTAATTTTATTAAGAAATAAAAATGCACAATTTACAAAGAAAGAAAGTTTGTCAATTTAATTATTTCTTGATATTTCTTGAAAAAGGAAAAATTAAAAAAATGTACAAAAAGATGTATAATTTACTCTCTAAATTTGAATTAGCTAAAATTTCACTGTTTGAATCAGCGAATAAAGTTTTTACTGCCAATCAGCGGATAACATTGAAGTAGTGCTTTACAACGATGCGAATTGAATTTGAATTTCAATGCATTCTGTCAATTCTTGTTTACTACTTTTAGCTCAACAATTGGAGCTTTTATCTATTTTACAATAGATTTTTTAATAATAAGTGAAATATTTTTTTATGTGTTATTTTCTTTTTTCAAATGATCATCAATTCTCCAGTTATATCGTGTTGCTACTAAATTTTTTTGAGATTAAAATATCGTTTTCTTTGTAAATTTTTCGCTGTATGATAAATGTATAACTTTTTGATGAACTAAAGAAAGGAAGAAACAAATACCTATATAATGTTTACTTTCTAACAATTTGAATTTTTTACAAAATAAATAAATTGTATAACTATATTATAAAACTCATTTCATATTTAATTTTTTAAAAATCTGAATTGGTGATATTTCACTGGGTAAAAGTTCAGAAGTCGATGACTGAACATTTTAATAAGATTTGTATCTTTATAAGCAACAAGCATATTTTGTTTCAACTTTGCTGTTTTGTAAGAGTATATCAAACTTGGAGTAAAAAGGAAATATTTCTGATAGTGATACAAAATAGTTTAACACACTGTTACAAGTAAAATTTGTATCGGGAAGTAGTAAGATAATAGACGTAGTGGGTCGATGAATATGTTAAGTTTGAATGACATGTTTCATGCATACATGACACGCATCGACTTAAAATTCATTGTAAATAAATTTAATATTTTATCATTCTTAATAAACCATTAAATGTATCCACAAATCAATAATCATATTTTCCGAAGAGCAATTTCTCCTTTCATTTCATTTACAGACGGTGTGAGATGACAATGTAGATAGATCATACGTTACTTTGTAACGTTCTACAGTCTTATAACACACAATAAATATAAATTACAAAAAACGATTAAATGCTGTTTATAAATTATTGAATAGAGTAATTATCAATGACTTTGTTATCACATTATGTTTTAAACCTAAATACAAAGGTAATTTTACGAATTTAAAAACCTTAAAAGTTAACATAATTTTAAACATATTATAACAGTGTAAAAAAAATTACCTGCAGTAAATTTAACTCATTTGTAAATATTAACAAGAATTCATTTAAATTAAAAAATAATTATATTTTCTTCGATTTTTTAAACGATAAACCAAAATAATATATTTCTTGAAATTGTTGATAGAACATGCAAAAATCTAAAGGAATTGATCACTATTTAAAAATTGTAAAATTTTTTTTATCTTTGGTTGGACAATGGCCTTATCAATTACCTAGGTACAGAATTTTTTGTCGAACAATTGGTCTTGGAATATCTACTATAATTCTTTTTCCAGGTGTAAGTATTACACTTTAAAGAATAATATATTCTGATCAATTATATTTCTGTTTTCAAAAAAATTATTATTATTTGTAGTACAGGAAAATATATTTAAGGATTTTGTAATGTAGTTGAAATTTTAATAAAGCTTATTACTGCTTTATGCTGTTTTTGTAGTTGGATATATTTTCTCGTGCGGCGTCACATATAATACTCATATTTAACTTTTTTTTCTAGTTTATGGCTATGTATGAAGTAAGAAATGAATCTACTACTTTTGTTGAATGTATACCTCCAATATTTGCAGTATTTGCTAGCTATTGTTATGCTATCTGTTATAGCTTAAATATAAAAAAGGTATGTATTTTCTACATGTTTTTTAAAAGTATTGCAAAGATTTTAATATCTTTAAGATTAGGAAAAAGGAGACTCGGACAAACGTGTCGCATTCGTGAGCACGACATCCTTAAGAAAAAGCGACTTACTACGTTTCCATTTTAGACAGCAGAGTATTTTACTTAATAATACTCTACGAATACAGCTAACTATATGAATCCACCCCATACTTTTCTAAGTAGAATACCTACACTCAGGCATACTTTCTTTTCTTTTACCTTTTTTTCCCTTGCATAACCCTGGAGCTCGGTGCTCCGTGGGAAAAACCGTTCTTGTTCTGGTTGACCAACTAAAAACCATGCATCTTTCGGCTGGACTAATCCTCACGCTACGGAACTGCCGTCAAGGTTTAAACATCGTAGATGAAGGTCCCTGGGATCACAGTATCGTGACCCTTGCCATTGCCGATCATTCTGGCCTATTTATTCTTCGTTCGTACGAGTTTTCTTGGATTCCTCAAGGGCCTCCCTGAAACTCCTCATCCTCCGCTGCCTGCGATGTGGCTAATGTTCGCGTTATCGCCATATTTTTCTCTACGTAAGAAGCAGCTTCAACTTCCACTGCAGTTTGCAAACTAATGCCCGAATTCACCGCACTTGAAGCACGTAGTTAATTTGTCCGCTGCCTTATAAACTCTTCCTATATGGCACATAAACCCGTGTAGAAATTGCCATATTTGGCCCAACAATGGCTTAAAACGTTTCACCCAATATGGGCCAGACCTGGGAAGCGTCAAAATGTGGCTTCATCTTGTGGCCCAAATCGGGTAAGGCGTTTCATGCCAATTTTATGAACGCCCGATTTGGCCCAGGTTTGGACCATGACAAAACAAAACTTTCTCCAGCCTGTCTGGTTTTAATACATCTTATGTTTGCCAGGCAAAAACTAACTAACACACCCAAGTTGTGTTGACTTTAATGCTATTACTTGAGTCACTCAGATCGTCACTTTCCTGCTTTTTGGAAGCATGCTTCTGGAGCATTTTCGCCAACACCTGTTGAACGTCTTCTTCCTGAGTAAGGCATTCCAGTTCGCAGATCTCCAGTGTGACCTGTCGATCCACGGTCAGCACCTACTCCATGCTTCCAACCGCTTTGGTGACCTCCGGGGTAAATGCCTCCTTATTAGAGTCTCCTCCGATTTTGATCAGGAGATCTCCCTTTCTTGTAGACCTTGCGCCCACGACCTACGCGTGGCTGATGTCTGGATTTACTTCCCTCAGAAATTTGCTCAGTTTTCGGCACACGTTGGTCCTGCTGCGACTCGGATCACCATTGTACATCCACTTGTCGCTTTCTTCTTACTGGTTTGCTTAGGATTCGGTGCTACCGTCACCTTCGCAATCTTTTTGATAAGAGGTGCCTCCTCTAACTTCTTTCTTCTTCGTTTCGGCGCCAGTTCTCTGTCGATTGCCGGAGCTTTTTTTTTGTTTCTGTGCCTCTATGACTGCGCGCTAAAGCCGCTTCTTATGGATACGCTCTCTTTTCCTGTTCCACTCTTCCCGGTTCACTTCCGCGTAACCTATAGCGCCATCAAGGTTGCTACTTTCAATTATCTTCTAGGGCGAGCTTTGTTTTCGCTTCACTAACATCATCCTGAAGAATCTTAAATCTGTCCTTAATAATAATGTTTACACTACATCGCTTTCGCTGAAATCCAGCGGAACGACGGCAGGTTGCGGAGGAAAGAGAGACGTGACTTAAGTGCGCCTTCGTCACTTTCACTCTGCATCTGTCTGCCTATAAGTTTGTTCTACAATAAGCGCGTCGAACGGGGACGCGCTTATTGTAAAACAAACTTATAGGCAGACCGTATAGTAAACGAATATTCTATCGTTACCCTCTTACGTCTATTCGAAGACATTGATGTTTTACATTAAGATAGCAAAATTCTTAATGCATTTAATCTCTCTCCTGATCAATCTATTCAATGAGATAGTAATTTGGCATTTGTTTTGCACATACTCAAAAATCTAAAGTTTAGCTTTACTCGACAGAACGTTGACTGTTCAAATCCTGCAATCGTATTAAAAAATTTAATGTATGACACAAGAAAAGACGAAATTACGATGGGTTTGCCGAGTTTTTAGTACTTGTCTCGTATTTTGATTTGCTTTGCTTTTAAGTTTGTAACTTTATTATCTATATAGCTATTAAGTTTCAAAGAGAGATAAAAAGAACACGCGCATTTTCTAAATTAATTTTATTATACTACACGGAAAAACTTTGTTCAAGAATTATTTTTAAATTTATTCAAGAACGGAGGATATGGGGAAAATACTTGAATTGCTGCAGAACCGTATAGGTTGAAATATTATTTATAGCTTTTCGGGAAAAACTGTAGTGAATTTCTGGACAACTCATTGAATTTTCAACCAAAAATTCCCGAACTCGTTTAAGAATCAAAAAGTATGAACTGCGAGAAAAAAATTTGCCTGAGTGAGAACTCGAATTTGAGACTTCGAACTACGAAGACTCAAGATATCTGCCTTATGTCGCTCGGCTACAGAAACGTGTTACGACATTATAGATGGGAATCATATTTAACGCAAACAGGTGCTGTATCTATAGCTCACGCTGCTTCTTCTTTCTTAAATAGTTCTGGACTTTTTCAGCGCACAGTGACTGAGATATTATAGTCGCGGCGTCAAGAAAACTTATTTTGAATTCATAACAAAAACTCCTGAGAAATTCTTCAATGATTATAGAATTTTTTATAAAAACTAGTAAATTTTTCCCATATCCTCAGTTCTTGAATAAATTTGAGAATAATTCTTGAACAAAGTTTTTCTGTGTATCATTTCCCAGCAAACACGTTCTATAATTGTTCTATTAAAATTAAAGAACATTGTTCTATAACAATTGTGGCATCAATAACATGTAGCAGTTATAGAACCAAATGGTAACAGTGTTCTAGAACAATGTTCCTAATATGTTACATAACTGTTCTATTTATTTGTTCCAGAACTGTTCTTAGATATAAGTTCCATAAGTGTTATAGAACATTTAAGTCACAAATGTTCTAGAAATGTTGTTCTTCTAGAATTGTGATATAACAATATTATGTCATCTTTCTAAAACAGTATAATCTTTTTGTTATAGAATAAATCCGGAAATTTGTTGTTAAATTATTCTGTAACAAATTATGTTCTATAAGAGTTTTAAAACATAGATGTCACAAATGTTCTAGAAAATTTGTCCCGCTTCTGCTCTAGAACTGTGCTGAAAGACTATTACATGACATTTCTAGAACAGAGTGCTTGTCTTATTCTAGAAATTATTAATATGACTATTTGGTCTAGAATTATAAAATTTACAAATCTTCAAATGTTCTGTAATACTTCAGTCACAAATGTCATTAAATGTTTGATCCTTTTTGTTGTAAGATTCATATTTGAATTTTTTTCATTAATAATGCCTTGCAATGTAATTTTGTCAATTTTTATGCCAACATCAATTTTTTTAATATTTGAATATTATATAACATAGAATTTCAATAATATTGGATATTGAAACTTGTCCGAAACATAAATTATTTGCTTTTCAACAAAGAATTAATGTACATCACTCATCACACTATTCTTATATATAATAATATTCTTGTAAGATAAAGTTAAATATAACTGAATTTTTATTTAGTTATATTATATAATCGTTACATATCTGTTACAGAGATCAGAGCTGACATTTATCGTAACTTGCTTGTAACATGCTTGTAACAGAACGTGTTACATCTTGTTATATAACAAATATATAACCATTACGTACTCGTGTTTGCTGGGTTACAATTTAATTATTACTATATATGCCTATTTACATCTTACAATAATCTTTGTTTAGATAGAATCTTTAACTGAGTGCATGAAAAGTGACTGGGAGTTAATTAAAGGATGCAAAACTGAACTCGAAATTATAGAAAGATCGGCTCAAAAAGGAAAAACTTATATAACAGTTTTTGCAAGTAGTTTAAAATTAATTTTAATGTGTCTTTATTGTCAATATTTCAAAAATAATCAAAGCATGAGATGTCTTTTTTATGTTTTTTAATTCTATATGGGATTCCATGCAGGATTTCAAGTGTGTTTACACACCAAATCATGTCCGAAATTTCGGTGTGCTTTTATATTGGAACCTCCATTAATTCCCACATGGAATCCAATATAAGTTTCCATGTTAAATATATCTCATGTGGATTTTTCCAGTAATGGTACGGTCTCATCTTCGGTTGCCTACACAGTCAGCCTCCCACCACGCAGAAAACGTACAAGAGTAAGAGAGACAGAAAATTCAAATTCAAATCTACAGACTCTCTGATTGGCTCTTACTGGCTGCATGCACAGGCAGCCGTGAGGTGTGATCGTACCATAAGGGAGCACTCACACCTTTTTGTCTGCCTGCCTGCAGGAGTTGTCATGGCAACGTGAAGGAGTAAGAGAGGGAGAGAAAATTCAAATTTGAATTTACTATCTCTATTACTCCTACACGTTGCCATGACAACTCCTGCAGGCAGGCAGGCAGCCAAGAGGTGAAAGTGTACCCTTAGTCGATATTTTCAACTTTATCAAAATTCAAATTTTATATTTTTTAAAACTTTCTTTTGAAATTTTTAAAATACATCTTTAAGATACATAGGATACAAAAGTTTTGGAAAATAACTCAAAATTGTCTTCATTACAATACTTTCTCTGCAGAAAATCTTCTTTTTTCTGGTTGTATAGTTTATATAATATAATAACCATAGACTCATGTATGAATGCTGTTTACGTAATATTATTTTCAGTTTACTCTTACGTAAGTTCATCTGTATACGTGATGAGTCCACTGCTGCCACAGTTGCTTGATCTTATTTCACCTCTCAATGAATCAAGAGCAAGACTTTTTGTTTTTCATGTAGACTATGTTTTTATTGACAAAGAAGAATACTATTATTTTATATATATCCATGCAATGCTTGCTGCATACATAACATTAACAAACATAATATCAATAGACTTTCTTTTTCTAAGTACTGTGCAACATGCTTGCGGAATGTTTCAACTTTTAGGGTAAATTGTAATTTTTAATATTACAGCTGTTGTTTCAATTATTAGCCACTAGCATTAGAGGTATCTAAAATTCTTGTTAAATTTTGTTCGATAATATAACTTGCTAAAAAATAAATATTTGTATTGTTTCCAATATTTTAAGTTATACTCAATCACATTTTATTTCTCAATGAGTCAAGAGTATTTTGTTTCTAAACATAAGCTTTAAATTCGAAATAATAAAAAAATTAATGTTTTATTTTAGATATAGACTAGCACACGTTGTTGACAAAAACTACAAAATTATTGAGCATGATGTCATTAAGGACCAGAAGGTCAATAAAAAAATGATCAAATGTATTCAGCTATACAATGATATACTTAAGTTAGTATTTCATACATTTATATTTACAGAAGGACTGTTTGTAGTTTTATTTTGACAAAATTAGACACAAATATTCTAGTTAATTTATTAATTACCCCACACACAATTTTTAAGTAGATGAGATTCGTTCATTTTGAAAGTTTAAGGTTTTAATGGAAATTAAAGAATTTCTCTAATAATATAATTGTAAACTTCAGTTCGTTTCCTGTTCCAAAAACGTTTCGCAAACGTGAAAAAGTTTTAGAACGTTATTTAAGGAGACATTGACTTCCTACAAACGTTATTGGAACATAGAAATATATTGGGAAATATATAAATATGTTGGGAATATATTAAAATACATATAATTCTGCTGATTCGATAAAAATTGTGTAAAAACTTATGAGTCTTTATTAAACGAAAATTTTATGCTAATGCATTTTCTGAATACAGATTTACAGAGATGATTGAGTTCTGTTTTTCTAATATGTTTTTGTTCATCATTGGTATTAACATGTTAATGATAAGTTTTCAAGGAGTACAGGTAGGTTAAAGGTTCCACATTTTTTCTACCTATATAAGAAATGTAATTGATAAGGATAAATTATAATATTTAAATATTAAAACTTTAATATACATTTTTGTATAAAATGAATAACATACGGCTAAGGCTTTTACTTTAGAAATTTTAAATATAGGCAGAGGTGGAGTTCCTGGCAAGCAACTTTTCAATAAATTTGTTTCACATAATAAATTTTCTTTGCTTTCAATAATGCATATAATAATTAGTTATAACATTTAAGAGATTTTTTGCATGATGCGTGATGCTTGCGGTTCCAACCATCCAGATTCACAATTATTTATACAAATCGTTAGCCCCAAGTCGAATGCACGCAACTTTCAGAGACATTTTGGAAAGTACGCAACTTCCACAGCCGTTTTGGAAATCACGTAACTTTGTGGTGCAGAGCAGAATGTACGTAACTCTGAGAATCGTTTTTGGAACTCGCTTATGTTGGTTTTTTGTGTTTTTGCAAAATACAAATTACAATATTTCTGCTCGGAACATAACATAGGATGCTTGTAGATTAAATAATTGAGATTTTATTGAACATTGCCTTACACTTTTTATTGCTATGTTTCGAGCAGAAATATTGTAATTTGTATTTTGCAAAAACACAAAAAACCAACATAAGCGAGTTCCAAAAACGATTCTCAGAGTTACGTACATTCTGCTCTGCACCACAAAGTTACGTGATTTCCAAAACGGCTGGGGAAGTTGCGTACTTTCCAAAATGTGTCTGAAAGTTGCGTGCATTCGACTTGGGACTAACGAAATGTATCGATTAATTTTAACTTATTAATTCAATCACCTAAAATATTTAATATCGAAAACCACGAAATCTTTGACGCATTTTTTCCAATTAAATATATTGAGGATAGGGAAGAAAGAAAGAACACAAATTGATAAAATTTTGGATACTGGTTACAAATCTGATACTTATTACTTAAAGCTTTTGCTTTCAAATTAAAATTACATTCATATATGAATAACAGAAACACTATTAACTTTAATCACATAATTTTAATTCATCAATGGTTTTCAAAAGTTCTCTTCAATTGTTGAGAATTTAACATGTGATGATAGAAAGATATCAGCAATATAAACATCAATCATCTATTTACTTAAGCTAACTTTTTACAGATCGTACTGAACTTAAACAATACACAAATTCTTATGAGATTTGGATCTTTTTTTATGGGACAAATTATTCATTTATACTTTAACACTATTCCTGGACAAATGTTAATAGATGAAAGCTCTAAGGTCAGTCAATATTGGTAAGATATCCAAGGACATGTATATTCAAAATCATTTTAAATGAATCTACTGTACAAGTCTTGCAAATGTTTAGCACCCGAAATTGAAACATGTTCATGTACATTTTCTTGAGTTACGTGTGATCTTGTATATGTAATTATATCAATTGTTTTAGTTATGAATCCAATTGGACCAAAATGACCATTAAATCTCAAAAACTTCTGTTATTTATGCTTTTAAGAGCCTCCCGTGAATGTAAAGTTACTGCAGGAAAAATTTACGTAATCTCAATGGAAAACTTTAGTCAAGTGAGTTATTTTTTGTGAAAAATAACCGATATGCATTTATTAGAATTGTAATTTCTTGTACTTGAACATTAAATTATTTTATTTTCAGGTTATCAAAACATCGTTTTCATACTTAAGTGTTTTAAGTTCAGCGCAATAATAGAAAATATATTTTAGTTCTTATATACCAGATAGGAATTGTATCTCAATAAAAAAGATTTTCTCTATTTTTAATATAGTGTATTATGTATCTCATAAAGACTTCAAAGTTATCAATGCTCTTTGAATTCAAATGAGGCTCCCGATCAAATAAGTCGTCTGGCTTGCACGAACGCTCTGTTACCGGCCAACCCAAGTGCGAAATGTCAAGAATGCCAATACAGCCCAACATTGGCCCAGTAAATTCTGTCGAAATACGGCAAACGATACTGGACCAGTACTGGCGATCAATTCGTCACATTACTGGGCCAATATTGGCACCAATACTTGGTAATTTTAATTTTCCATAATTGAGACGAACTCTGTTCCATTACTGGGTCATTATTGGCCCATTGACGTCCATGTTGGTTTTCGCATTATTGGGAAGTAGCAATGAAAGTATCTGCACTGAGAAAAATATGCTATTGAATCATCAGCATTTCTGCCAAAGGTATAAAAATTATTGATTCAAAAGCATATGCTACAAAATTTTTAAAATATTTTATAGATTCTATAGCATATGCTTTTGAATCAATAATTTTTATACCTTTGGCAGAAATGCCATTGATTCAATAGCATATTTTTCTCAGTGTGGGTGGCTCACTATTTGATCGGGACCCTCAAATTATTAAATCAAAAGTTACGATGTTTAATTTTTTTAAACTTTTTATTAACTTTATTTTGGTAAGGTATAGTTTACAGTGAACAGTCTAAAAAACAAAGGCATGCATTTTGTACGAAATGTAGGCGATGAAAATTTTACTTTTTTAAATAATTGCAGGAAACTAACAAAACCTTATGTACAAATCATACAAATAAATTTACAGTATCCTGACTGTAAGACATCGAACTGCGTGGGCAATCGATTTATAGAAGAAAGGAAATAGGTCTGACGGCTGTTAAATACTTTATTCTTAAATTGCTTATTCTACGCAAGTTTAAAACACTTTCTTGAAATTCATAGTATCTGAATTTAATATTGCACATTTCTTGGCACTCAATTATTTTCAATCAATAACAGTTCTCCGTATCAGCAAACATCTATGTTACTATGTAGGTTTCCATGTAGAATTAATTCCGCATGGAATACCATATCCCAGGTGGAAAAGTTCCCGGCCGGTAGTGACTATCGGTAATAACTACCGGTACCGCTACCTGTATAGTCTACCGGTAGTTATTACCGGTAATTTTTCTGGGAATTACAACAAATTTTGGTTGCGATTTCCGGAAAAAGTACCGGTATTCGCTACCGGTAGTGACTGTACAGGTAGCGGTACCGGTAGTCACTACCGGGAACTTTTCCACCTGGGATAGGATCCAATATGAAATAACACATAAAATTTTTTATTTAAAATGAAAAAATAAATTAGAGTTTTGAAATTTTTCAAAATCTTACATTTTACTTTTGTAGAAATAAACATTTTTGCATTTACGGAGTAACCACAAAATTTTGTCAGATTTTGCGAGGATTCCCACATGAAATCCAATGTAGGTTTCCATGTGGAATCTTATGTGGGTTTTTCCAATAGATGTACATTTTCTTGTACAAGTATCTTTCTTGTACAAGATCTCACACATGAACTTGTTCCAAATTCGTATGCATATTTCTGTACAGGAATTGGTCAGAACTTGTGCAAGTTCAGTTGCTGATCCTGTACAGGAAATTGTACAAGATCTTATACAGGGATTTTCAGTAGGGTAACATCCTAATCTGAAATGAGTCCGGAAATATTGGGAATTTATATGTACAAAATCATAATTGTTATGGACTAATACCAGATTTTTTACACACAGATTTCCAATTAAGATTTTAGATCTGCCTAAATCCGAATTCGTTACACATATATAGATTACCGACTAATTTGGAATTATTTCTGGTTAAGATTTTTGATGTTTTAGGTATATTTTCTTAAAATTCAAAAAATCTAACAAAAAATAAAACTAATATTATTAACAAAGTACCATATTCAACATACGATAATATTTTACAACAATTCAAAGAAAAAATATGTCTTACATTTAAATTAAATAAAGTATATAAAATATTTGATAAAGGAATAATTCGAATTATCACTAGGGTTAACAAATTGCAAGGTGATATTATTAGCCATACTGGAGCAAATAGAATGTAGGGAATTAGAATTTTAAGATCTCTTTGATGTATGTCTCTAATTTGATCTACTGCAGGATGTCCTCCGCCAGAAACGCATAAAGTTACGGGTCCATCAGCCCACATTTTGTCTTCCTCACTGTGGAATATCTGCTCAACAATTAATATTATATTTGTGTTTGGTATCAGAAAAGAATAATTTTTTTTTAAGTAGCAGAACTATGTAATTATACAGTACGGTTGCATTAATCCGGACTACCACTAATCCGACACTCCGCTTGTAATCCGACAACGTCCTAGCTAGAAGGAGAGGGGGTTATCCGCGAAAGAAAAATTTTTTTACTCAGAAATCACGGGTAAAAATGATTTTTGTGCAAGTAAAGGTTTACAAATGTAAAATATTATAGAGAAATGCAATTAAATTTATTTAAATAAATTTTTAATTTTTAATGCGTAAACATAAAGTTTTTTATTCAAATTATTTAATACACTTTTTAATTTTTGATTACTGAGTACTTGTTGAAACTTTTGTCCGAACTACAGGAGTTCGTGTAATAAGTACTCGGCAATCCGGAAAATTCGCTTATCCGACATTTACGTGCAAAGCAACTATCAGATTAACGCTACTGTACTGTATTTCGTAAATGCGAGAATCGTGTCAAAGTTTAAGAACAAGGAAGATGGTTTTTGGTGAATATTACGGAAATAGAATGTAGTAATATTAAGTGAGACATGCGTAGAAAGTAAAGAATGGATGATGGTAAAGAAAAGATTACCGAGAAGATTTGAGTGGATTATTCAGGAAGCAACGATTAAAGACAGGAGTGCAGGAGGTAAGATTTCTGGGGTTAAAATGGGTATTGTATGAGAAGAAAAGTGAAAAGGGTTGAAGAAAGAGTGGGCTTCAGCTTAGTAAAACACGTAAACTACAAATTACTTGACATTCTAGGAATATAAACCGACGGCTATCGATACCCACGTAGCACGGAATATTGCTTGAATGTCAAGGTGATATCAAGCGAGAATATTCTTGTGATATTGAGGCGATATCATAATGTCCGCTTCATGGGGACATTCCAAGGTGATATTCCTGTGACATTCGCGTGATATTCGTATGATACTGAGGGAATATTCCCGTGAAATCCATGTAATATTGAGAGGATATCCCTGTGATATTGAGCGGAATATTCCTGTAATATTGAGGGAATATCCCTGTGATATTGAGAGAATATTCCTGTTATTTATAAAATTCTAAAATGTTGTTTGTAATATCACAGGGATATCCCCTCAATATTACATGAATTTCACGGGAATATTCCCTTGATATCATATGAATATCACGCGAATGTCACAGGAATATCACCGTGGAATGTCCCCATAAAGCGGACATTATGATATCGCCTGAATGTCACAGGAATATTCCCACTTGATATCACCGTGACATTCAACCAATATTCCGTGCTACTTGGGTAGAACTTTAGCATGGCTAGTTATCTGGGTGATATGTTATCATGTACCTTATGGTTGACTCGAAGTCTTCCAGTAATCCAAGTTAAATACATCATTTTTAAAATGAGAATTGCTGTCCACCAAGAATATACAGCCCATAATTCTTCATGTATTTGCAACTTATCTGGTAACATGTTTGTATAAAAGTGACTGATTTTATGATTTTCAGTCGAAGCTGTAAAAAATAAACGACATTTGAAAACGAGCTGTTTATATAGATTCATAATTACAGAAAATTGGGCGCAACTTTCGGGTTAACAGCATCCAGATATTTAGGATATCCCAGAGATATCAGTAAATATCCTGAGAACATCCTAGAGATATCCTAATTTCCAGATAGGGCTACTAGGACGTCCATAGTATATTCTGTAATATCCGTTGCTGTTATGGACATTGGTTGTATTCCTCTGATGGATTATCTCAAAATTTTAAAGAATCTTTGATAATCTTTGATAAGATCAACAGGTTTTGAACTACACACGACCATAGTCCAGATTTTTGCGGGCTAATTATTAATTTATTACAATATTTTGCCTTGGACAATCCGCGCCAGGATCAAAAAAATTTTCTTTGAATCAAATTTTATGCATTATTGTAGGGTCAAAGAAAAATTTCTTTTTTATTTAAAGAAATTATTTTTTTACTTCATTTTTGTTGCCTCAAAGAAATAAATTTTTATTTTAATGTACAAATTTCTTTAAATGAAAAATTATTTATTACATTTTGAGATTGTAAATACTTTCATATTTTACCTTGAAATATAATAAAGAATTTTTTCAAGTGAGGTGTTTTACATGTAAAACACTGAACAAAACTTTATGAGAAAATTTTAATCGCACGAAGAAAACAATCAAATACACTGCAAGTGACTATTTCCACATTTCACATATCACTTGTATATCCCAAATAAGACACGAACAATTCACAAATTCTTTATCACTCACTGTAAGAAAATAAAAAAAAATTATAGCTATACAAAACTGTTTAGATCATAAATAATGATCTTTTTTTTATATATTTGGTTCAATTGCATTGGTAAATTCTCTGAATTCGTGATTAAATATAAATTTTGTGGTTAGGAGTGTTTAACTTTTAATTCTAACTTAAAATATATCTTTTATGTTTTTTAATAACATGCGTATATATTATTTAATAAAAATGCTGTTATAAAATGTAAAATCGAGCTTAGTAAACAAACCTATAACAATAAAGTTAGTTATCAAGACACATTATATTTTTATATGTCAACAGCCGTTTACCATGTTTAAAATATGAGTACATAGTAAAATTAATAAAAGTTTAAATACATTTTTTTCTAACTCACGCACCGAAAGTACACCATTTCTTACCTGTAAAGGGGGAGAAAAGTATGTCTTTCCCGGCAAGTGGGAGGGAAAGTTACTCGTGTATTTGCAGTTCTCGTCTTCGCTCGGGCACTCCCTACGTCTCGAACTGCAAACTACACTCGCGGAAATCAACCATTTTCCTCCCTAGATGCACAATATACTATTTTCCCTAATAATAGAATAGACCTATTCATGCTGATCATTCTGTCCTCTCCCAACTCATACGTCATTGTATGCGCTAAATAAGGACAAAACGATCAGCATGAAAAGGTCTATAACAGTGTGTCGTCTGTTTGTTTTCCCTCCATCTTTCTGACGTCATACTCAACTCGAAATATCTCGATAGACTAATGGAGCATTTACACCTTTGGCAAAAAATTTTCTTCACTTTGCATTTTCCGAAATACACTTACCTGATTGGTTGTCCACAATGAATCAGATTGTGGACAACCAATCAGGTAAGTATATTTCGGAAAATGCAAAGTGAAGAAAATTTTTTGCCGAAGTTGTAAATGCAACATAAGGCAGTCCAACTTCTGACGTAGCGTGACGTCACTTTTCAAAATGGTGACTGGTTGGAAGACATGCAATGCATTGAAGTCAATGCAGCGAATCAGTTTTTTTAACATAACTTTTGAAAAATTAATTTTTGAACCCAAGTGTAATTGTAAAATATTTTTTATTTATCGAGATCTATTTTTTAAAATAATAAAAATTAATTTTTTGATTTTATTATTTTAAAAAATAGATCTCGATAAATAAAAAATATTTTACAATTACACTTGGGTTCAAAAATTAATTTTTCAAAAGTTATGTTAAAAAAACTGATTCGCTGCATTGACTTCAATGCATTGCATGTCTTCCAACCAAACATCATTATGAAAAGTGACGTCATGCTACGTCACAAGTTGGACTGCCTTATTACACAGTCGAGTCTAATTACATACATACACATTTTATAATCATTTACATATCTTACTTAATTTACGTCAGAAACCAATTATGGCGCGACATTCTTCCCAACCCTGCTTTGAATAACAAATTCCTAACCAAAAAATAGCAGTATGTAAATAACAGTTAATAATTTAAAAAATATATAAAGTTTTAAAAATAGTAACTCATAAAAATGAATGCATTTACCTCCTTAATAAGGCGTGTGCCTAAAATATCAAATATTATTGTAAGAAATTATGCACGTGAACCTTTTTCAATGAAATGGACTCGACCGGAAGTGCCGTCTTGTATTTCAACAGAAAAAAGTGGTGATTTAGGATTGGATTATAAAATAAATCCAAAAGAACCCTGTCAATTCTACCAAAATGTTCCCGAAATGGAAAAGTAATTATTTCATTCTTTTAATATATATTTTTTTTCGTGTCTCTACACCAATATTTTGACATAATAGAAAATATTATTGTGATAATTGACAACTTTTTTAATATTAAAGAAAAGAATTTCTTTGAAAAACAATATTTTTTTAAATAAATATATTGAAAGTAATTGTAATGAATATTTTAAAAGTGTTTCTTTAATGATAAATTATGTTAATGTTTAAAAAATAAGTTGAAGTGTGTACAAATATTTACCTTTTAATTTATAATAAATTCAGGTGGAAATGGTCGAAAAAAAACTAATTAATATTTTTTTTAAAACTAGTGTTTCTTTGATATGTTTAATACGACAGAATTTTTACTTAATTTGCAAATTGTTGTGAAGTGTGTCCTAACTGAACAACAAATATGGCAACGTCGCACCGTTTAAGAATTTTAATGGAAAGTGGTAGTCAAAAACTTTATTCTTTTTTAATCACTTATTAAAAGCTCTAAATTGACTCGAAAAAAGGGCTAACAATTGGATTTTAACTGATTTGGTTCTTATTCATTGTTGATAGAAATTATGATTTTCTTTAATTTAAGGGGAAGCACCACTTTCAATTTTTTGAAACAATTATTAACATTAAAATGTCTTTTAATTTTCAGCTGTGATGAAAATATAAAAAAAATATTTTCTCTTGAATTTAATTACGCTAAAAAGACAGCAAAATTAAAATCTAATAGAGCTATTTCGTTAGTAGAAAGTCATGATGAGGACAAATCTTTTGAAGTAAGAAGTAAGTTTTTTTTTAATACAGCGAATTCAAAAAAAAGGAAATAATTTTCTTTTTACTTTACATAACTCATTGTACCTTAGAATTTATATCTGTTCCTAAAAGCCTTTCATAAAGTTGATAAAAAAAGTTGTTAAATTTTTATCTGTTAAAATTGTATGAAGCTAAAGCTTAAGTACTTTTTTTTATTATGAAAAGATTGGAAATTTAAAAAGAAATATTCACGTCCGTTTATTTGTAATTTCATTATTCAAATTATTATTAGAATTTTGAACAATTTGAATATAAATTTTAATTAAAAATTTAATTATTGTTAGTTATTTTTTATTCTTTTATTTTAGTTGCAAGACTGACGTCTGAGATACATAATTTACAGGAAATTATGAAAAATAATCCCTCAAATAAACAATGTAAAGTAGCGTTAAAAAATAAAATTGAAAAACGGCAAAAGTATCTTAGAGTACTCCGTACTGTCGATTACAAACGTTTTGAATGGGTTTTAGAACAATTGAATCTTATCTACAAACCATTACCTGAGTAAGTATGTTTATTAATTATTTTTTATAATTTTTGTTGTTATTATTATTATTATTTATTATGTAATTTTTTTTAAGATTTCATATGGTAGTGACTAGAAAAGGTTCTTTGAGAGCATTGGCAAAAATGCATTGTGATAAGATTGTTGGAGAAAAATTGGAAGCTTATAAGAATGAATTAAAATCACAACAAAAGAGTTTTTATGAAAAGAAAGCCAAACATCTCGCCTTTATTAGAGAAGAAGAGATATTTTGTGGTGTCGAACCAACAGTAACTGAAGAAGATATTGAAATTGCAAAACAAATGGCTGCAGAATTATAAAACCAAGTTAATATTATTCTTTCACTGTTTTTCACCATTGTAATATTATAATTAATGTACAAATTATATTTTAAAATCGATTTACTTTGTCTGAGTAAAAATATATTGAATATTTTGTTTGCAATTAATATAGAGTTATTTATTGCAAAACCATTTTAATACTATAATAATAATAATAATTTAGTAAAAAATTAATCCACTCGAACTTTTGAAAATATTTTGAAAAGAATAAGAATGTTTAATAAAAAAAAATTTATTGAAATGAAAAAAATATTGTATAATTGATTGATAATGAATATTTTTAATGAAAATTGTCTTGTGACGATACATTCTTAATTTTACAATTGCTTTTGCATAATATTTAAAATTTAATTTTACTTAAAAAAATTTATGCATATATGTATAAAATTTCGTTTCAACATTCATTTGTTTTTACAAAATTCATAAATTAAAGTGGTAATACTGAATATCAACATAAATATTAAAATAATATTATACATATCTATTAATTTACACAATACAAAAATTAACCGCTTTTAATTTCCGCAATGTTTGTTACGTTTTTCCTAACTATGTGTTAATCGTTTTATAAATCCATCAAAATATTTTTAAAAAAAATTTTTATTTTAAAATTCCCTTTATTCCATAAAGAGAAATTTCAATCTTTCTAATTGTATTTATTCATATTTATATCAATTTTTTTTTGTCGCCAACATTTTATAAAAATGATCGTAAATGTAGAGAAAAAAAAGTAACAAACATTGCGCAGACGAAATTGGATTTTATCCTTTTAAAAAAAATTACTTAATTTCAAAGAATTGAAATTAATTATTATTTAGTAGGAGATTTTTTTTACACATTATATAGCTATAATTATCTATTTCTTGATCTTTTATTATTATTTTTTTTGGCATTATTTCCTGATCGCACTTTATTTGTCTCTTTATTGTTAGTAAGATTATCTTTTGCTGGAGCAATAATGTCTAAGCTACCATTTGTCACTGGTCCATTAGAAAATTGTGTATTGGCATCAATACTGCACACTGTTCCATTTTGTGAGTAGCCACTTGAACCGGAAGTGTGATTTTTACCACTTGTTTCTTTACTATTACCAGAAATCACATTCGAATTATTAAAATTACAATTATCCTCACTGCCACTATTGCCAATTTGCGATTCTGATTCACTGTAACGTTCAACTGTAATTAAAATAATTGCAATTAATAAAATACTCAAATATATCATTTGAAGATATAAATTTGTCCCTTTACTTCCATAATAATTTAATTCAATTAAAGTTGAATTATTTTTTCGATTTGTGATTTCATATGTAAATATTCTCCGCAGGTTTTCTCGCAAAATATTTGATGCTAAAATTTTATAAAGAAAAATTTATTTAACAATATGCGCAAGAAATAGTTTCAGTTACTTACTCTTTATTCTCACAATTTTAACGCCAAAACCACACACTATAAAATTTACATATTTTAACTTTTATATAATATTGTGAATTTTCTAGTTTATTACTTTCCTACTATTTATTAGAAATCTAATATTTACACAAAAAATAATAAACAGAAATTAACAAGCATTAACTGTATATTGGAAATAGTGTAAACTATAATCAAGTGAAATGTGTAATTCAAACAGGTAATAATGAAAAAAAAAACAATCATTCTTCTAAAGAGGCAATAAAAAATATATTTTTTAAATTCATTTTAACCGTTAATAATTTTCTGACATAAATATTTAATTTCATTTTATCACTATAACGTAGTCAAAATTTTAGTCACATTGAAAATTATATGTAATATCTATATGTCTCGTTCAACGACGCTTACCTTTAAGATTTTTTGGAGGCAGCAGAAAATAATAGTGAAGCACAAAGTGAACTAAAAACAATATCAGCAGCTCCAAAAACCCTTAAAGGGTTACATACCTTTATGTCCACAAAAAAATGAGTGATTTTGTTCATTATTTATATCCGTTTCATTAAAACTTTATTAAAATAATGAACATTGCATTAAGTAGTATATGTTTCGAGATCATTTTAACGAGTTTAAAATTTAATTAATGTTAATAATTATACAAATAAAAATTTGTTTATAAATAATAATTCGCACAAATGAAAGTTTAATTAAACATAAACTCCGTCAAATGAGATTTTCTTGAAACTGGAATTTTGATACGTGAAAATTCTTGTGATTGAGGATGAAATTAAAATTATCTTCCTTATCCATACCTCTTTGACTTTCGAATATTTTTTTGTATATTTTTCATTTTCCACTCCCTCGTTAATAGTTTTTTTGTCTACTTATTAAAATTCCCCCCTAAATTAATGTTTTCTTATCCTTTCGTACTTCCGTCTCGATACCTATTAACTTCTGTTACCTTATTAATTTTAATTATTTTAAGGGGTTACAACCTGACATTTTATAAAAATTGATTTATTTGCTTAATTTTGAAGCCTACATACTTACTATAGTATTTTAAGCCATTATTTATTATAATATTAAAAAAAGAAAGTTATAGACATTTGACTTTTTAAAACCTCAAAAAAAAAATTTTTTTTCAAAGTGCTCCCATTTGATCAAAAAAATTTTTTCTCAAAGCGGATACGTCACACGATAGGCAATAATGTAGTCATTGCAACTTTAAAATTGTCATAAATAATAATTGGGAATAAAACATGTACAATAAGAACAAAATTATAACTATTAAATTTTGTTTCGAAAGTAATTATTTATTGAACCGAAACTCGTTACAGTTCGTCACTAATTTAAAAAAAATCTAACTTAGAGTCTCGCGCGAAAATTCTATTTACATAATATTAAAGACCTCAAAATTAACTTTACAGTGACATATTAAATTAATCATAAACTAACAATTACTATTCTTTTTCACTTAATTGAACATAGAGAAATTAAACAAACACTTGTTACACTACACAAAAACAATTATTTAATATCTCTAAACATAAGAAATAAAAGTTTCGTCATGCAAAAAATCTACATGTTTGTGAAATTCGATTTTTTTAATTGCACTAATACTAAAAATTGTTTACAAACATAAAAATTATATCTAGTAAAAATTCATTAAAAACAAAATGCATAAAAAGCAAGTAGGATCAATTGGAGGTATCGTGGTAATATAAAAAATAATTCGATGAACTCACAATTTTTCGAAACATATAAAAATAAAGGAAATATTATAATTAGTTCTAAACATGTATATGTATAATCAAGAAGTAAAATATATAAAATAATATATTTTACAAACGTTATAATATAATAGTTCGAAAAGAATTTATAATTGATTTCCTTTATTATTTATATAAATTATACCACAATTACCCCGATGGACCCTAAATCAAATTCTCAACAACAACTCTTTTTTTTACTGACTTATATTGACATCAATAATTATGAATATCCGTTCATGTCCTTACTTTTATCTTGTGTTGTGTCCACTAAACCACTAACAGCCTGTAACAGAATAAAAAACGTTTTTCAGTTTACATAAAACATTGATATCAAATATATTAATCCATTAAACGCACAAATGCCCCAAGATAACGAGTTTCATGACAATCCGAAAAATGTTTGGGCGCATGAATTTCCAATAAAAATCATTCATTTTGAATTTCAATTTAAAAGTATTTTAATAGAAATAATTATTTTTTATTAACTATTTTCAATCTCGATTTTGAGTACTCTGCTTCAATTTGACTGTTGTTCATTAATTTTTTATTTTAAAAATTCAAATTGTAATACTCACTGCCATAGATGTGATTGAAGATTTTGAGAACAATCTCTCAGCTTCTTTAAATTTTCTATTTCGTTTGTCTGCTTTACTGTTTGTATTCTTATTGCTCGCTAAATATCTATCCCATCCTCGAATTATATTGCCATATAATTGTGTATCCTCTAAATAGCTACCTTCGAAAGCATATATTTGTCTTTCTAAATTTGCCAAAGTATCCTGAAAATATGTATGTAGATATTAAAATTTACCAGAATTAAAAAAAGAACTAAGAAAACCCTAAAGAAAATACTAAACAACTTTCTTTTTAAAAATGCGTAAAATAGCCACTTACAATTTTTATGAAAAGTAAAATATAAGATAAAAATTAATAATATAAAATGTAAATTGTATACTACGCAGAAATTTATTGGTTAGGTTTACAAAATTGTTTGCATTCAAATATTTATCATTTTCAAGACAAATAATACTTGTAAATATCAATTTTATTGTAAAGCAAAATTATCCAAACGCTTTTCAAAAAATTTTAAACAAAAAATTTCTTTTCTTTTGAAAAAATTTGCAATTTACACAATGGAATTTATTTTTTTAATTTTACTATTTTTTTCCCTAAAATTCATAAAAACAAATGTTTGAAAGTTTTATAAAAGCAGAAAATTCATTAAAATCCATACAATTAAAATTGAAATGTCAACTTAAACAAATTTTAAATATTGCGTCTTTTATATTGTTTTCGTAAACAGAAAACTGACTGTTAACGAAATATGTTTACATATAGACAGGAAGTTGATTTTTAAGTTTTATTTTGTCTAACAAAGATTAACACACACCCTTAATAGAAACAATTGTAAACAATAATAATTATTGTACAATTAAAGAATAAAACTTACGGCAATTTCTGCTTTTCTTTTAACAAGTTCAGCTAATTCTGCACGAAGATCTACAGTTGGCTTTGAAGACATTTTAAATCTTCTTTTAGACAGTTCATTAATATTAAAAACAATAATATATCTAAGGAAAAAAAGTTGATATGAAAAATTTACTGCAAGTTATCGAACAATATTTTACATATTTGTTTATTGACACTAAATAAAAACACTGTATTGTTTGCTCAGTAGGCTCAGTATATTTGGAACAGATGATATTCTCAAACATTGACAGTAACAGCGTTGGGTAACTTATAAAATTTATGTGCATCTTGCGCAGGGTTGTGAATGAGACAAACTGTTCTCTGTGAGTACAGAGAAACTTCGAAATCCGACATTTGTGATTAAGGGTACGGTCACACCGCGAAAGATAGCGAGGCTACCTATACCTATAATATAATATAACGTATAAAGGCGCTTGTATACCTCACCGATCCCGAGTATACTTGCGTCGTGTACCATTGGAGTAAAAGAAACAAAAGATATTTTCGTCTCTTTTACTCCAATCGGTGAGGTATACAAGCGCCTTAAGAGTGAGAGAAATAAGAACATTTTTATTTCTCTTACTCTTATACGTTATATTATATTATAGTGTCTTAAAATCATAAACCAAACTTTTTGTTCGAGATTAGTATCAATGCTTTGATGACGTCACTATGATTGCCAACCAACACGTCAGTCACGCAACGCAAACATTTAGGAACATATTGGAGAAAGGCCTTTAAGGAGAGTCCAGAATTGAACGTCGACGTATCATTCTAACTTTGTCTCTCCCATTGTCTGTCCATAAGGCCGACGCGTCGCTATCAAAGCGTCGACGTTCAGAAACCACCTATTCTGGACTCTCCCTTAGGCTGCAGTCCCATGGCAGCGTTTTGCGTTGCGTTTTGACACTAGACCCTGAGTGTAAACATAGCAAACATATATCTGCATCTCTTTTACACTCATGGTCTAGTGACAAAACGCAACGCAAAACGCTGCCATGGGACTGCAGCCTTAGGATCTCATTGGAGACGCACCATAAGGCCTTTCTTCAATATGTTCCTAAAGGCCTAAGCACAATAACAACATAATCGGAATCGCAATCGTAAACGGAAGAATTAATAAGAGAAGAACAACAATATATAACTCTCCTTCTCTAACCCATTCTTCCGTTTGCGATTGCGGTTACGTTTCTATTCTGCTAAAGGCCTGAAACATAACCGGAATCGTAATCGTAAACGCAACCGGAAGAATGAGTTAGAGAAGGATAGACATATTGTTTGTCCTTCTCCAACTCATTATTCCTGATGCGGTTACGATTCCGGTTACGTTTCTATTCTGCTTAGGCCTTTAGGCTGCAGTCCCATGGCAGCGTTTTGCGTTGCGTTTTGTCACTAGACCATGAGTGTAAAAGAGATGCAGATATATGTTTGCTATGTTTACACTCAGGGTCTAGTGTCAAAACGCAACGCAAAACGCTGCCATGGGACTGCAGCCTCAATGTTTGCGTTGCGTAACTGACACGTTGGTTGGCAAGCTCAGTGACGTCATCAAAGCTTTGTTTAGGCTGTGTCATATTATGACGTCAGAAGCCTGGAGGGACAACAAACGACACAATGTTATTCTTATGGGGAAGAAAATTTGTTTCCACTTTCATCAATTTTATTCATATTTTAAACATGGAAAACGCTGTTGACATATAATAAAATTAAAATGTGTGTTGATAATTAATTTTGTTATATATTTGATTCAATTGCATTGATAGATTCTCTCAATTCGTGATAAAATATAAATTTTGAGGTTAGGGGTGTTTGTTTACTAATCACATTTTACATTTTAACAACATTATTAAACAATATCCAGTATGCATGTTATTAAAAAAGATATAAAATATATATTTTAAGTGGGAATTACCGCAGCAGTAAAAGATTCAAGTTAGTAAACAAACACCCCTAACCTCAAAATTTATATTTTATCACGAATTCAGAGAATCTATCAATGCAATTGAATCAAATATATAACAATATTAATTATCAACACATATTTTAATTTTATTATATGTCAACAAGCGTTTTAATTTTATTTAGTAGCTATTTAATTGTAAAAAAAGTTTCCATTAAAAATCTCTTAAAATTGAATTAATTCGATCTAAGAATCTTGCGAATATATGACTTTTCCGAAATTCAATTATTTTTAAAATTATTAAAATTCTTTGTAAAAGTAAATTGAAGTAAATGTAATAAAAATGTTTTTAATCCTATTTAAGTAAAATTCAATAATTTAAAACATTTTAAAAACTCTTCAAATTGTCATAAATCACACCAGTTTACAGTGAAATTGCCAATCGTACGAAACATTTTTTTTATTAATATGTGTTTTTTAAGTAAGAAAAACATATCCTAGAATCGACTCTGACGTCACAAGTGACAGAGCCTAATGCCGTTTCCGAATTGAGATTTTTAGCACATTTTTGATAAAGTGATATACTCGGGAAGTATGCAGTATCCTTTTTTTCACTTTATCAAGTTTGCGCTAAAAATCCCAATTTGGAAATGGTCTAATAGAAAACTCAACCAGAAGAATGAGTTAGAGAAAGACAAACAATGTGTCTATCTTTCTCTAATTCATTTTTCTAGTTGCGTTTACGATAACGATTTCGGTTATTATGGGTAGCCTCGCTATCTATCGAGGTGTGACCGCACCCTAAAGATGCTTTTATACATCCAGTATTTTGGTGAAGCAATTGGCTTGATTAAATTTTCACGGTTGTATCACTGAATTTGATTGACTCTGACTAATATTCCATATCCACCGTGAAAATTGAATATTTTTAGAGTGCTAAAAAAAAGAAGTGTGCTAAAAATCCCAATTCGGAAACGGCCCAGCCGATTGCTTGACCAAAGTACTGGAGATATAAAAGCACCTTTAGGCAATCATCCGGTTTGCATCCATCTTGAGTTTTCCCCCACTCAACTTGTAATACCTACACTTAACTTCGCAACCCATGCCTGACCCAATCCGACTCATTCTCCTTATTCTTATTGGCAACTTTAAGGAGTCAATATAGTTTCAGAATTTATTAATTAATTTAAAGTTAATAGTAAAACTATTATTTAATTTGCCTTATTACTTAGAACTAAATAAAGTTTAAATAAAATTTATTAATTAGTCAAAGTTTTGAAAAAGTGATTGATAAAATACTGTAAAGTATAATGGATTGTTCTTATTTAGATAGAAACACTGTCGTTCAGTGCCCGTACGATAGTAACCATAAAATTGCACAGTCTAGAATTCAGATACATCTTGTAAAATGTGAAAAGGTACTTAGTGTATATTTATTTTAAACTTTATTTTCTCTGAGAAAAAAGTCATCCAAAATTTAAAGTTACTGGATTGGCTTAAACTTTTGTACATTTTTGTTTTATATTATATATGAGAGTAACAAATCCCTAAAATATTAACTCATTTAACACTTATTTTCAAATCCGTTTAATGACAAAACTTTATGGATTTTTTAAAAGGTGTACTTTTTAATTCCAAAAAAAGTTTTAAAAAAACAATTTTTTCAAAATTAACCCTTATTTTTCATTTATTGGTCCTTTTAAAATTTTATTGTCAATTTCACAAATTAAAATTCATAAACTTATGTTAATAATATATTATCCACATAGCACGGCTTCTTGCTGTGAGGTTACTGTAAGGATATTTGTAGGGTTTGTAAGGTTACCGTGTAAGCCTGCAGCAAACTTGAGGTCATCTTAAAACTTCCGCCTTACAGTAAGGTCATGGTAAGGTTCTATAGTAAGCTTACACGTTAAGATTGTAAGTTTCCTGTAAGGTTGCTGTAAGGTTACTGTAAACATAGAATGTTGTTAATAAATAAATTTTATTAATATTTATGCGCAGTAGTTTTACTATGGCACATACAGCTGCGCAGTAACTTTTATTTAACAAACCCTATTGGGGTTCATAAAGTACTTTACCAAATATAAGTATAATTTAAAAAAAAATTATAATATAATTATTTTTAATATATTTTCATATTACTTTATGTTTACAGTAACCTTAAAGCAACCTTAAAGGAAACTTACAACAACCTTACCGTGTAAGCTTACCTTACCTTACAGCAAGAAGCCGTGCTATGTAATTTAAAATCATTTCATAATAAAAATAATTTGAAGTGGGAAAAAGGGGTTAAAAATGAAAAATAAGGGTTAATTTAAAAAAAATGATATTAAATTTTTTTTTGAAAAAACTTTTTTGGCATTGAAAACTTCATAAAAAAGTTTCAAAAAACTTTATTTACAAAGTTTTGTTATACAGATTATAAACTAATAGTCTTTTATAAAATTCAGTTTTATTTTTATCATAGTGTAATATAATTGTTTAAAAAAGTAGAAGAAAAAGAAGATCTAATGGTTTCAAGTAACTTTAATAAAATTATCGATTTTTTAAAATTTTATGATTATAAAATTTTCCCCAGCCTGCGACAACTTTATGGCAAGCTTACGCTGATAGCTTATGTTAATAAAATATTTAATAGGAAGGTCACCGTTTTGAAAATAAGCTTTTAATGTAAGCTTATCGTAAGGTTGGAGCGCAAGGTTCCTCTCCACGTTACACTATCGGTCAGAATTGTGTGACCATCCTTTTTTTGATAAATGAAAAATATCTTAAACATTTTTAATAATTTTCTACTGAATGAGAATTACTTGTAAACATGTGTAATTTTTTTCTTCAAATATGGAAAATTGTACAAAAAAAATTGGAAAACTTATGATTTATTTTTTTGTACCAAAACCCGTCTTGTAAAAAATATATAAAACTTCAGGGTTCATATACAGAATTTGGAAACCGTACAAAAAATATGAAATTTTAAAAAGTTCCTAGAAATCGTTGAAAAAGCTTGGAATTTTTTTTATTTCTTGAGACTTATCTACCGTGGATGTACCAGTTACCGTCCATGTCCCAGTATCCGTCCGTTTTACAAATATCTCGTATAGTAATTTAAATTATTTTTTAACAATAATTTATTCCTTTTGGCACGCAATCGACTTATTAGTTTAAGTAAACAAATAAAAGAAAATAATTTTTTTATAAATGTTATTTTTAAAATTAAACTGGACGGAAGCTAGGTTTTAGGTGGACGGCAACTGGGACATCCACGGTATAGCAGTTAAAAAATAAAAAAAATTTTAATTTATATAATTTTTTAAAAACTGTTAAAATCTAAATAAGATGTCTAAACGAAAAAGTTGTGTAAAATTTTTAAATAAATTAATTAATTTATTAATTTAAGAGTCATTCATATTCAGGTGTCAAAAAATTTATGTAAAATATAGAAGTTAAAAAAATAGATTTGCAATTTTTTAGGAATTTTCTTCAATTTGACCTTGAGTACATCCAGAAGGTCTAGAATTTCAATTACAGTTTTTTTGTACGAACCATGAACTTGAAATTTTTTCGGGCGGTGGACCGAGAAACCGGAAAATGATAGAGAATTTCTTTCGTGACCTGGAATTTTGAAAGTTTTTATTGAAAATTTGCAATATTGAATTAAGTATCATTATTATAATTTTATAGAATAATTTATTTTTGAAGTTTTTCATTGTGAACGGGAAAATTATTTCACGACTGAAAAATGACGGGTAATTTTTTTTGTTAAAAAAGACCTGTTTCGAATTTTTTGGTACAATTTGACAGCTTGCATTTTTGAAATAAAAAATTAGACGTTAATGCTTACAAACAATTCTTATTTTGTAGATAATTACTATTGAAATATGCCTAAGAACTAATATACCTAAAGTTCTGAACGTTCAAATGAACGAAATCACTTTTCTGATCTATAAATCAAATGAATAAAGTCATTGCGGCCTAATTTTTAATTTAATTAATTTTTTTACGATTTTTATCAATTAATTACGAGAAATTAGTAATTCCCATAGTCCCCGACAGGCATTCAAATAGACAATAACAGTCACATAAATAGACAGTGGGTTAACATTATGTTTCTTAATCACAGCAACATCCAGAAAACTTTAGAGAGATTTGCCCCTTTAATGCCACTCATCGTTTTCCGAAATCGGATATGCAGGAACATATAAACAACTGTCCTTCACAACGACATTCGCAACCTGAGCTATATCAGAGTAAGTTTGTTTATATTATTTATTTATATTAGATATCTCGAATATGTATTCCTTACTGCTCGTTTTATTTAAATCAACTTATTGTTAGTATTATAAAACTTAAAATTTCCGACCAATATTGAAAAATAACGAAAGTTTCGAATTGATGTTCCATCAGTTTTAATGGTTTTTTTTTGTTTTACAATGTTTTTGACATCGGGTACTATGTAGATTCCCATGTGGAAATTTTCAATAGGGTTGATAAATGGAAAATAAAAACAACCTCATATTTACAGAATATGTTAATTGCGGCTCGATCAAATCTTGCCCACCATCTGAAATAGACATTGACGAGTGTTGGGAGGATGATAGCGATTCAGTTTTTAAAGCAGATTCAAGCTCATATTTTAATAATTCTGCATCATATGTCAGCAAATATGAAAGGTATTTCTTATATATTTTAAGTTAAATTATATTAACCGATTAAGGACGGGATAGACATTTCTTATATCTCACGAATCACCCTATCGAACTTTTTAAATGTTGCAAAGTAAGTGTATAAAAGGCAAGGAATGATGTGAAGGCAAAAAAAAGATAAGTTGTATATTTTTTTTAAAATCTTAGTTTAAAAAACATTCAAGTAAATAAGATTTCTATCCATAGGTGTGTCCTTTTCTTGCTAACGTTCGCACAAAACATATTTTTAATGAAAAAATTCTTTTAAATTGTTGATAATTAAATCCTTAATTATCTTATAGATTCGAAGCTAATGTAAGAGCTCCTCGGGGATTTGCTGAAGTAGATATGTTGGATTCCTCTGTAGGAAGTTCAGCACTGGATGAAATGGGTTCGGTGATAAGTTCAGGAGGAATGGGACGTGGATCAGCAACAATTAATAGAGAAAAGATGCTTCAAAAAGTTGGTCGCGGCAGAGGAAAGCCAAAACATTGCGATTAAACTATTCATAACATAAAACTAAAAAAAATTAGTATAATAGTAATATACTAAGAAACATATATTTTTCTATTCATTTTTTTTCAAATATACATTTATATGTATTATCAGAAAAAAATATTTTTTTATATTTCTTACCATTCTGTATTTTTTGTTGACGCCACGCAATTTTTATTTCTCGACTTTCAAAAAGGCGCAAATAACGAAATAATTATTATAATTATAATTTACAGTTTATTTGTAGATGAATAAATCTGAAATTCATTTTCATTGAATTCGCTTATTTTCTTTATTTACAAAAAAATCATAAAGTGTTTAACGAAAAATATTAAATATTATTAATATTAATATTAGACAAAATATTACAAATATAAATAAAACCATAAATACGTGCAAAAATATAAATTCATAATAAAATAAAATAGTTTAATAATATAAAATGAAATAACAAAAACTCATTTTTGAGATTTCTTAACAGTTAAGAGCACTGTTTAGAAATTCTGGTAATTGCCACAAATTTTGGAAAGGCGTCTTTTTTTTAGTAAGGATGTAACCAAATATTTTTTTGTTGTATTTTTAAATTGTTTTTTCCTTCAACAAAATATACACATTCCGCATTTATGCAAATCTGTAAAATATGTTATTAATCAGTATTTTAATTAGTTACTCTTGAACCTTCTCATAAATGAGAACTTAAATTGGGAAAAAAAAATTTATCAGCGAAGAAAAGCTTTAGAACTTTCGTTTTCAACATAAAAAGAATATTGTTTGAAGAATACAGTAAGCTTATTTGAATGGCTTATAACGTTACTCTCTTAATTTGAATCAGTGAAATTTCACTGGTGAAATAGCTAGAAGTCGGTTACTGAATCATTTAGTGAAATTTTCACTGAAAATCAGTCATATATCACTGATTTCAAGTGAAAATTTCACTAAATGAATCAGTCAATCTGTATTATCGGTAATGGGTAAAACAGATTGACTGATTCATTTAGTAAAATTTTCACTGGAAATCAGTGATATATGACTGATTTTCAGTGAAAATTTCACTAAATGATTCAGTAACCGACTTCTAGCTATTTCACCAGTGAAATTTCACTGATTCAAATTAAGAGAGTACATCGTAAGATTCCCGGTCAAATTTCTAAATCCAAAGTGCTACAGTAGCCTTGCGCGGTAAACTTAAAAATAAATACCAGAACGGTTTGAGGTTTATCTTAAGTCTACTGTTGACTTACGGTATAATGTTACAAACCATTCAAAAGAACTTACAGCATATCCTTCCAGCAATATATCGTGCTAAGTAGGTTATTATCTCATCAAAGGTGCAAAATGTATATTGAGGCATTATTCTTCCAATACGTTATAATGTTTAGATTGTTATATTTTGGGGAAGAATTATATTCTCCTTACTTTATTATCACCGCAGGGACTTCCTTCAGCTGGTGGAGCAAAAGCTTTCGAGCAACCTTGATCACGCAGTCGCTCACAAAAAAGCACTGAACAGACTAATGGATCATCCTGAAAGAGGGGTAAAATAATTATTGATAATAAGTAATAATCTAATCTCATTATTTATTCCTACCGATGGTTGTCCGCTACCAAGAGTCTTGTAAATTCTTGGTAAACCTTGTCGTGGTGGTGGAGCTTTTAACTAAAGGACATCAAAAAACCAAGATGTAAGGTAAGGAGAAAAAGAGATATGGAAAGTAAGGACGTTTACGGTGTAGTAAAGGGATACCCCAGTGCCGGCGCTGCTGAAAGTGAACAAGTTGGCTTTCCATCGTCGGAAATAATCTAGTGACAACAGTATTGCCGTATTGAACACCTTGTGTATACTCATGCTGCAGTACACTGCAGCATCTAATTCCACAAGGCAGATGGACCATGGGGACACCCAGTTTCTTAAGATTCCCCAGGTCTGTTTGGAAAGACTTGGAAGTATAAGAGGAAGCGCTTCAAGCGTTTCTAATATCAGCAGCGAAAGAATTTAATTCCGTCAGACCTAGACAACGAGACAGTAGTTGAAGAAGAACACGAGAAGTGTTTAAAGCTTAGGCAGGGGAAGGTGAGTGTCTTCAGAGGATCGAAGAGAAGATCTCCAAGATGGTAAAGTCTTGCGAAGTCCACAAGAATGTCTACATGACAATTAAGACTCTTCAGAATCTTGTCAGTGAGACGAAAACAAAGCACGACCTAGCAGATAATGGAGATAGCAATTTTGATGGCGTTATAGGCAATGTAGAGGTGAACCCAGAAGAGAGAAAGATGAAAAGAGAGCGTATATCTATGAGAAGCAGCTTCGGCGCGCAGTCATAGAGGCGTAGAAACAATGAAAAAGCTCTGGCAGTTCGGGGAGGACTGGCGCCGAGGCGAAGAAGAAAAAGCAAGAGAAGTCAAAAGGATTGTGATGTTGACAGTAACATCGAATCCTAAGCAAACCAGTAAGAAGAAAGCGACGAGGTGACCTATAAGGATAATCCGAGTCGCAACAGGAACAACGTATGCCGACGTACTGAGAAAACTTTGGAGGGAAGTGAATCCGGACGTCAGCCGTACGCAAAATATCAATAACAGATGTAGAAAATGAAAAGTAGAATTTTTATTGTTTGCATAATTCGAATCCTTTCTACTCGAAATAAAATATTATGCACAAATTTGTACACGGAAAAAAAATAGTTCGTGAAACATTCGTAAACTAGTTGTTCACTTTTGGACGGGCCAAAGTTTGGAAATCTTTCATTAACTTTTTTTCAAGAATTCACAAACTTTTTTTGTGCGCGTGCGCAGACATTAATGGTCATAAAGAGAGTGATGAACTTTCGTGAAATCTTGGAAAAAGTTAATGAAAGATTTCCAAACTTTGGGACCGTCCAAAAGTGAAAAACTAGTTTACGAATGTTTTGCGAACTATTTTTTTCCGTGTATGTTCTGAGCAATGTATAAACAAAAGACTGATTTTATTTATGTAGATACCTAATAATATTTATATAAATTTACCTTTTTCGCCTGACAAAATTTGGTTCCTGTTCCTACTAAGCATTGTTCATCCATTGACATCACTTTGCCGGGCAATGGCACATTCACCGGTTTATCTTCAGGTGGAAGATTGTAAAGACCTTCCGTTTTTCCTGATCTGTGGTAAATATTAAAATTTTTTTTTACTTTTCCTAATCGCTTTCTAAGTTAGCTACAAATGAATGCAATGTCCGCTTGCAGAAATGATCGGTAAATTTACTATTTATTAGGGTAAGTGTACCAATTGCGGCGAGTTCATAAAAAATAACTATTATTACTATCATATTTAATATAACTGTTGCCAAATGATTAAAAAAAATTATTTCAATCTTTTTTTGATACAATTACTTATAAAGATGCACATTTAAACAATTATTAATTTAATTATTTGAGATCAAATTTTTTCCGCGCCGCAATTGAAACATTTTTTAGATTTCCATTGGCTCCAATTTCGGCGGGCAAAGTATCTTCAAAATACAAGTAATTTTGGTCACCGAAACTGATACAAACGCGCCGCAATAGAAAATTACGGTATTAGTTTTAATTTCTCATATTTGTTTAAATAATCGATTTTTATAAAGTTAAAATTTTTTTTAAATATTTTAATAGCATAAGCTTTTAGTTTAATAAGTCTTAAATTGAGTTTATAAAATGGAAATGTCGAATTTTCTATTTTAAAGGTGTTTTGACTCGAATCGTGCCGCAATTAGTGCATTTACCCTATTTGAAGATCATTTTCACAAATGGATTTTGCAATCACTCTTCCAGCTAACTTGGTAAGCGATTAGGAAATGATTTCCTGCCGTGTTTCGCGTTACAAACTATTCAAATAATCTTTAAGTATCACCAATGTATCATGTTAATGTAGGATATGTTTACAAGAAAAATAATTTTAATATTGTATTCATACCGTAAATATTCCTTAATTTTTTCTTTACTGCATGGTGAAAATTTTACTCTGTTTTTCTTTTTACCGTTGTAACCCATTATGTAGGCATTCTCATCCCCTGGACATGTTGCATCTCCAGAATCCATTTCGTCAAATGCACCAAACCTGAATTGGTATAATACCCTACTGTTAATTCCCATATGAGATCCCTTGTAAGATGGCTTATGGTTTCTTATATGTATAAGATTCTATACGAAATCTTATAAGGACATCTCGTAAGAAGAATCTCATCAGTGTCCATACAGGATTCCATATTGGATCCCATATAGGGTCGAAATTTGAAAAATAAGATTTGTGAATATCTCAAAAACGGTAAAAGATACGGAAAATCGGACAAAATTTTGAATTTATTTTATATAAAGCAAAAATATTTTGTGTTTAAAACCTAAAATATGTCTCATATTCTTTTTTTAAATAACTACTACATATTCCCATGTGGGATCCTATGTGAGATCCCATATAGAATTCTATATGGACACTCATGAGCTTTATCTCATGAGTGTCCATATAGGATTCTCGTAAGATCTCATGTAGTATCTCATATGAGAAACCATAAGTGATATTATAGGGGATCTCATACGGGAATTTACAATAGGGTAATTATCAAAATATTAATTTAAAAATCATGTTGATATTGGACAAACGATTAATTTTAACCAATTACATTGTGACGTTATTTTTTGTGATTGACGTCACAATTGCACCAATAGCAACTAAACTTTTGAATTCTTGTATTTTTGAGTTTCGATATAAATAACGATTTAATATTTACCGCATTTGAGAATTTCCTATACTTGACACAAGTCCAGTTGTAATACTGGCGCTCCATTTTTAAGGAATTTTACATTAATTTAGTTTAAGTTAGTTTTAGGTTGGCAGGCTTTGTCGAATTTCCGGTAATATCTCAAGTATCGCGGGCTTGATATTGGAAAAGTCACTTAAGTAGTATTAGTAATTCAGAATTCTGGGAGAAGTAAGGTAGGAAAATGTTTTTGATTAGTTTAAATTAAAGAAAATCGTTGCGTCATCTAGTGTCAATTTTAGTGTTAATTAAGAATTTAGTTTTCAAACTCACTCTCTTGCCATCTAACCCTCATCGAATCAACATGTTTAGTTTTCAATAGTTTTTCGGTCATGTGTTTCGAGTATAGTTTTGTGGTTACAGTCATACTAATAAAATATAAATTATTTCTAATTAAATATTATTAAAGTTTAACATCAATAAGTTCGGTTTATTTCAAATTAATTGCAATAACTCGTTTTTCTACCATGGGTCCAATCATCAATGCAGAGCATAACTGTAAGTCAATTTTTTATAATTGTTTGTAAGAATCTTTTCGTTTTTATTATTAATAGAATAATGTTAATAAATAAAGTTTCAAAGGAAAGATGAAAGATGTTATAAAGAAAATGATTAATGTCAATAGTTTACTTAATTAAAATATAATATTTCATTTATTGTTAATTTATTGTGTACGAATTATTTATTGTTACCATGAACTCTCTTATTATTAAAAAAAACCATCCCTCTCTCCACGACCTGCATAACTGACACTAGCACCGGCACGTGCAGAAGATTTAATAAATAATTCTTATTGGTCGATCTTAATTAGTATTTTATTAGTTATAAGTTTGAGATTTGGATTATAGTTTAGTCCGGTTGACAATACCGGCGATACAAAAGTTGTCTGGCGCCCTTCCATACCGGGGATCGTCCATAAGAATAAAAGGTTAAGTCGCACAGTAACGTTTTGCTAATTTTGTTATTTGATTTTTCTAAGATTTAAAGTAACATAAATTACGTTCAGAATCGAGTCACTTTGCATTAAAGTTTGAATCCAATTTCGTCCAAGTATAGTAATTTTGATAATTAGAATTATTTCTCGTTTGTTATAATAAAATTTAGAAATCAAGTTTAAGAGTAATTTTAGAGTAAAAAAAATACGTTACAACATATATAAACATCATAACACTCAAAATTCCCGAATGTTTGGGGAACCCGTCTATTAGGAAAAGCAGTTTGTATGCAACCCGCGGTAGCTCTGATTGATTTTTCTTTGCTAAAGCATTTCATTCTGAACCCGCAAAATAATCTTAAATTTGAGCCCCTTTTTGGTACTTTCCAGTGGCCTAACCCCTTAAACGAAAATTAAAATAATAAAATTTTTAAATATCTTACATGTGACCCAATTCATGGGCTGCTATATTAATTCCATAATATCCACCATTGTCAGTTGCAATAGAAGCACCTCTAAACATTGGGGCTTTATCCAATGTGTCTATGTCTTTTTTACTCGCTCCTGCTATAAATGAGATGCCTAAAAAAATTACGAACAAATGTAAGTTAATGCATTTTAACTAATAAAAAGATTAGATGAAAATTTAGTTGAATAAATTTAAACTAACTTAACATTTAGTTAAATATTAAAATTTTGTTTAAAAAAATTTTCGATTAATAAACTGTTAGATGAAAATGATTGTAAATTAAAATTTTGATTATTGCTTTGATTAAAAGAAAATCCTATTGAAAACAGAATTTTGTTTTTATATCTATCTTTATTTTTCTTTTTATCTCTTACCACTAGAGTTTCGTTTATATATTTGGCCTTTTATTTTCTTTTGTATTTTCAGGTCCAAACTGCAATTTTTTTCAAATTATTATTATTATTATCAACTATGAGAGCATTTTGAATGTTTTTTCCAAATTAATTTTTTCTTACCCAGTTATAAGTAAAGCTGTATCGTAATAGTGTGAGTAATTAAATTTATTGTTTATTTTTGCTAAATATCGCCCAAAGTCATTTACATAGATTGATGCAGTTGGATTCTTATCATTAAAACGTGGCAACATGGTTGTTATCGGACCCTTAAAAAATAATAATTATTAATATTAAAATTACATATATTCTCTTGTATTATTGTCCCGTAATATTGGGACATTATTAATAATAATTAGATCAATATTTTTTTATAATATTGAGAAAATACTCTTACATTAATTATAATGATTCCTTTAATTCTTAACCTAATTTTTGGATCCTCTAAATCTCTGAATCGTAAATCTACTCCGTACATAAAAGTTGTTACGTATTTCAATGTATCTTGAACGCTTTTGTTAAATTTCCTAGAAACAAAATATATAACAAATTATAATGTATCCTTGAATTTTACTGCCAAGAAAAAATTATTTATATAAAAAAATATTAACAATTATATGTATAATATATATGTTGAAGGCGAATAAAAAAAATTATTTGCCTGCATTGAATCAGGCAATTAATGCCTATAGGTATTTTGGAAATTTCCAATTAACGGTATTGGAAACTAAAGCAAAAATTTATTTTCGCATTTTTTTGTACATTAAAATTTTTTGTTTCATACTTACAAAAAAAGAGCTTCATCAATGAAAACTAATAATTCCGGATAAGCAACGTCTCTCTCGACATCATTTGAAATAATTTTTGTTGATATTAATTTTCTTTTTTTTGGATATACAACTGCGTGTAGATTAAAAATTATATCAAATTCAGAAAAGTAATATTTATCAAATAGAAATTATTAATGAATAATACGAATTATTATTATTGGCAGACAATCAATTTTTTAAATGTGTATATTATAATTAGTGGTTTAAGTGCAACAGTTGTCGAGGTTTCCCTTCCCGGTTAAAATTTCGAACTGATTTTGGATTTGTTGATCAAACTAAAAATACAGACTAATTTCATAGAACTTATAAATTGATCTCAGATTTAAATTGTCTTTTCCGATGGACTAATTTCCGACTATTACAGATCAGATCTATTTTTTAACTTTGACCTTCTAACCAGTCGTCACTACCTTGGTTTAAATTCTGGAATCCGTAAATAATCCGAAATAGTCCAGTTTATGGTCGGGTTTTTGTCATCCGAAATTAGTTCTGTTAAGGCCAAAGCAGAATAGATTCTTGAACGGGAACGCAACCGTGAACGGAAACGTAAGAATGAGTGAGAAAAGAATAAAGATATTTGTTATCCTTCTCTTACTCATTCTTATGTTTCCGTTTACGATTGCGTTCCCGTTCAAGAATCTATTCTGCTTAGGCCTTTAAGTGCGGAATTAGTTCGATTTGTGCAACTAGTAAATTCGAAATATACTGTTGCTATAGTTACGTTCGAATGGACTGACTTCGTATTGTACCGGAAATGTTGAATCAAGTTACTATTTTTTAAGTTTAAAATATAATAAAATTTACTAGTCACTTCAAAAAGCAAAATATTGAAGTACTCTGGTTATTATTATTTTTTTAAATAAACGCATTAACGAAACGTAAATAAGTTACACGTTCACTGTCATATTCATTCAAAACGTTTCGTTTTTCTGTTTGCTTTAGTAGTCATGATTTTATTTAATTTATTTTAAAAAAAACTTACCGACTTTTCTTCGGTTGTCTTTGTCGGCTATTTTCCATCTATTTTTCAAATTATTAAGTCGCCTTGTTTTTTCATAATTTTTCCGTGGCTTAGATTCTTCTTGAAATGTCGTTTCTGACAAATCTTCTTTGGGAATTGTATATATTGTGATATGATCGTCACCTGTGCCATCCTTAAAAGAAAAATACAATTCTTATTGATATAGATATTTTTTTTATATTTTTGTTAATGTTTTGTCACTTTATTATTTTTATTTTTCACGCATGGGTACAAAAAAGTACAAAAAGAATGTTGCAGGTTTAATGAAAACTATATAAATAATAATTGTACTAGCAAAATGAAAACTATATAAATAATAATTGTACTATATGTTCAATTACCACAAGTGTATTCCCATGGTCGTCTACCGTTGTATAAACAGCTGCCTTATTTTCCTCATCAAGATAAAATTCCTTATTTAAATCCTCCAATGCCTTAAAATTTAACATAATAATTATTTTTTATTATTGATAAATAAATTGCTGACAAATTAAAAAATTTAAATAATCGTACATTTGGAATAAGTTGAAATTGAAAACCATAAGGTGATTCATTATCAGGATTTGCGGTCCAAACTTCTGCGTTCCTTCCAATTAAAAATTCATCACCAGGATGCAAATAATGTTCAACGTCATCGTTGTCATAGGGTATATTAAATTCTTAAAGACATAATATAACATTATTTTTGAATGATTCAATTATTTTTAAGTTAGATTTTAAAACAAAATAAAATTATTTTCTTAATTAATTTTATTATTATAAGTATTTGTTAGACTATTGTTAAATTACTTCAAAGTATTTTCGATTATTTTCTTTTGCATTATTAGTTTTTCTTTTTTTAACAAACTTATCAGAAGAATATAAAATTTTATTTTATATACCTTTGACATTTGGTGCTTGAGAAATTTTCTTCACGTTATCACTTGTAAAGTTTTCGAGTATCTGTTTGTGTAAATAAAAATCACATATTGAATAAAATCAATATTTTTTAAATGTTTTATAAAATTTTATGTCTCGAATACCCAAGTGCGAAAACTAAAATTTGCCAGTACTGGCCCAGTATTTGCAAAACAGACAACGAGCCTTGGCAGACAATTTTGGGCCGACTCTTGTGGTGCATGGAAAAAATAAGTCAGCAAAACTTTCGTAAACTAGTATTTCACTTTTGGACGGGAACGAAAGTTGTTCAAAAAGTATAGACACAGTTTATTAAGAAAACAAAACTAATTATAAAAATGTGAACTGTGTATACGAGCCGATGCTCAATGTGCTCTGATGTTTCGGAATCAGTTTATCAAACTTTCATAAACTCTCAGCTAGAACTTAAGTACGTGCACCAAAGATTTCGTAACACTTATATGCATAAAAATTCGACGACAGTCAACCAAACGCTTGTAAACTCACAAAAAATTTAGAAAAATTAAAAAAAAATTCACATTCAGGGGTATTTTTTACTTAATTTGTACATCACTTGAAACACAATTATTAATATCTTATATACGCACTATACACAATTTTATCGACATTAAAATTCGGAATTCGCTTCCGCGGGATTCGAACCTACCTAACCAAGATATATAACGCATTTTGTCTTAGCAACTAACCGCCGCGGCTATCGAGAGCCACGCGAACGAAGAAGTTAATTCCACTGATCAACACTGACCAAGCTACGAACTGCGCATGTTCGGAATTTTAGAAAAAGTCTACGATTCTTTCGTTGACTGCTGTCTTAACTACTCTCTTTTATGTTTCAAACTTTCGAACCTCAATTATTACAATGTTGTAAAACTTTTTATAGAAATTCGACAGTCTTTAAACAATATTATTAAAAACTGTTCAATATAGATTAACAAACTGATCTTTCTATACAGTTTGTAAATAATTTCTTGACTCTGTTTCATTTTTTCGGTAAAGTTTATGCTTCATTACTAAAAAGTGTATGAAACGTTTAAAAATTTGTGCCCCGTCCAAAAGTGAAATACTAGTTTACGAAAGTTTTGCTGACTTATTTTTTCCGTGTGTTAACTGCGATTAGACGTCGGCAGCCAAGTATCAGACGCCATTACTGGGCCAATATTGGCGGCGATTAGTGGCCCAGTATTGTCATAGTTTAAAAAAGTTTAAAAAATTGTATTTATTAATTAATTAACTAATTAATTCATTATAAATTTATAATTCAAGTCCTGACAGAAAGCACAATTGTTTAAACATTCGAAAATTTGTAACGCTCGCGGGAACCGAACTCGCAACCTAACGCACCGAAGTCTAACACGCTACCACTACACTATCCGCGGATATGGGAATCTCAACACAAAAATGTATTGATAAGCTGCATTTGAGGAACATTTCAGCCGTCAATGGGCCAATAATGACCAGTAATGGGACAGAGTTCGTCTCAATTATAGAAAATTAGAATTACCAAGTATTGGTGCCAATATTGGCCCAGTAATGTGACGGAGTTCGGCCCAATAATGGCAAATTAGAGTAACCGATAATCGGTGCCAATATTGACCCAATAATGGGACGAATTGATCGCCAGTACTGGTCCAGTAACGTTTGCCGTACTTCGACAGACATTACTGAGCCAATGTTGGGCCGTATTGTCAGTCTTGGAATTTCGCACATGGGTATATTCGAATTCAGCGTTAAAATTATGTGATTAATGTAAATTAAAAAAATTAATCAATAAGTCACTTACCATAAAACAGTTTGCAAAAGGAGACAAAATAATATATAAAAATATGACAAAGTAATACATTTTTTCTGGTGAAAGAAAAAAACTTTCTATTTTAAAATGGAAAATTCTTAAATTAACTATAATTGTTAAAATTACGTTGATTGTTTTTAACAAACTTCCAAATAGAGTCAAATGTCAGAACAAAACGACTAACAATAAGTAATAAAAGTAGACATAAATTAAGTCTAGTGTGCACTAATCGAACCATAGATCTTCGTTATGCAGGTACACTATTTATATATATATATATATATATATATATATATATATACGACGTCAAATGATTCTCAAATTTTTATATATTAAAATATTTGTCAACCTATGTCTCAATTTATGTGAAATTAAATGTAAATTGACGTAAATTAAAAAGTAAATACAAAATTTTGATAAGAAATGATGTAATTTTGATCGGCAGTTTTCGTCTTTTGTTTGTTGAAGTTTTATTTAATATTATTTACAAACATATATTAATATTTATAATGGTAATTAGAATACTTTTATTATGTGCGCAATCAACGACATTGACAAAAAGGTGAAATTAATTGAAGACCTTTAGTATGATAATTAACATTTGTTTTTAAAATGGCCAAAAGACGTTAACCCTTTATTAACTGCGATGACGAAGATTTGACGCACAAAATTGTCGTCATCAGCAGTTAAGGGGTTAATTTAACATTTTCCTATAGAATTTTTATATAATTCTTAAAATAGATGGTGTCAATATCAAATATCCAACAAACATCTTCTGAACTTCTTTTTTGTCTTAGAACGGAATTAATTAAGTTTTTATACTCATTTATACAGTAAATCTATATATTTCCCTTATACGTTAATAGTGAATTAATTCGACACAGTTCGCTTTAGCGTTGGCCCTATTGAAAATCCCTGTACAAGATCTTGTACAAGAAAATGTACATGTTCGGCAGCTGAAGCAGTTCTGTTTCAAGACTTTGTTCCAAATTCTAGTGCCGAAATTATACATTTTCTTGTACAAGATCTTGCATAGGGATTTTCAATAAGGGGGTTTCTATTATCCGAAATTAGTCCGAAAATAGTATTATTTGTGTGACTAGTAAATCTAGAATTAATCCGAAATTAATCGAATCATACACAACAAGTAAATGCAAAATTACTTCTATTAAATCCGAAATTAATTCGACTTGTGTAATCAGTAAATCTAGAATCTTCTATCACTACTTACGTTTGATCGAACTGACTTCGGATTAGACCTAATTAATTCCGGATTCACCAGTTACACAAATCGGGAAAATTTCGGATGTAGACGAATTCCAGATTAATCCGGAAACAGTCCCGAATTTTTACCAGGGAGAGTCATAGCAATTTGTAGCCAAGGAGAATGAATAAACTTTATGATTATTTGGATACTAATAGTAATACTATTGATACCGAAACTCAGATGCGATGCTTTTTTAATATATTCAGTATAAATGGCTCATTTCATTTAAATTGTCATATTCAGCTTCCAGAAAAGTTGAGTTGGAAAATTTTGATTTTAAGGTTGAAACTAATTTTTTTATACAGTTTAACATGTTAAATTAACAAAATAAATAGTGGTCACAAAATTAAAGTCATATATTTCTTATGGCAGACGGTTTTTTTTGGCAGAAATCGTCATATCTAAGATAAAAATTTTTTTCTGTCAATTTTTGATAAAATAATAATACTAAATATAATTTGATTTGACTGATGATAAATATACTGAAGTTTTTGGGGTCGCTGAATCCGAATTTGAAGTCAGATTTAAAATATTCAAAATGGCCGATCCAAAATGGCGACCATGAAAATTTAGAAATTGATTCGATTCGCTTGAAACTCGTTACTTAGGGGTTTTTTGGGTTGCTAATTACAAATATGACGTCAGATTTTCAAAATTTAAAATGGTGGATCCAATATGGCGACCCAATATGGCGGATAATTTCAAGACTGATGCGATTCGGTCGAAATTTGTTTCTCGGGGGTTTTCGGGGTCGCTGAATTCGAATTTGATGACAGATAAACCCAAAAATCTTAAATACGATGAAATCAAATTTTTTTGAAAGCTCTGTTTGGAACCTTATTAGGCCTATAAGTGATTTTTAACTGGACTGTGAAAGGTTTAAAAATTATATAGGCAAAATGCAAATTTATGTCCTTAAACATTATGAACATAAAACAAATAAACATCTATTCATTTCGCCGAAAGAATTAAAATAAAAATTTTTTGAGGGTGGGTTATAACCCCATTTTATGGAAAAAAATTAGGGGAGAGGGTTGCGTGTACGGGTCATGTAATACACGATTTATGCTATAATTTAAAACTTTTTTGAAGTTTTTACCACGTCAGGTTAAAGAGAAAAATCATATTAAACACCCATAAAAACATGTTTCTTGGCGGTTTTTACCCCCACTTTTTTCAAAATCCTGACATGCTAGGCAATTTTAAGATTCAGGATCGTGTTCAGCGCCCAAAAATACATTAGAAACCATTCTGATATCAAAATAAAAGAAAAAAGTTTTATTTTGTAGGCCTCTGTGATTTATTACGTTTACTGAAGCCATATATACAAATTTGCATTACACTTATGACCATAACACTGTTGACATTTTGCTCGTTTTTCGCTTATAAAATGAAAACGGTTATACTTATATCGACGGGGTTAGTCTCATTTGAAAGAGAATCCAAAAATACATTAAATTCCATACCGATATAAAATTCAAAATATTTTCTAACCATTTTCAAGGCGTTACACTGTTGACAGAAATTCAATTACGAAAGTGTTTCGGCTTTTTCTGCCTCCATGACAAACGAGCAGATTTATACTTATATCGTTTTCGTTTTTTTCACACACTTCGTTGTTGTGTTCTGCTGCTTATGCGATGGTAAAGAAAATTTTTTGCTCATAAGGTAATTTAAATAGCAGGTAAAAGTAGGAAATTCTGCCGGCAAAACGTAAAAATACAAAAGTGAGAGACACGTCATTTTCATTTTCTGGAAATTGTATAAAATAAAGTTTAATTACCAACATTTGATTTTCCTTAAATATAGAACTAATACTTCACGAAACATTTTTTTAATCTGGTTTAAACACTATATTTTCGATATTTCATTCATTTGAACATTGAAAATGTCTCCGGGGACGCATTACACTTATGACATTTTGCCTGCTTTTTGTTCTGCCAATATTATAAAAATCACTTTTATGTCCTTGTAAGTAGAAAAATTATTGAAAATTATTGCTTTTTACTATATAAACAAATTAATTTCAACTAAGGTTATATCAAATAATTTTTTTTGGCAAGGGACACGAATATGACAATTTAAATGAAATGAGCCAAATATGTATTTCATGTATTTTATAATACGGTTTTTATTTTATTTCATTAACATAATTACACTTTGTACACGAAAGCAGATGCTTTTGTTCACTGTTACCTGGAATACCTTACCGACACAAAAATTTGAAAATCAGATAAGAAATAAAATATTTTTTCTATTATTGTACTGAAGATAAAACACTTAAGTATGAAAATGATGTTTTTAAAACCTGAAAAAATAAAACGTCATTAATATAAAACTAAAAGTAAATGTAACTAAATGTAACTATTTCTTGTTGAAAATAGAGCCGCTTGTTTTGATTTTACATATCTACTGTATTACTTACTGAACTATAGTTTTCCATTGAAATTGTATAAATTTTTCCAGCAGATACTTTACATTCGCGGGAGGCCCTTAATAGTATAAATAATAGAAGTTTCTGAGATTTAATACTCATCTCAGTCCAATTGCATTCATAACTAAAACAATTGACAGCATTATACATATTTTACTAAAACCTTAAAAAAATATTTTTTACGTCCATTTTATCCAAAATATAGTTTTTTAATTCTAAAATGAATTTAGAAATAATATTAAATGTTAATTAAGATTTTAGTAGGATATCTTACCAATATTGAGAAACTTTAGAACTTTCATCTATTAACATTTGACCAGGAATGGTGTTATAGAACAAATGAATAATTTGTCCCAAAAAAAAGGTTCCAAATCTTATGAGAATTGGTGTATTATTTAAGTTTAAGACAATCTAAAAAATAGTTAGTTTAAGGGGATCAACTATCTTGTAACGTTTGTAATTAGTGAATCAATTTTTAGCTCGCCGAGCCAGGGTTCGTTGATTCAGAAAATACGAAATAATAACAGGGTTAATTACAAAACAAAACAAATTATTTATTTACACTAGTATTTACAAACTTCGGCAAATTTACGGAGATTACAGGTGTATCGCGGAAGTCGGTTTCAAACAAGGATTGTCCGCATCTATCTCGATACGTTGAGCCGCGGAATCAGAAAATCGGGGTCAATCTGATAAGTCGCTTTATTTGAGCAGCGAATTACTGGTATCGGCTTCAGCCTCGATATGATGAGCCGTGGAATCTAACGCTATATTGCCTAAAAATCTGCGATGTTCTCATGAACCACGAGTAAAACTCGTGTTCGTGTTGTATACTAAGAATAAAACTCTAAGTATATTTAAAAACGGAAATGATCTACGTGAATACAATATTGCGTTACTATACATTTTGTTACGTTACTGCACATTTCGTTACTATTCATTTTCGTTACGTTACTTTACACTATTTACAATAAAACCAATATACTGTTTCAACGGGTAAAACCACGTTGAAGCGAGAGTGAAACCCTCTACGATACGTATTCGGAGTAAAACTCCTGGAGCAAGGCTCCTCGGGGTAAAACCCCTTGTCAGAAGAGGCTCGGCTCTGTGCAGTACGAAAGTGACGATTCTCTGCGGGAGCACAGCTTATATAGCCGATGGATGGGCTGGGCGCACGCGAGAGAGCTCACACGGTGAGATCGGGTACTACATCGGTATACTGCGGTCGGTAATACACTTATCGACATGTGATAATATCTGGTATAAATACTTACCGGCAGAATTTGAACTATTATTACAATGTGAAGTAAAATGGAACTCGATTAAAGCAATAGATTTTATATAATTATGGTTATCGACTTGAAAAATATGATTTCAAGAAAAACAAATATAAAGTATTCAATAACAATAAAGAAGTCATATTTTTACAGTGTCACTAAATGAGACGAAATGAAAATAGATTTATATAATGCGACGATTAGGATAAAAAAGAATTAGAATACAAAAAGATTAAGCTAAATATGAATGAGATCAAGTAACGGTTAGTTCAAATAAGGATTGGATTAAATAAAGTTTCGATCAAATAAGAATTAGGTCAACCCAAGCAAAAATTTCTTTCAAACGCCGTGATTGACAACAGGCGCAATCATGCACCAATACTGGTTAGCCGACAGTTGGCTAACCAGTATTGGTTCAGTACAGATCCCTGTTGAAAATTCCGACCTCGTTTACGACGTCGTATTCTAAGTAGTTTGCGACGTAGTAAACGACGTAGAAAACGACGTAGTAAACGAAGTCATTTGCTATCCCAAATTCCGCTTTCATTTACGACGTCGTTTTCTACGTCGTTTACTACGTCGCAAACTACTTAGAATACGACGTCGTAAACGAGGTCGGAATTTTCAACAGGGATATGCATTAAATTCTGTACTGTGCCAATACTGCAAGTCAATACCGGCATGCCAGTATTTTCCCAATACTGTGTCAGTATATTATTGAGACAGTAATGGCAAACCAGTACTCGGTCAGTATTAATTCAATACTGAATGCCAGTATAGAGAAAAATTATAAAAATTGTGTATTATTGTTGGTTAAAAATTAAATTTACATATATATTTTTTTTTATTATTTTAAAACTTCTTTTCTATTACTGCAATGCGTTCGTTAACTCTCTAAATCTGATTTAGTAAAAATGTTTACTAATTTAAATTAGTGACTCACTTTTTGCTTTAGAATTAGTAAAATTTTACTAATTGTTAGTAAAAGTTACTAATAGTTAGTAAAATTTTACTAATTGAGAAGCAAAAAGTGAAGCACTAATTCAAATTAGTAAACTTTTTTACTAATTCAGATTTAAAGAGAACGGAATTACGAATTTAAATTTAATATTAAAACTTTTTAATAAAAAAATACATAATTAATCAAGTTCTCAAATTATTTTTCTTACACTGAAGAAATATATTTGAATCAAATAAACTCTATTTTAACCAATAATTTCATTCAATTTCGGCAATTTGAAGAAATACAAAAAAATATTTATTTTATAATATTTGAAGAAATTCTTTGTACTGGCAAAATACAGAATTACTACTGCTAAATTTCAATATTGAACCAGTACTGAACGCCAGTACTAAGCCATTACTAATATAACCAGTACTGATAAACGTTTTATCATCCCAAACATATGCCAGTATTGGTTTAACATTGGAGGTCAGTACTTTGCCAGTAATTTCCAGTACTGGCGCAACACTACACCGGTTGTAAATTTTTGCTTGGGAAGTGGAAATTTATACCATTTGAGAATTGGGATAGATAATAATTAAGAGAAATTAAAATGATGTCAAATGTTTAGTGTATAAAAGAATTAGGATAGATAAGGATGATTTCTGATAAGACATAGGTTAAATTAATTATCAGTGATTGTCACTGGCATGGAAAAGAGTGGACAGAAACTTGCGTAGGTAGACATAAGGCTCTGTTGTGGTTAAAAACTTAAGAGGAGCTTTGCTGTTGATCTTCTAAAACTTAATAAGATCCAAGTTAGAACTATGTTCGTTTTCTTACGGAAAGCGACTTACTCAACTACCAGCAGCATAAAATCGGTAGACAAGTTTCACCTGGGTGTAGATTGTGTGATTCGAATGAGGAGAGAGAAAGAAAGTGCACACTCAAGGATAAGTATTTAGGTTTAACTCACCTGAACTCCTTGAAAACTTATTATTAACATGTTAATACCAAAGATGAGTAAGAACATATTCGAAAAGCTGAGCTCTATGTTCTCTGTAAATCTGTATTTAAAAATGCATTAGATTAAAATTTCCATTCAATAAGAGGCTGATCAGTTTGCACAATCACATAATTATATAAAGAAAATTAATTTAATAAAGAAAATACACGGAAAAAAATAGTTCGTGAAAGTTTCGTAAACTAGTTGTTCACTTATTTGGACGGGCCCAAAGTTTGAAAATCTTTCATTAACTTTTTCAAAGATTTCACAAACGTTCATCACTCTCTTCATGACAATCAATGTCTGCGCACGCGGACAAAAAAAAGTTTGTGAAATCTTGGAAAAAGTTAATGAAAGATTTTCAAACTTTGGGCCCGTCCAAAAGTGAACAACTAGTTTACGAAAGTTTCGCGAACTATTTTTTTCCGTGTATTGTAAGAAATTTATAAGGAAATTTTTAATAAAAATAGTCACAAAAGTAACTTTTAAATTTAAAGTAAAAAAATTAATTTTATACAATTATTTTATAATTATTTCAAAGGGTACAGTAACATGGAACAGAAATACTAACTCAAGTATACCATTATATAGTTGAATACATCTGACCATTCTTTGGTTGATTTTGTTGTCCTCAATGATATCACACTTATTAACTTTGTAGTTTTTGTCTACAACGTTTGCCAGTCTGTATCTATGAAAATATATTTGTGTACTTATTTAGCGTTCGGCATGCTTAATTTAGAATTGCAAATTGGAAACTATAAGTTCGACTTTTTTGCAACCCCTTTACCATAAACGTATATATACAATATTGTTCTTAGTAATCTGAAAAAAATTGTAGCTTACCCTAAAAGTTGAAACATTCCGCAAGCATGTTGCGCAGTAGTAAGAAAGATAAAGTCTACTGCTACTATATTTGTTAATGTTATAAATGCAGCAAGAATTGAATGAAGATATATTAAATAATAGTAATCGTCGTTTTCAATAAAAACGTAGTTGACACGAAAAACAAAAATTCTTGCTCTTGACTCATTAAGAGGTAAAATAAGGTCAAGCACTTGTGGTAGCATTGGACTCATCACATAAATGGCTGTACTTGTGTAAGAGTAAACTAAAAATAATATTACGTCAATAGTATTCGTACATACCTATATTGTTTATATATATTAAGCTATTCTACATGAAAAATAATTTCATAGAGAAATTATCATTGTTAGGAATATATTAAATGTAAAAAAAATTAAAACGGAATATTTTTATTTACAAAAAATTTAATTAACTAAAAGGGGCTCGATTGTTTACAGATTCACAGTGACTTAACGATTCAAAATATGTTTCGTTTATTGCTTTTAATATGTTGACAGTTAAGACAGATTAAAATTAATTAAGCTACTTGCAAAAAGTCTTATTAAGTATTTTCCCCTCTGGGCTGATCTTTCTATAATTTCGAGCTCAGTTTCGCAATCTTCGAGTGACAGCCAGTCACGTTTCATTGTCTCAGTTAGAGATTTTATCTAAAGAAAGTTATTTGTAGATATAACTGGGTATTTTTATATTTTATGTCCTTTACCTTCACAGCTATTAAAATCTTCAAAGAAAAAAAATAAATACATACCTTTGTAATGTTTAAGCTGTAACATATAGCATAAGAAAAGCTAAGAAATACTGTAAATAGTGGAGGAATACAGTCAAAAAAAGTAGCAGAATCATGTCTTACATCATACAAAGCTATTAACTAAAAAACAACATAAAAAGGAGAATTATATCTATATGAATGTAATGGTTATGATATCCATTTCTTCGTGTACAAAAAATAACAAAAAGCAATAAGAAATTATACTATTTTAAACTTGAATACTTACGCCTGGCACAAGAATTAATGTACATATTCCTTGACCAACTATACGATAAATTATTTTTTCCTTGGGTAATTGATAAGGCCATTGTCCAATCAAAGTTAAAAAATATTTTATAATATTTAAATAGGGATCAATTCTACTAGACTTGTTCATATTCTGTCAACAATTAAAAAAATATATATATAAATTATTTTTATTTGTCTGGGGTCCACCACTACTATTCTACAATCGGAAATAATGGTCATATTCTATGCCCTGGAATATTGCAGATATAAGAACATCTATATTATTTCGTACAGCAAAGCAGTTATTTATGCCTTAAAACATTATGTAACTACATCACAGTTGGTTGAAGAGTATCATACAGCACTCAACAGACTAGCTGAGTTTGTGTCTCTGATAAATGTCTTGCCTTGCAATTAATTATCCTTATCATCCAGCCAGAAGAATGTCAACATAACTATTAAGGACGGACTTCAAACTCTTCAGGATCTTGTCAGTGATGCGAAGACAAAGCTCGCCTTAGCTGATAATAGAAATAGCAACTTTGGTGGCGCTATAGACTATGCGGAGGTGAACCGAGAAGAGCGGAACAGGAAAAGAAAGCGTATCCATGAAAAGTGGCTTTTGCGCGCAGTCATAGAGTCGTAGAAACGAAGAAAAAGCTTCGGTAGTTCGGAAAGGAATGACGCCGAGACAAAGAAGAGAAAGCGAGAGAAGACACCTTTTGTTAAAAAGATTGCGAAGGTAATGGTAGTACCGAATTCTAACCAAACAAGTAAGAAGAAAGCGACGAATGCATCTGCAATGCTGATCAGAGTCGCAGCAGAAATAACGTGTGCCGACGTACTATGGGCAAACTTTGGAGGAAAGTGAATCCGGAAGTTAGCCACACGCAGATCGTGGGTGTAAGACCTACAAAAAGGGAGATCTCCTGATTAAAAATGCGAGGAGACTCCAATAAGGAGGCATCCACAGCTGAGGTTACCAAAGCGGTTGGAAGCATGGGGAAGCAGATGCAGACCGTGGATCGAAAGGTCACACTACAGAAACGCGACCTGGATTGCCTTACCCAGGAAGAAGAGGTCCAACATGCGTTAGCAGAAGTGCTCCAGAAGTCAGGAAAGTGACGGTCCTAGGACCCAAGAAGAATGAATCTCGCGATTGTAGTCACCGACCCAGAGGAGTCGGACAAGCTGGAGAAATTGGGACGCATCCCACACAGCACAATATCTTGCTGTAAGCTTCCCTTGTGTTTAAACCTAAGATTCATTAGCTTACAGAGTAAACTTCAGGTGAGGTTAAAGTGAGCTGCAAATGTCCTCTTTACCGTAATCTGCAGTGTACGATTGTAGTCAGCTTACAGTTAAGCTTACTATAACCTTACTGTAAGCTTCCCGTAAACTTACTTACCCGTGCTGTGTGGGATAACGATTGAATGTAACGAGCGAACAAAATTAAGAATGTCATTTTTGTCCCATGAAAACTAAACTTGTTGGGACAGGAAAACTGCTGCAAATCGAAGTGCAAAAATTTGTCAAAAAACCCACTTGCGAGGATTGTTTGTATTTGCAAAAACTGATAAATATTTGTTAACTAATAAAATCGAAAATATAAAAAATAAAATAAATATCGAAAAATAAATTAGTTTCCAAAAACAACGATAATTTATAGTCAATTAATATTATATAATTTATAATGTCAAAGTTATATTAAAAATTAATAAAAAAAACTCTTAGCATTTTAATCAAGATACACAATGGTACAATTTTAGTACTATTAAGACAACCAAAGACGTTGAGGTTGACTTTCACTTTGAATACCCCTATAGAACTATAATTATTACTCACTCATAATTTTTTTTATATTTTAGATGACGTCTTTCCTTAATACTGTCTTCGTGACTTCTGCATTGTAAAAATTATTTAACTAGATAATTACCTTATTTTGATAATAATTTGCTGATATTTTTATAGGTATATTACAGGTAAGTGTAATTAATATAAAATATTAAAAATATTGTTGATTTGTATCGAAAAAGTAAAATTACTATTAAGTTTAAAACTCTACTATCATTCGTAAAAGTACCTTTGTATTTAGATTTAAATCATAATATGATAATAAAGTTATTGCCAATCACACTGATAAATAATTTAAATACAGAATTTAGTTGTTTGCAGTTCACATTATTAAGATTGAAATTTATATTGCATTTTTCAATTAACGTTTGCTCTTTCTAGATATGGTCATCGCTTGTATGCTGTGAATGAAATAAAAGGTAAAATCGCCCTTTGGAAAATACGATTATTGATTTTGTAGAGACATTTAATAATCTGCCAAGAACTATTGAATATTAATTTCAGTTACAATGAATTTTGAATCAGTGGATGACATAAGAATTTAAGGCTTAATGGTCTGCCAAGAACTATAGAATATTAAACTCAATTACAATGAATTTCAAGTCAGTAGCTGACGCATATATGCATTGAACGTGTCATTTAACCATAACGTATATTCATCGACCCATTACGTCTATTATCTTACTACATACTTCCACGATATAAACATTTTCTCTTATAGTGTTGATTGCTACTGAAGTGGAATAGCTTATCTCTTGTACAAGGCATCGATCAATTGTACATTGATCAGCTGATTTAAATATACTGCAAAGATGAAAGAAATATTGCAAAATTAAACAAAACAGGGACATCTTTATTTTGCTTAATTAACAGTTTTACGAAATTAATACATACTTCATTTACACCTTAAACTATAGGAAATTTAATAAATATTGAAAATCATTATTTTCCTTAATACGATGAACAGTTTTAGAAGGCTCTGGGTCCAAGCAAAAGTGTGCCACACTTTTTTTGTTGTCAACTTCCAGTTTAAGACTTATGTGTCATTCTTGAAATATTATCTCCAAATTTTTAAAAATCCAACATTATTCCAAAAATATTCAGACTTTGATCGTGTGTAGATAAATAGCTGAAATCTGTTGATATAATCAAAAAGTGCGTCATGCATTTTTTGTTCGTAACTTGCGGGTTAGGAATTTTGTGACAATCCGGAACTATTATCTCGAAAATTTTAATGTTCAAAATTTTTTCAACAATCCAAAATTTATTTTGACGTAGCTCAAAACCCGTTTGTCCAATCAAAAAGTGCGCCATTCTATTTTTGTAAGACTCTCGGGTTAAGACTTTATGGCGGTATTCCCGAACGATTTTCTCGGAAATTTAAATTTTCGAAATTTTTCCAAAAATCCAAAATTTACTTTGACCTATCTCAAAAGCTGCAACTGTAAAAAAAAGGTACTAAAACAGTACCGATTTAAGGTATGAAAATAGAACCAAATAACAATTTAGTACCTAAAGTTGGTATTAAATTAATACCCTGGCCGATTTGATTTACCTAAGTTAGACCCAGCTGGGGCGAATGTAAGTCGAATCTAAGTCTAATTTGAGAAATTATCGAAAAAAGCTTTTAATTGATGAAATTTTTTAAAAATAAGTATTGGGTGAGTAAATGAGGACACCAATGCAATAACCAGACGGACGCTCGGACCGGCCGCGCTGAAGCCAGTCAACGAATGAAAAAGTCGAAAAAATTAAAATTCAAAATTTTGATTTTTGAAATATACTACGTTGTAGAAAATAAAACGGCGCATCTTTTTTTCCTTTAACTTTTTTTTGTAGAATGAATAGTTTTGACAATAATTGCAAAAAACTAAATATTTTCAATAAAAAAATTTTATTGAATTTATAAACACAAATCGTTCCAGTTCCGACAAATATTAATGAATTTACTTTAACTTTGGTATACCCACGCATTTAGGTCTAGAGAAGACGATAGCATGATGAAAAAGTTAAAAACCGTAAATTATTTAATTATTTATTAATTTAAATAATAACTTACCTGTACTCTCGTTTTCCTATCTTCGCCGACAAAAAGTCTGTGGGGAACTTTTTCGTTAAAAAAACTTCCAGTGAGACATTTGTTCCTCACATATCGAAGAAGTTTTGTGGAAAAATTCAGATCGATTTATTCAAAAATGACGAAGATACACAATTTTTAATGAAAAACACGCAACGCTTTGGCTGATTTGTGTGTTTATATTGCTGAACATCGACCTTATCGAGAATGCCGTCTGGCAGTGTGGATCGTGGATCGTGGTCCAAAGAAAGAAAATAGTTTTCTGGAAATTTACAATGCAATTCAACAATTAATAACAAAATGGCGAATGTTTAAACTTTGAAGTTGCGCGAGCGGCTGAACGTTTGGCATGTGTTTGCTACCATAATAAGCTCGTTTAAACTTCAAAGTTTAAACATTCGCCATTTTGTTATTAATTGTTGAATTGCATTGTAACTTTCCAGAATACTTCTTTGGACCTGAATGAACAACTTTCTCACTGGAAGTTTGTTGCTGGTGAATATTTACGAAAATTCCTCACAGGGTTAAAATTGCAGTTCATGAATTTTGCAATGTCTTATTAAAAAATTAATAACTTTTATATTTTTAATCAAAAAAACTTTTTTCTTTTTTTAGTCACTCGTAGGATATAATAACACGTATTTTCGTTTTGGTTTCATTAAGAAATTCGTAAAATTGTCTGAGCTCCCGTGAGTTGAAGTCAAAAAAACAATGAAAATTTTCTTTTTAAAAAAAACAGTTTTTCTCTTATATTTCGAAAACAGAAAAAGATGGAAAATTTCTATTATTAAGAAAAAAAGATGCGCAATCGAATTCTGTATAAGAATATGCTTGAAAAATAATAAAATTCGAAAAATGAATTTTGAGTGTCCAGGGGGCTTCGTTTTCCGGCCGAAAAAATTTACGTGCCCTTCTAGAATCCAGCGGCTCAACAGTTCATAATAATTGCAATTTAATTAAAAAATAACATTTTTCTTAAAAGTGACAAGAACTCTATTATACCGACCACACACGGTAAAAGTGCGCGAATATGAATGCGCATGATCTTCTGTCGGGAAAATTCAAATTGTTAACTACAACTATCTCATAATTTCCTTAAGTTCATTAATTAAATTTATTTAATTCACCATAAAAAATCAATTTATAAAAATTTTCTCAGAAATGCCGAAAAGGTGCACCCAGATATATGGCACGACAATCAAATAATGTCAATTTGAATTATTAAATATTTTCTCAATTTTAAATTTTTTACGCCACGAGCAGACATTTTTCTTTCTGTAGAGAGGAGAAGTTTAAACCTTAATTTTTATTGGCAAAAAATCTCCATGCTTTATTAAGAGGATGGAATTAAATATTGTTTAATAAAATTTTTATTTTCTCTTCATTTTGAATTTTTGAATCCACGAGTAGAAATCTTTCTCTCTGCAAAGAGGAGGAGTTTAAATCCTAATTTTTATTTTGTTCGTGGCTTCAGGAAATAAAAATATATAAAAATTTAATTTTTTTAATTTTACAATATTTAGTTCCATTCCCTAAAAAAGTAATGGAGATTTTTTGCCAATAAAAAATAAGATTTAAACTCCTCCTCTTTGCAGAAAGAAAGATTTACACTCGTGGATTCAAAAATTCAAAATGGAAAAAAAATTTTTAATTAAACAATATTAAGTCCCATCCCCTTAATAAAAAATGGAGATTTTTTGCCAATAAAAATTATGGTTTAAACTTCTCCCCTCTACAGAAAGAAAAATGTCTGCTCGTGGTGTAAAAAATTTAAAATTGAGAAAATATTTATTTTTTTAAATTGACATTATTTGATTGTCGTGCCATATATCTGGGTGCACCTTTTCGGCATTTCTGAGAAAATTTTTATAAATTGATTTTTTATGGTGAATTAAAAAAATTTAATTAATGAACTTAAGGAAATTATGAGATAGTTGTAGTTAACAATTTGAATTTTCCCGACAGAAGATCATGCGCATTCATATTCGCGCACTTTTACCGTGTGTGGTCGGTATAATAGAGTTCTTGTCACTTTTAAGAAAAATGTTGTTTTTTAATTAAATTGCAATTATTATGAGCTGTACTCCTTCAATAATAATATAATTTAATAAAATTTGCAATTTCTATGAAATATAAATTTTTTTTCCATACAGTTTACACTAATTTCTTGAAAATATAGTGAAAACTGACGAGTTAAAATCTACAGATACGTACCACTTGCATATTTTAAGTGATTATTTATCACTTTAATAATTGAAATTCTTGCAAAAATTGACTCTATAAATGTTCATTTACTCTGCCAATACTTATTTTTAAAAATTTTCATAAATGAAAAGCTTTTTTTAATATCTAATTTCTCAAATTCGACTTAGATTCGCCCCAGCTGGGTCGAACTTAGGTAAATCAAATCCGCCAAGGTACCTTTCGTTTTACAGTGTGTTGGTCCAATCAAAAAGTTTTTTGGTCGTCAAGCCGCAATGCTTCATTCCATTTTAAAGAAACAAATTAAAATTTTTATTTGAAAAAACATATGAAAAGAATTTTTTTTTAATTATTTAAACAAAAACCTTTATTATGCCCAGTTAAGCTAAAACTTTTTGCAATTTTTTTAGTATTTCCAGATTAATAAAAAAAATTGTTAAACAACACGAAAGCAAAATAAAAATTATTTATTAAAAATTGCTATTTTTTATAATTTGACTTTTTATTTAAAAATTAACTAATACAATTTTTTCCATTGCCATTACATACGTTCTTTGTAATTTTGATATCCTTGTTTTACGCACGAAAACGTGTGCACAAGACAAGGACATCAAAGTCTATACTTCGTAAATATATATATTATATATTATATACTACACTACTACAAAGTATGTGCACAACCTCAATTTAGAAATCGCATTGTGGATGAGAAAGCAACCTCCTTTTCAAGACTATGGAAAATTAGAATTCTTTTTTTATTTATCGTATATTTGAACAAGAAAATAATAATTTCATTTAAACAATGTTTTTGTAATATTGTAAAATATTAACAACACAACCCTGACATATGCAGATTGGATTGTTCTAGAAAGGAAAATCCTAGTCTCGTGTATACTCCTCTTAAAGCCGGTTATTTTACAAAAAAAATTCGAATTTGTCAAAAACAAAGTGCTCCATAACGTATTTTTTTACTTTTCGTTGCTGTACAAAGTTTCCCGTTAAAAATGGATTCAAATGACGATGACATTAACACCGTAAGTACTTATTTGTATTGTATTGTCATTGCGAGATAAGTTTTAATGTGTTTTATCTCGTATTTTCATTTCTACGAAAAACTACATTTACTCAGGGTTGGGAAACATCTGATTATACACATACATATTTTGTATGTAGATATTGGTCTTAGCGTGTGAGTGTATGACTAGACGAGCATTTGTTTGTAAACAGAATTGATAAGAGATGCTTTAGAAATAAAAATAATATAAAAATATTACATTGCGGTGTAAAAAAAATTTGTCAAAATGACCCTTATACTCTTAAGTGAATATTTCTGTTTCGTACACCTATTAAAAAGTAGAAAAAAGAATGTAAGTATCTTATATATAATTTATTTCTTTATACATAACCTCACTTTTATAATTATAAAATATTTACGATTTATTTTCTTAAAATCTGTTATATTTATGTTGACAAAGTTAAAATATTATTAAACGGAGTTTTTAACATTTTACAGTTGCAGAATATAGGAAAATTCTCATTAACTTAAACAGAAACATGAAATGCAGAGGTTTCCAATATAAGAAAATGTTTTCAGTAAAGGAACTCTTAATCAAAAAAAGTTTCAATGCTGTTTCCAAAATATTCCAGTACTGCACCGGAATAACAAACTGGAAAAATTTCCGTGTACGCTGTAAAAAAAATATTTTTCCTGATTTACAATTTTGACTTAAACAATTTACAGAAATCTGTAATAGTGCATTTTTAAATGTCGAAAATTTACACAAGCCTTATGTCAAATTAATGATTTAGAACTTTTTGTGAGATTTAAAAATGCAATATTACAGATTTCTGTAAATTTACGAGTCAAAACTGTGAAAACGGCAAAATAATTTTTTACAGTGTACATACATATAGATGGACACAGTTTTGGTTTTATGCTCCAAAAATTAAACTGTGTAAGATATCTTAAAATTTTTAAAATATCGACTCCTCATGTTTTCATTCTTATTGACATTTGCGTGCAATATCATTCCTATCCAAATTTCAGTGAAAGACAATGCTTATTCAAAATTGGGTGCAAAATAATACTTACTGAAGCTAGTGGACAATATGATATATGCGAGTAATTTGAAAAACACCATTAGAATGCTTATCAAAATCCGCATCCAACGAGCCCTATATGAACTATTTTGGATAAACGGGTGTTAAATAAATAATTAATAATAAAAATTATTTCAATAATTAATAACATTTAAGGAAATGAAGATAAACCGTCAATTCTTTTTTTATTTGAAAGATCAACTAATTCTGTGTTAAATAAAACCAGTATAAATAACATTTTTAACAAATCCAAATTATTAACTGATGATTATTGAAAATTGAGGTTTCAGCACCCTACGACACAAGTTGGAGGGGGCTGCCTACCTACTCGGCATGGTATTTTTCAGTCTTTTTCTAAATAACATTTTATAATTAATTATTGATTCTTAGTAATACTTAATAATCTTTTTTTCACACAGAATTAGATGATCTTCCAAATAAAAAATGAATTGACCGTTTATCTTCATTTCCTTAAATGTTATTAATTATTTAAATAATTTTTATTATTAATTATTAATTTAACACCCGTTTATCCAAAGTAGTTCATATAGGGCTCGTTGGATGCGGATTTTGATAAGCATTCTAACGGTGTTTTTCAAATTACTCTAATTTTATTTGTTCGTAAAATATTTCATTTTTTATTAACTTTGGTTAGTTAATTAATTAATATCTCGAAAACAAAAAATAATGCCATCTAAAAAATTTAACCTTCGGTTTATTATGACTTAAACAATATTCATGATTTTTTTCGCGCTTCTAAATGAGGAAGAACATGATTAAAAGTTATAAACAAATTTTATTTTTTAAACAAATTGTTTAAAAATTAATATTTTTTTCTAAAAGTTTAAGATCTTCCGCGTAAAAAACATGTACAACATTTTTCTATATTTTTAATAAGAAAAAAGTTATAAGTAAAGCAAAAAAGTTTTGCTCAAATTAGTTATTGTAAATATCTCGAAAAATATTAAAAATTTCAAATTCAAAATTTGTACACTTATTTAGCACCACTATCATTACAATTTACCGAATTTTGAGAAAAATCTGAGACATGACCCCGTATTCTCATATGAAATGCCTCATATGCTTATTTAAATGTTAGTCCAAGATAATTCTTATTCAAAATTTCTTTTCCCTATTGATGAATTCCACGCCTAAAACACAAATTTGTTGGCAACAGTTCTCCGATTTGGCTCAAATTTTTTAGTGGTGTCTACCTTTAAAAATACTTATTTAAACAAAATTTTACGTCCTTTTCATAGAGAACTCTCACAATTGTTAATTTAATAAAAAATGACATTTTTTGACATGGAGATTAAAAAATCCATTTCTGCTCTAAAAAGCGTTAATTTTATAAAAAATATTTGAAATATATAATTTTCAGAATAATAATAATTGAAATGATTTCTTGAAAAAGAAATTGTGAAAAAATTGAAAATTTCTAATTAGTTTGTAAAAGTAAACAAATATATAATTTTTATGAATTGCAAAAAAAATGAAAATTTCAGGGGTAAATCGACAATGGATTTTTAGTAAAAACAATATAAATTGAAGTTTGAAAAAGAAGGTCATTCACCTTTCTGTAGTAAAAAGATTTGTGAAGGCAAACGATGGAATTACCCTTATCAGAGATGGTGAACGTATAACGTCCGAAATGTTATTTTATGAATTCTTTACCACTCCTCACTTTTTCTTAATGCTATTTATTACACAGAGAAAAAAATTTATTTCATTCAAATAATCAGTTACTTGACTATTATCAAGTAAACCTTTTACTTAAACAAAATAATTTTTATTTGAATTTAATAAATTCTATTTGAACTAATAATTTCTTTATTTGAAATAAATACCATTTAATTGAATTAAATAAAATCATTGAATAGTTCATTTATTAAATTCAATAGCAGTTTTCATCAATTTTCATTCATTTTCCTCATTAAATCCACAAACTACGAATGTGCAACAATTTCGTTGCACATTCGTAGTTTGTGAAAGTAATGTGGAAAATGAATGAAAATTGATAAAAACTGCTATTGAATTTAATAAATGAACTATTCAAAACATAATTTTTACATTTTTTGTGTTAAATAAAGTCGTAATTATTAAATTATTCGCCAGGGTTTATCTGAGTTAATAAATAAAAATGAAAATGTTAAAAAATTATTATTTGACAAAAGATTTTGACTCAATATAATTTTTTCTGAAATATGTATAACTAGATCTTGCAAAATTACTGAAAATTAATTTTTACAATATTTTTGTTTGCATTAAAAACCATTTTTTAGTTTGAGGTTATGTTACGATTACCATTCTCTTTAATATAGAAGTCAGGAAGTAAAAATAAAATCATGTAACAATAATTTTCAATTTTATACTAAAATAATAAATGTAATCTTTGTTCGAAATGTGTTCAAGAAAATGATTATAAAACAAAACCTTTTTTAAAGAACTGATATAAGGTGCTATAACAACTTGATATATTGAATTTTATTTATTATTTAATATAAATATATTTATCCTGATAGTGCGTCATATTTTTCATTTACTTCCTGGAAAATAAGGTACTATAGGAAAACTTATCTTTACTTTGTATAGATTATTTATAAAAACTTTTTTAAAAAATGAATTAAATTAAAATTTCTTTTTTTAAATAATGCATTTTAGAGCTGAAATAACATATTAAAAGATAGTTTATATTTTGGGACCATTTGCTTAATGGAACATTATTTACGTATACATTATAGTAATTGGTTTTAGATAATTATTATATCATATTATTTACTCAGCTTAATACAAATTTTCATTTAATCCCTTATGAAGTGCATTCATAAGAGGTGTTGAAGATAAACAATTCCATGTTTGTTATCAACTTGGTTTTTTTTTCTTTTATACAATCTTGATAAAAAAATTCTACTTATGTATGGCCGATCGCTCTTTAGTTCGTCATAATTTATTGAAGATACATAATCTTCAATTACAGTGATTTTATCGATAAAGACTGTTAATAACGACAATTGCAATTAGTACGGACTTTTCGTGTCATATATCAGGTTGTATAAATTTTAGATTACTTAAAAAAAATATTAATTATTTTTTTTCATATTTTAATTGAAATTTTTTTAATTTTCTTATTCAATTCACTTTCTTTTACAATTGATCTTGTATTGTGACCAAAAGTGTTTTTATTATTTTTTGTAAAGATTGTGCACCTAAAAACTGTCACATTAATTAATTTAGTACAAAGAACCAGAAAAATTAATTTTCTAAAAAAATTAATAGTTGGATTGGCTCAAAACTTTGGCAAATAATTTAAATATTCAAATCAGTCCATTCCATAAATATTTTTTTTTCATTTTTTATAGAAAAAAATTGTATACGTTTTTTTATTGTTTTATAAGTGTCCAACTTTTTGAGTTATGAATTTTTAAAAATCTGGGTCTTTGAGGTTTTTTAAAAGTGGATCTATTATCAATTACATCTAACTCTAAAAGTATTGAACTTAGGAATTTTTGCCAAGAAAAAAAATTTTTAATTTTTAATTTGTGTTTCAAAATATGTTATCAAAAAAAAAAAAAAAAAATTTGTTATTTTTATATAACAAATAACAATTTTTATAAAAAAAAATTAATTTTATTCAACTTTGAACCCGATTTTTTTAATTCATTTTCTTTTTACATATCTGTGAGTACTAAAAATTTTTTTTTTATTTTTATAGAGTTCATGTATACGTAAAAAATTCTAAATGATAATACAATCAGGATACTTTTAATCAAGAATATTTAAGAAAAACTAATAATACTAAATATATGTAATTAAAAAAAACTTTACAATTTTAAATAAAAATCTTTTTTTGGAAACATTGTATGTTGTAAGATAAAAAAAATAACATTGACCGAGTGACCTCCAAGTGATATCAATTTTTATTACCCTTCGAGAAACATACATTTTCATAAAACTTGGATCCCTGTAACTAAAATCTATAAAATCGAAACATTTTTATGACTGCGAAGCCTCCTCAATGAGGAAGCAATAAATTGAGGGATTGAAGCGAATAATTCGCCTGACATTCGAACCGTCGTTGTTTTTGTCTTTATAGTCACATACGTTATATTCAGTTAAAATCTCGATTAAAATTAAATTTGATTAGATTAATTATAAAAAAGCAATTTCCACAATTAATTTTATTATTATTATTATTATAATTATTGTTATTATTTTTATTATTATTATTATTATTATTATTATTATTATTTGCTATCTAAAACATTATCTATTAATCAAAAGTATTTACGCAAATATGTTTGCTGAACATTAAAATTTTAAGATTGGTAAAAATAATAAAAATGATGACATTCGGACAAATAGATTATAATACAAATTTCTCCAACGTAATAAAATAAAAATAATTTTATAAACAAACAAAAATACAAAATGAAAATAATAAAAAGTCGAAAGATATAACGCAAATTTGAAAAATAATTTATAGGTAATACTGAACATAAATTTAATTAAAGAATAACAAAATTTTACAAAAATACGAAATAATCACAAAAAAGAAAAATTAAAAATAACAATATTTTACAAAAGAGAATAAAGAGTTTAAAAAGTTTGTTTCAAAAAAAAATTTTAATCGCATATAATAGTTTTTGAATTAAAAAAAAAATTATTTCTATTCATATTAATTACCTGAGAAAAAGAGTAAAAAAATTATTTTAAAAATTGTATAAAAGCACTTAATCCATATTTGCTCCGAACGCCATTTCGTCTAAAGCCGTCCCTGAGTAGTAATAATAAATTTTTATCAAAATCATCATTTAAATAAAAATTACATAACATTGTAAATATTTTTTAATGAATGGGGAGTAATTAGTAGACATAATAATAATAATGCTTTTGTTTGCACTCACGTAGACAATACATAATAGAACAATCAAAAGAAAATTTGCGGTAAATTATATTTCATGTTAATCTCTTATCAGACCTGTAATTTGACTTTCAGTCTTAAATTATAAAAGTATATTTTTAGATAGTGCCTCAGTTAGTTAAATTTTTCATGTTAGAAGTTACAGTTATCGATTTGTTAATAAATTTTAAATCAAAAGAATCAAAAGAAAAAAAATGTAAGAAACTAATATCAATCCAACAGTAGATTATAAATTTCATATATTTAATTTTTTTTTAACTAAGAAAATTGCTCTTTTCCCACTTAATTATTATGTAATTTCATTTTATGTTTTATCTTTCTGAAGACTTATTATATTCAACAAAAGAAGATATTTGATTGTTTGAATTTATCATTTATTGTTAATTAAAATTTAAAATAAACAGTTGTGTTGTAATTAGAGCTGTGCAAAAGTTCGAATTTTGTATGGGCTCGGATCGAATATTCGATTCGAGCCCATGTTAATTCTTATGGAGCGGTACGAATTTTAAAAACTTGCACAGCTCTAGTTGTAATGTTTTGAACATTATAAAACAAAAAAAAATGGAATGGATTTTAATTAATTAAATTTAAAGTAAATTTTAATTAATTTTATAATATATATTATGAAAATATTTTAAAAAGTAAAAAAACTTTATAATATAATAATAATAGTCTTTACTGTGTATAAAAAAATTTTTTGTAATGACTAAAATAAGCCTTAAACTGAAACCGTAATTGTCAAGAATGTTCATTATTCGCGAATAGTATATTATCATATTCAAGATTTATTTTACACTAATCGTTAAATATTTTTGCCTAAATTTACAATACATTCTTTGAAAAAAAATGTGTCCAGTTAACAAAATATTTTTCCTAACACATGCCTTTTTATTTTAAAAGAAAATACACACTTAAATGAATTATTTATACTTTATTCAAATTGATTTTGTATTACAACAGACAAATTATAACTAACTGTCATGTCGTCGAGAATCCTCTCCTACTTTTTGGCAATGTCCCCTCTTTTTCTTGTTATTTACAGGCGGCCATGACGGCAAGATAATCTATGATAAATAAGGAATACATTTTTTTGAATAGTTTAAAACCCCTTCTTTCAGGTATAAAAAGTTTAAAGTAAATAAAATAAATTTTGTAATAAAAAAAATGTTTAAGAAAAGTCACTAAGATGTGGTACTAACCCCTTAAATCCAACTATTTATGAAATAATAATTTAATTGTTTTACACTAAATAATTTCAAGACACTGTGCTCACGACACATAATTTTCTAAAACGCGTTTATTCCCCTAGTTAAAAAAATCGAATCCTAAATCTGACCATATTTAGGATGCTGAAATTGGAACAGGATTTAAGATATGAATTCAGGTCCTATTCATGGTTTGATTCAGCATATGATTTAATATTGTATTATGGTACTTGAAGTTGCTGAAAAAATAACAGACGCACAAGAGCACTATTGCGCCATTTGACTTATAATATCACGAAAAACATTAACAACTTGAATGAATTTTATGTTATTTACTACGAAAACCAAAACACAATAAAAAATGTTATTTAGGCTGAAAATGACTGAAAATTAAAGAAAATAAACGATGTGTTGGCTGATACACGTCAACACTTTGGCATAAATATCCGGGTTTTCCAAATTTTCCAGGGTTAATATTACTAGATTGATATGAGATATGTAATTAATATTTTTTAAAGTAAAAAGAATACATGAAAAAAGTAGGAATAAAAAAATAATTGTTTTTATGATATTTCCAGATAAATGAAAGAACTCCACTGCTTGATTCTTCAAATCGCAGTATGGCAGAGAAAGTAGGTATATCTCAACAAACTCTTGTGTCGGATACCAATCTTGATGGACGTGCTCGAAAATTACCTCAATATGCTGCTGGACTTGCATCAACACTTGGTGCATTGGCAGCAGGTATGGTACTGGCATGGACATCACCTGCTGGTTTAGAAGTTGAGGGTACAAATATCACAAAATTAGCCCATGAATATGAAATTCCAATATCAGATGACGAATTTTCTTGGATTGGATCATTGACAACGCTTGGAGCTGCAGCAATATGTGTTCCTATTGGAATTTTATGTGATTTAATTGGAAGAAAATTTTCTATGCTAATGCTCGTTGTACCTTTTACAATTGGTTGGGGTCTTATAATTGGAGCAAATTCAGTTTCATTATTTTATGCGGGACGTTTTATACTCGGTGTTAGTGGCGGAGCATTTTGTGTAGCGGCTCCAATGTACGCAGCAGAAATTGGCGAGAGTGAAATTCGCGGTCAACTTGGTTCTTATTTTCAATTAATGATGACAGCTGGAATTCTTCTTACCTACGCATTTGGAATGGCTGTGAATATTTTATGGTTATCTGTGATTAGCGCTATTGTACCTATCATATTTTTTGTTGCATTTATGTTTATGCCCGAATCACCCACTTATTATCTGATGAAAGGAAATGTAGATGCTGCCCGTACTAGTATGGTTAAACTTCGAGGGTCGAATTATAATGTTGAACCAGAATTGTTAATACAACAAGAAATACTGGATGAAATGAATAGAAATAGAGTGTCATTCTTTACAGCCATTCAAAGTAAAGCAGCTGTTAAGGCTCTTATAATAGCTTTTGGATTAATGTTTTTTCAACAACTTAGCGGAGTTAATGCAATTATTTTCTATGCTGCAAAAATATTCACAGCCGCTGGAAGTTCATTATCTTCGGAGGTTTGTACAATTATTGTTGGCGTAATGCAATGTGCTGCAGTGTTTGTAAGCACAATGATTGTTGATAAACTGGGACGAAGAATTTTACTTCTTGCATCGGAAGTAGCAATGTGTTTAACTACATTATTAGTAGGCGTTTTCTTTTATATGCAAGAACAAAAAATGGATGTGAGCGCAATTGGTTGGCTACCATTGACAAGTGTTTGTCTTTTTATTGTTCTTTTTTCACTTGGATTTGGACCAATTCCATGGATGATGATTGGAGAAATATTTTCATTACAAACAAAAGGAACGGCTGGCAGTGCTGCGTGTTTATTTAATTGGTTAATGGCTTTTGTTGTAACAAAATTTTTTAATAATTTAACAGCAGAACTTGGAAACAGTGTAACATTTTTCATTTTTTCAGTAGTATGTGCAGTTGGATTCTTTTTTGTTTTCTTTTTGGTTCCAGAAACAAAGGGAAAAACGCTTCAAGAAATTCAAGCAGAATTAGAGGGTTAAAATTTTAGCTAGAGAATTTTTAGATCAAAAGGAAGTCCAAAGTCTAGGTTTTGTTATTTATCTCTGTTACGTTTCGTTTTTATATCAATACGATTGCTGTTTGTAAATAAATCTCGTATCCGAATTTATTGTTAACAAATCTATATTAGCTTGAGGACTTTCCATTGTATATTTGTAACAAACTTGTAAGGAAAAAGTGAATTATAAAAAATTATGAATAGGAAATTTCATAAAAAAAAGATGTGAATTCGTATATTTTCAATTTTCAACTGGTAAAACAGTAATAAACGAAATATAACGTTTGTTGTTTATTGCTATAATTATAAAGCTAACAAGTTATACATAAGAGGTAGCATGTCCAAAATTGAATATATGTATTTATCTTATATAAGTCATATAAAAAATTTGTAATTTTCATAAAAGTGAAAAATCTTTATTTCTTCTATTCTAATTATTATTATTAATGAAAAGTGGAAACTAACAAATGTTTCCACTGCTTTTAGTAGTTAAACTTTCTTTTTATAGTTGATTTTTTAATAAAGTATACATATTTTACTCTTAATCTGCTTTCTTGTAAATCACCGACAAGAATTGTTAAACCTCTTGAATTAAATTGGAATATCAAGTTTTTTTTATATTGACTTTCTATTTATCTCAAAACTTACGTATATATACAAACGCTTATTAAAAATTTCATAGTTAAAATTTACAAAATATTCCAGGCGCAATGCTGCTTTTATTTCATCAATAATTAAAAATATAATAGTTCATAACTTATGATTTCTATAGTGTAACTATTTTAGGGTTTTATGGTTTACTTTCTTCTAAAATATATATAAAGTTTGAAAATTAGGAAACCTAGATAACACATAAATTTGAGACAAGCTTACCATGAACGATTTCCAAGCTTTAGCAGAAACCTTGTTGCAAATTTACTGTAAGTTGCAAAATGACAAGATTCTAAAAATTTGCAATGAAACATTAATGCTAGCTTGAAACAAGCTTCTCAAAATCTTGTGATAATCTAACATTTCGACTTGATTCGTTTCACGAAAAGAAAAAATCTTTTTTTATTAATATTTAATATATTTTTTATTTATTTTATTTAATATTTTTTAAGTTAAATTAATATTATACGAAAAAAATCATTGGGATTTGAACCCGAGTTTCACACACAAGTTGAGAATGCTAACCGAACTAGTACGATGGACAAATGTCTATGAGAAAATAGTTTTCTCCCTTTTAAATTCAAACATTAATGTTGTTTTAAAAAGTAGAAAATTATTTTCGTAGTCTGCTGCAAAAGTTTAGTAATTTTTCTTAATTTGCTTTCCGCAAACTTAAGTGTTATCTGTGAATACAAAAATAACATAATAGCGTTGTACTTGCTCTAACATATTTGTAAAAAAAATAATTGTTATTATTTTAATTAGACTATAAATATAATACGATTTTTTTATTTCCATAGATAATTTTTCGTCTGTTTTATCACAATTTTAAAGAAAAAATATGTCTGTATAGTTTTTTTTAGAGGCCTCACAATTTTCATCGATAACGTACCGTTATTATGTTTGCCTTTCCTTGTGTCTGTATAACCTTAAAAGTCATTTTAAATATATCTTTTATAAAGTTAATATCTTACATTTTCATTAAATTTTTGGTTATATTTGAACATAAATGTTCTTTTATTTCACTAAGTTTTTATCTCAGCGCAAAGCAGGCAACAATTGAGCTGAAAATTGCAACCCTACTGGTGAACTTTGTTCGACTGCTTCCTTTGTTAAATTGGAGCTCTGCTAGGCTTTCTGAAACAAATATTTTACTTCACTTAAATAACGAATTATTTTATTTTCAACTTCTACTTAGAAGGAAACATTATTCAAAAAGTTACTGCGTACTCTAGAGATACAACTTATAATCAATTCATACAGTTTTTAATATCTTATAAATATTTACTGCGCTATTGGTAAGAAAAAATGAGTTAGCTACAGAAATAGTTTTTCTTTCTTCCATACAAAAGAATTCCCAAGGTTCGCAGTTCTACATAACGCATGAGGTTATTGGGTTGAGTTTTTACCTAATTTTTTGAAATAAACTTCAAACCAATGCGTAATTAAAAACTTTTATCCCTTATTGTAAAATATACTACTTATTATTCTATTCATCCAAATGAAGTTTTCTTTAAATTTGACAACTATTAATAAAAGTAAAAATATACACACCATTAAGAACATGAATATGTACTACTGCAGGTTTCTCAGGCATAATAGTGAGAAAACATGTGTAATTTCCACTGTCTGAGGGAGATGCTCTGGCTATACTAAGAGTAGAATTAGCTCCTTCCTCCATTAAATTCGTCTTGACACTAAAACAAAATTGTATGCACGCGCTTAGTAGCTACAATTTTTTTTGAGATTGTAATCAAAAGTAATGTAATATTTTTGGAATCTATTTATATTCAATAATATCACATCTGGTTTCAAACTCAGCGAATACCACTTTAAGATCAGCTAATGATCATGCTAATCGATCAGATTTTATTGATACGTAAAAAATCACTGACGTATGTTGTTTTAAAAAAGTATCTAAAACTAGAATTTGATGAAATTACTCACCTAATGCCACCTCTTGTTGTATCATAGTTTAAAATTTTATTCCCATGAAGCCATTGTACAACGCTATACTGCACTTGCATAGCTACATGCCTTACAAGGCATAAAAGTTCTATTGTGCTGTCTGCTTCATAATATTTGTCTCTTATTTGTTTCCCCAAAGTGTCTACTATTTGTACGGATGGAGCTGTTAACACATAATATCATAATTTTGTAAATTTATTATTCACACGGCGAATAGTTATTATTAGCTTGTTTTACTTTTATAATGTCAGATATTAATCCGGTAGACATTATAATTGTTAGTAGTGGACTTATATTATTCTATTATTATAATTGTAAGGAATGTCTATAAGTAGATTGTGTGTTTAACAATTCAAAATTATTACAATCAAAGAAATCAATGCAATGCTTGAAATAATATTGAAACTAGAATAAAACTACAAAGGTTTTAGTGATAACTAAGTTATTACAAGTGGGCTAATTACGGAATGGGAGTATTATTTAGCTAAAAATTATTTATCTATTTCACTAATCTAGACGAGTCAAGAATAAATTTAGGTATTCCTTTATTATATTTAATTCCAATATCGCATTTTGTGTGTACTTTTTTCTATCCGTTATTAGTTGTCAATTTTCATCGACGTAAACAAAATTCTCCAAAATTGCAAATTAATAAATACTTGCCATTAATGTGCAAGTTTATATGAATGCATTTTGGCGGATGAGTTGTAATTTGACAATCATATTGGCCTTCGTCACTGCTATTCACAGAAACAATTTGCAGACGCCAATTGTCTGGGTATTGGAATTTAATATTGTACCGAGAATCACCGGTGTATGTAACACTGCCAACCGTCAATAATGTCATCTGTTCTCCATCTTTCTGTCGACGAACCCAAGATACCTGAAATAATAAATTAAAAAATTATGTACATGTTTCTGACCCTGTTAAAAATTCCTATAAAGGATTACACATGAAAACATTTATAAATATTACTTTACATTTAAATCGTAACAATTACTTTAGGAAACTAAAATATTCTAATTGAATTATCTTCAATTATGAGATACTTACGACTTTATCGTGAAGCATAGATATTTTGCAATCAAGAGTAACATTGGTACCAGCTTGTGCTGTAATATTTTGACTTGATCCCTCAAAATGTGGTCCCCAGTTATTATTGTGATAATGTTGATGGTGATTTAAAGCATTGTGTGAATCAAATATATAATTTAACATCGGTGAGTCAGTTGACGATGACTTTTTAAATGTTGCCTCACGATTGTCTATGATTTTCTTAGCAGCTTGAGTAACTTCTGTAACAAAATAATTTAACTTTTACAGTTTGTAACTTAGGTGATAGGAGATTCAGAACATTTAATTCTTTTACTTTGTAAATTGTATTACAGTTGTCAAAAGTATTGATATTAATGGTTTTTAATTATAATTTTAGCGATACATGGAAAGTACAAATTTGAGACATAAACATATAAAAAAAACTAATATTGTGACGATAGAAGTATCGTAGTATAGTCGGAGCTTTCGCTTCGAGAGAACCTCCTTGACTTCCTTGTTCCTCGTCTTCATAAACTCTCTGTGGGAGCTTCTGCGAGAGTTTGTAAAGATACCTTCCTACTACCAGAACTGAATAAGAAAAGCAAATGTCCACTGAATTTTAATAATCCAGTAATCTAACCAAACTTTTCGTCCTCGATAGAAACAAAACTTTCATCCAAATTTATCAAATTGAATTCCCCGTCACAAACAATGATAATAATCAGAGCGATATAATTATTCATTTCCTTGGGTATATCTTCATAGAGATTGCAAGTTGTAGCAGAAGAAATATTTGTAAGTGCCTGGAAAACTTTACCGCATCGAGAATAGTTGAATTTATTTCAGATTTAGTCATATACTATATCAATTTTTGTTGGTTAAATTATTGTTTTTTGGCCATTAATTTATCCTGAGTTTTTATCTAAATGGTCTCGAAATACCACACTTCAATGAAAAATGATCACAAAGTCAAGGAAATAAACAAGCATTCCCTGGGTCCTCCTAAGTCAGGTGTACGACAGAAATCAAATTTCCGCAGTTTGGCTTGCGTGGGTAATTTCGACTCATCTTTCATCTCGCCGAAATTTGGATGAGTATTTGTTATATTGATATTATCATTGATTCTATTGAATATTATTGAATTATCGCGATTTAACTAATGGTTTTTTGTATATTTACATTTGAAGAAAGTTCAAACAACTAGCTATTAAAACATACGAGTATCATTTTTGTATTAAAAAACAATTATCATATATAATACAATTATAAAGTTTATATAGTATCATCACTAAATTTGTTTAACTGTAGATATTTCAAATATCAAATCAAAGCAAGGATCACCACCATTCTCTTCATCTTTGATTAACTCTTCGTTGCTCAGTGCAAGTGTACTTTTGTTAGATCACGAAACTAGTTTACTATTTAATCAACTTGATTCAACAAATTCTAAAGCAAATAGTTATGAGGAAGGACTAATCAATCCTTGACTTCAAAGGGGAGAAGAGATCAAAGCAGTAGAACTCTTTCCATTCTATTTAAAAAAACATTTCACTGTCGTACTAGTGAGACCATAAGTATACTCTTTAATTCTTATTTGAAATTGCGAGAGAATGATATTGCGATAAAACTTACTAATAAAATTTTCGAAAATCGTTAAAAAAGTCAGGATGAAGGTACACTTTGGTCAATTTTATTGCATTAATATATTTACAAATTATTATATATCTGAGATATGTTTTCATTTTTTGTTTCAATTTAGCTCTGACAAATAATTTTAATATTTTACAGACACTTGGAATCAGTATTGCAAGAAATTGTTACAAAATACCAGTAAATTAAGAGCACCGAATTTGTCGAAGATTTTCATGCAGTGATTGAAGCTTGTTTCACTAATGATTTGAAAAATAATTACATCCATTGTATTTCTAACTTCCGAAAAACTTACGAAGGTCTCTCCATATCTGTTACTCCAAATGTCCATGCTGTTTTTTTTCATATCGAAGATTTTTGTACAAGGCAAGAAATGGTTTTAGGCTACTACTCAGAACAAGCAATGGAATACATCCAAAAAAATCTTGGTTATTTTGACTTTTCATAATAATTGACATAATAATTGGTTACCAAAAGAAATAATTTTTTTTGAAAACACTTGCGACCTACGACAGTTGGCAACAGCACATCTGTGACGTCAGGGCGTAGACTTCAACGTTCACGTATACGTCAGCCGATGGAGAACCAGCTTAAGAAATAGCTGATTACAATCTAAACTTTGTAGGCTCAAAAACTATTCTTATATACCCAGTTATGAAAAATGAGATTTAACTTCCCCTTAGTAAAAATCCTATGTACTCATCACGTACCATTGCTTTGTAGTCAGCAACTAAAAATCAATACTAGTTTATTACTAGCAAAAATTAATATAATTTTATATAAAAACAATTATTCATTTCAGACTAATTTACCTCTTGATGAAAATTAAAACAATTTATCAGTTTTGGTTTCTCTATAATTTAAGATATTTAATAAATCTTTACCAAGTTTCTAAATTCAGATTTTGAATTTCACCAGTAAAGTTTGTTGAAGCGAACGCAAGCCGTCACACCTTTCCGCACAAGAATGCAGAACGCCTTAATTATTAATATCGTGCCTGCATTGATTTATTTATTTAGTACTATTAAATACTTAATCTCTTAAAGTTTAATATGAAAATGAAATATTTATCATTTCAGTTTTGTTATAGTCAATGAATAAAAGATCAATTTAACGTTTCACTGTGACCATGTTTGTCAAAGTTATAATAATACAAATCAAATATGAAAATGTTTATCCTAATAATAGCTGTGAATTTGAAACACAATTTACGATCGTAATTTCGCATATATTTACGGTCATAATTATGTCTGTACTTGAAGTTGTATTTACGCCTCTACTGGTAATGTATAGTTAATTGAGGGAATAATTTTTATATTTAATAAAATGAGTAAATAGTTCAAATAAAATAGTAATATTATTTTTAATAAAATAATGTTTCGATCAAAATTAATATAAAAGGAAATTTATGTCTCTCTCAGCGCGAAGACCAGATTCGAAGTTGCTGGGGCTCTATTTGACAAAATTTATAAAAGAATTTAGCATGCGAATATCAGTTAATTTATAATTTAAAATTAACAAAAATTACAGGGAGGGAAGTTTGTGAACCCAATATAAAATAAACAATTAATCAACTTCAGGAATAAATAAATTTTAAAGAGGGTAAAGATGTTGGTGCTTTTTGAATTTTTAGGGTTCCGTACCCGAAGGGGGAACCCTATTAATGAGACTAATGAAGCAAGGCATGTACACCCCCCCCCCCCTAGCGGCCACACGAATTTATCTAGAGAGCTCAAATTTGGTACACTTATGTATTTTTACGTGAAAATTACAGGAAAAATATAGCAAACATGATTCAGACCGATTTACATAGCGTATTGTCAAGGAAAAATCAAAAATTTTGAAAAAAAGCGTTTAATCCTCCTAGCGCATACACTATTTGACCAAGACAGTTCATATTTGGTATACATGCGTATTTTTGCGTATAGATTACTGGAAAAATATAGCGAGCCCGATTGAAGTTGATGATCATATTGTTTTTAAGGAAAACTCATATTTTTAGAAAAAATCATGGATTTTTCGAATAAAAAAAGAAGAAAATTTTATCTTAAGGGATTCAAATTTATAAATTTTTACGTATTTTTATGTGTAGATTACAAAAAAAATATAGCGAGAACTATTGGAGTTAATTATCCTAGCGTTTTCAAGGAAATACATAATTTTCGATAAAAATCATGAATTTTCCTCAAAAAAACAAAGAAAATTTTATCTAAAGGGCTTCAAATTTATATATTTTTACGTGTATTACAAAAAAATATAGTGAGCACGATTGGAGTTGATTATCATATCGTTTTCAAGGAAAAACTGATAATTTTTGGTCTATGTGTCAATCTATGTATTTTCATGCCCACATCCAGGAAAAAAAGCAAAATTGGAATTTTTCCACCAGCCTTCACACTTTAACCCCCTCAAATTTTAGGTTTAAGGGTACGGAACCCTCGGTTTTAACGCGAGTGTAACTCGCACTTGTCCGATTTTTTTATAGTAGTAAGATGTTATGTTGTAGGTCCATCTACGTTGGGCCTCTTCAGATATTTAATATAACTGCAAAAAGATTGATTCCATATAGAAATACAATATTTAAATTTAATTAATTTGACTCTAACCCTATTATTCTACGACATTTTTTTAATCATTTAATTTCTCGCAATAACATCAAGAAATATTTTCCCGTCACAATAAAGTGTTTCAAAGTTACAGATATTTTTAGGGTAGTCATAAATAAACTTTTGATTACAGTTATATTTTTTTAATACGAGATACTATACAGGGAGGTATCCGGTCAATTTCCCGAAGACCTGTTTCCCGAAAAATAAAAGAAATTAAATACGTAAACTGTTATATTTTTAAATATGTATATGTAAAAAATACGCTAAAAACAATGGGGGAGAATTTAGTAGAATCAAAAATTTTTTATTTAAGTAAAAATACAATGGATAATAAGTTGTAATTTCTAATGTTTATTTCTGGTTGAAATTGTATAAACACAACGCGACGCGAAGAAAATATAATTTTTACGACTATATGGTTTTATAGCAAAAAAAAAGTTTAAAAAAAACTAAAAATCATGATCTTCAATTTAAACACCCCTAAAAATGTAAATTTTCCATTTTTTTTGTTAAATCGAGGTTTATATAGAAGACGCAGACATGTCCTGAAAGTAAAATAAAAAAAAAAAAAAAAAAAAACCCAACTGATTTCAGATAAAAACTGTGACCTGGAGAATCTACACAACCAGCAAGATCCAATTTCTTCATCCAATTTCTGACAGCCAATATCTACTACATTTCTCAATAAAATCGTCTATAAAAATTTGAATTTAGCTTAGTGTACGTACAGAATGACCTTAAAAGATTTAATAAAATGTATACATTCCTACTTTGCAGAAAAAGTCATAAAAGTCTTTTTCTTGAATTGCTGCTAACTTGTAATTTGTTTATAACATTTTTGAATATTTTTGATAGAATTTCCAAAAATAAAGTTGTTAAAAGCTCTAATTTTTATTTGATCGAATTACCAAAAGATCAAACTGCTTAAAGTTCTAAAGTTCGAACCTTTGATATTTAGGCCAAAGTAAGGCGGCTCAAGTAGAAGTACACTTAATAATTTGTGACTCAATTATTCTTTTTTACATCGTACTTAATAACAGCAATGATTGAGTTTTTTACAACAATATATAACGTCTCTCAGGTTGTGAAAAAATTTTACTACTCAATAAATAAGGACAATTAAATTCTGAACTGTCACTGTAAGCATGCGTGTATACTTAAGTCAGGATTTAAGTGTATATGTTCAAGAAGACTATAAATCGTCTTCTGAGTGTGAACAGGTTGTTTCCTATAGAGTTAAGTTATGTACATATTTGCATATTCATTGTAAGTGCGAAATGTTAAATTGTCCCAAAAAACTAGTTTAATTCTGAATAACAATAATTTCTAAACTATAAGACGAATGACTATGATCAAAGTGAATTCTTTTTAAATTTAAATTCACTTTTACATGTCGTCATCGTGACGTAAATATTAATAAATATAAATATTATAGCTCTTGGGAGACTTCAAAAAGTAAATTCCCGGAAATTTTTTTTGGGAGAATATTCCAAAAAATTTATTGGGTTTTACGTGGGTCCCTTTCTTAACAGTTAAATCATCTAAAATTAATCATCATCAGTAACTTCACCAGAAAAAATTCAATTAATAAATTTACCGAAAATACACCTGTTTCGCAATTTTGGGTCTGACGCCGGTTACATCATACAAGTAACGCGATTTTCCTAGAAGGCATAAAATCAGTACCACAAAAGGATAATAAATTTCTTACTGCAGGAAAGTCAAACGGATACCCAAGAGATATAAAGAAAGGATTTTAAAAAGACAATAGAGGAGGTTCTTCAAGGTAAATTTTAAATCTAATTGCATTGAAGGATTATTTGAGACACACATATATACATATAAGAATACATCTTTTTGAGATTTAAAAATATTATTATTGAATTTTTGAAATAAATAAATTAAAATTTTATATTTCTTTCATTCATTTATTTTTACTAACTCTTCTGAACTTATTGTTAGTTTTAATTAATTAAGTTGAATCAAGCATTATACACGGAGAAAAATGGAAAAACGAATAAAGTAACTTTTACTACTTTAAAAGTAAAATTGGACCTGTCCGAAGTTTCTGCGCATCTCTGGCAACTTTTACTCGAAAAATAGTAAAATTGACTATTTTTGTAGTAAATTTTACTGTTTCCGTAGTAATTTTTACTATTTCTGAAGTAAATTTTACTATTTTTGGAGTAAAAGTTGCCAGAGATGCGCAGAAACTTCGGACAGGTCCAATTTTACTTTTAAAGTAGTAAAAGTTACTTTTTCTTTTTTTCCGTGTAGGGAATATTGTAAGTTTATTAAATAGGAAAAATTTAAATACCCATTATAAAATTATTACATCATTTAGAACATAACGTACAGTTATTAAAAAACGGTGAATTATTATGGAAAACCTATTTATTAGAGTATTTTAATATTAATGAAAGTGTCAAAATTAAAAAATTATACAAACTACATGCTTCTTACCAGTATGAGAACTTGTAGATGAACACAATAATAAATAGATATGCAGTAGAAACTGTATCTTCCGCATGACTATTATTAAACAGTTAACTGTAAGTGTCCCCACTTACATGTCTAATGTTTAATTTTGACATCTGCAAAGTGAAAACATTAACAAGCATTAGTATTCGTGAACATATAAAACTTTTATAGTCTCTTGCGGGACGCATAAATATTCCCCACATTAAACCTGTTGGAATTTTTGTAGTCTCGAATTAAAAATAGTAGAATTTTATAAAGTAAATTGTATAATGAGTTCAATTTTCATATCGAAGAATTTCTATTCAACTAAATTTTGATTTAATAGAATTTCTATTTAACTTAATTTGTTCTTTTATCGAATTCTAATTATCCAAATATTATCTTGACAATATTTCCATTAAAATGGATAATTAGCCATTTTAACTGACATCAGATTCGTGGTCAGAAACCCCAAAAATCCCCGAGTAATTAATTTTTAACAAACTCTTTGAAATAAAGAAAGTCGCCATAATGGATCCACCATTTTGAATTTTTAAAAACCGACGTCGAATTTGTAATCAGCGACATCTCAAACCCCCCAACAGTAATTTTCGTGCTCTTTGTTTGTGTTATTGAATTTTTCCTTTTTTGCGACCATTTTGGAGGCGCCATTTTGAATTTTGAAAAAATTGTAACTGCAATTAATGCCTATCTAAAAGTTATAATATTTTGAACACGATATTTTGTTACTCTTGATATTTCCTAAAGATTTTTCGATTTGAAAATTTAGTTTGAAAGCAAAAGAAACAAAAAATTCATCTACTTTTTTTGTTTAAATAATTATAACTTTTTTCCCTTAAGTCGAATGTTAATTTTTCTTCCAGATACTGAAAGAGGACGCTTAAATACATGAGATCTGCCCTATGCAAATTTTTTTGTAGGTTGCCAACATCGAAAACGATTAGCGCGAACATAAAGAGAAAAAAATTAACCGGACGAAATTGGGTTAACTGAATTCTCATTTAACAAAATTTTTACATAACAAAATTCTCATTTAACAAAAAACTTTTATTAAAAAAAATTTCTATTGGATCTAATTTTTATTTAACAAAATTTTCATTTAACAAAAAAAAATATTTTTTATGAAATTTTTGCTATACACATTTCTTTTAAATGGAAATTGTATTATTTGAAAGTTCGATGTATTAGAAAATGTGCTTTATAAAAATTCAGTTAAATGGGAATTCTATTAAATCAGAATTTAGTTAAATAAAAATTCTTCAATATGAAAACTCGGCTCATTATAAAATCTACTAAAAATGATACTTTTTTATTCGACAACAAATGAATTCCAATAGGTCTAATGTGAAAAATATTCATGCTTCCACGAGAAAAAGGACCTTAGAGGTAGAAAATTTTAGGTTATGTTTTTGATTTTTGGATTGAATATTCAAAAAGATGATCAACTTTTAATACAAACAACTTATATTTATATCTTAATTAAAACCAAAATATTCAATAGAATCTGATTTTTTGATCTTATATAAATAAAAATGAACGTTTAATCAAGCTAAAAATATTACTAAACGTAACCTTAAATTTTTTGCTTTTAAGCTCTCTTTTCTCGTTTAGCAAGTACTGATCAAAAAACTGATTGAACGTTCAATCCGAAAGTTTTGTCAGGATTATTAATGCATCTTTTTTAATAGAGTAATGTAGTTCCGCAACTGTAAGCTGTGGGATTTGAATTTTTGACATTTTAAACGTCAAGCCAATGCAATAACTTTTAATTTTTGGACTGAAACAATCCAGGAATAATGCCATGTACATGACCTTGTACACGAATTTTCAACGTACGCGAACTTTTGCTATATATGGGTTGGGCGCGGAAAAGTAGGTTAAAAGTAGACTTTTATATTTTCTCTTGAATAAAGCGGATAAAATTAATAATAATTTTACTTTATAAGATCATTTGACAACCATAATGGACCATTATTTCTGAATATAAAATTTTATTAAAAATTTTGTTATCATTAACCATTTTTTTTAAATTTATTAATTAATAAAAAATTTACTTTTCTTTAGGTAATGTATGAAACTGTCTATATAATTGTGATATTGATTTTATTTTTAATTTTGACCATATAAAAGCTAGAAAATTTTCACAACAAATGAAAATAAAGATTGATTTCTTTAAACTTGGCAACGATGTTGCTAAGTGTTTTGTAGTTTTGATGTTAAATTTTTATTACCAGTGGAAAGAAAGAAAAACAGCAAAAATTAAATTCATGTAATTCATGACACCGGAAAAAGAATTTAAGTTTAGATATACGAGTAAGAAAATTTTAAGTGTTTACTAAAAATAATTGACAATTTTTGACATTTGTATATATTTCAAAAATTATGAAAAATAATTCCAACATAAAATGAAAACAAAAAATAGTATTAAAAATTTTAAATTCTGTAAACCAATCGATTTTTTCAAATTTCATTGAAATCGAAAAACTAGAGGCGACAACTTTGAATTTTTTAGACACTTTTTGACTGATACATTTATTGTAGTGTTTCACTTCGATCCAAGAAATTCAATTTTTTCGAACAATTTTGTTCATCTCGGGAGACGTCAAATGTGACAGCTAGAAATAAATTTAAAAATTTTTTTATATAGTTTAAACCATTTCTATACAGTAATACTCCATTGGTGGAAGAAAATAATCAAGTTCGGAGCAAACCTTGATCAAAAAAAGAGAAAATAAATTGTAGAAAAAATTTTTAAACATGGATATATTGAAGCACAAGAAAAATTGACGAAATGCGGAGCTTTAGAAAATTTATAAAAATAAATAGTATGAAGAATTAGCGTAAATAATAAATTAACTGTTATTAATATTAATTGATTACTGAAAACTTCTTTATCAATTTAACTATAAAAATAATTCAAAAGAAAAAGAAAAGTAAAAAATAAAAATATTTTTATTTTATGACATCGGATGTCGTAGCACGTGATAATTTAAGTATTTTAATAGAAGCAACAAGCAAAAACCCATAAAAATTTAAAGATCGACACGACAAAACTTATTGCCAAGTATTTTTTTTATTTCCTTTTAAATAAATTATTTAGTAATAGATTTTGTGGAAATTTCGGATGTCATAACCTAGTTGCCACCAGCAGACATTTTATGAAGCAAGTGCGAAGCAAAAAAAAGTGTCGTCCGTAATTGGCCGGACAAAACACGCGTTTTAACGAAAAACGCTTCACCATGACGCACAACTAATTCTAATTTTTTTAAACAATATATCAACGGTTTTCAATCTGTTTCATATTCACCGCATTTTGTACTCGCCAAATTAATACAACTACATTTCATTAAACAGAAAAAATTAATAATTATTGAAGTTATTGTCAAATAAGTGAAGGCTTCACCATGACGATTCTGTGATTCCCTATGTAAAATTGGCGCTTTAAAAGAAATTTAATTTTAAAATTTAAGATTTAAATAGTGAAATCTGCATTACCATTAATCGATAAAACAGATTTAACTGTTTCAATCAGTAAAGAATTTCACCAACTTTCAGTGAAATATGACTGAATTGAAGTGAAAATGTTACTAAAGTGATTCAGATTCTAACTATTTCATCAGTGAAATCACATTTAAATCTGTTTTACCGGTTACTGATAATACAGATTTAACTGTTCAAATTCGTAGTAATTCGACTTATTTTTAGTGAATTGTAATTGAATTTCAGAGGAAAACATACTGAAATAATTCAGTTGATAAATTCCAACTATTTCATCAGTGAAATCTGTTTTACCGATTATTGGTAATTCAGATTTGACTATATTTAAATCAGTATTAATTCCACTAATTTTCAGTAAAATATAACTGAATATCAGTGGAAATCTTACTGAATTAATTCAACTTTCAAATTTCAACTATATTACATCAGTATATCATTAATTCGAAATTTACAGAGTACGACGTCCTGAATATCCGGGTGCAATATGAGGGTGTCTTTTCTAAAGTTAGATAAAATTAACAGTTTACCATTAAATTTTGATATATAACAATTAAATGCTAATAGGCAATGTGCATAGAATAGTTTTATGGTAATGGAGAAAATAATTTATAGTGTTTTTTTTATTTTAAAATATACTTTTACACCCAAAACGTTAGCGATGAATATTGTATAATATCATAAAAATAGACCTTTAAAAGAAGTTTATACTTAAAAGTCCAGAAAAAGAGATTAAAATTATTAATAGCCCTCTGTAGGATCTTAAAAGAACAAAATATGTATATTAAATACAATTTTTAAAAAGTTTAAATATACAGTTTCTTGGAAAAACTATTTACATTTTCTAAATACATTTTTACTTTTTTCCGTTTTATAAAAATATTTTATTTTTTATAGTGTTAAAGTAATTAAATATAAAACGTATTTTGTAAATGTAAACAATTTTATAATTATTGAAAGATATTTCACAATATGTAAATTAATTTTATAATTAATTATTAAAACATATTTATCCAGAGAGAATGATAAAAAAAATTTCTTATAAAAATATTTAACTACCATTCTTCTTTTAATAAACTGTTTTATTTTTGCCATCTGTTAAGTGGTTGATGTTTTATTAAGTGTACTAAAAATGAATGAAAAATGTTTTGTCTTTTTTGCTCCAGAACTAATTACATTTTTATGATGAATAAACATTCATGCCTTAAAAATATTAAAATATAAATTATTTACCTTAATTTTTGTTTAATAATTATTGAAAACTACACAGAGATATTTTATTGAATTTTATCTCAACGTATTGAGATTATTAGTGGTATTTTTAAATTTATAATTAATAACGATTCTGAATAGTACTGTAGATAAAAATAACGTTTTAGAATAATTTAATTTATCCATATTTAATTTTAATTAAAACAAAAACATTATACTTTTAATTGTTCTTTTATAGTCAAATTAATGCAAGTTTAACGAATTATTTTTAATTTTAATTTAAATTCCCTTTATTTAGGTTAATTTATATTTTTTTAGAAATATTTTATTTATATAGTTTTTTGTATTTTATGAATATAAATTTACGACTTTTATGACACTTATTCACTTATTTAAAATATTTTCTGTTTGAATTTTTTTAATTAGAATTTTTTAATTGAACATGTTTATAGACGAGTGTTTTATAATTTAACTAGAATGGTATTTTCTTAAAATAAAAGAAAGAGAGTTGCTTTTATTAAATTAGACAGCACTTTTATTGAAATTTTGCACGATTGTGATTTAGATTACTGTATCAATGCACTTTGGAAAACGTGAATTTGGCAGATAGTAGTAATCTCATTGCTAGCAACGTGCTTTGTAAGGGGTGCGGCGAAACTGAGAACGGATAACCAAGTCTACTCTACTCTGCTATCTCTATTTGAAGGTGGTGTTCTCTTTCTCTCTTCACCTCTCTCTCGGTGTATTTCGTTTTACTTCGGTGGCACCCTCTCATTTACTCAAAGCTAACATTTGGCAAAGGAACAATTGTTACGCGCAAACTCCTTTTTCTGATAACATATATTTTTGTAATACAGGTTATTCTCTATTTTATTTAGTCGAATGTCTATTCGTTTCATATAGATAACTTCAAACATTTTTAAGATATCTTTATATTTATAGTCAAGGGAGTAAATTATAATAAATGCTTCCTGCTTCCCTAATGACTATTGATATGAAAAAAAAATTAAAATTCAAAACTGATAAATGACAAACATTTTTCAAGTCTGTATTCTGAGTAGAAAATGAAATTTCAAAAATTGACAAATAAAATTTCATTTTTTTGAATTGTCTTCAAAAAAAATCATTCAAATGATTTTTGATTAAAATCATTGATGATTAATAGTTTTTTGAATAATAAGTAAACTTGTAAATTAAGTTGATTTCAAGTAATAATAATTAGAGTATTCATTTCGCGGTTTTCAATATTTGTCAGAGTTGCGCCACACCCAGTTGGAACATTTTTAAAGAGTTCGATTCAAAGGAAACTAAAACTCTTAATTTCAATTAGTTTTTCTGATTGATTCATAGACAAAATTATAAATATGAAATTACATTATTTAAATTGGGAAAATTATAATCGAACCGAATTTTTCTCTAATTTTAATAAATTCTATCTAATTTACTAAATTTTAATAACATCGAATCGAGAAAAATATTCATTTCTATACTAACTTTTAAAAATAAACTAAAAATTACCAATTAATGATATTCAATAATTTTATAAGTTCAAATGAGAGATGCGGATTATTGATTAACCTGGGCTTTAATTAATTCGTTATTTTTTTTTATCACCTCCAAGTTTTGCTTGCATTTATTTTATGTTATCAGTAATATTTAATAATTAGAAAAAAGGTTTTTGTTACGTATTGTAACACAGAAATAATGGTGACAGTAAATATAATGAAATATAATTACTGTCTAAACATTTTTGAGTCTGGATTTTCATTCAATAACTCGGAAATACTTCTGTTCAAATTTATTAAATAAAATATTTGGATTTAAATCCATTTAATGGATTGGATTTCAATACATTTTCACTTTACTTTCACTCCATTTTCACTTCACTTTCATTCCACTTTCACTTCATTTTCACTTCACTTTTAGTCGATTTGAAGTCCATTCACTCCATCACTCTGAAGTGAATAAAGGAAAAGTGGAGTGAAAGTGATGTGAAAGTGAATTGAAAATCGAGTGAAAATGATTATATGTCGATAATGCAGAAAAGCAGAGTTTTTTTATTTTATGGCATTAAAAGATAAACTAATTCTGGTTTTTGAATAGAAACTTTTCAGCGTCTCCCATTTCGGAGGGAATTATTTGAGATCATAAAAAAATCATGAATATTTTCTCTTCAACGAAATTCATAATTTACAAATATTTTTTGAATTAAATATTTACGAAATATATTCGCCTAATGGAATACAAGTTGCAACAAATATGAGTCCAACTTTTTTCTGTGTTAAACATTTATAAAATATTAAATTAAATTCCTTTCAAGTATTCAATAGTTTTATAATTAAAAATATACATTGTCATATAATTGTAAAAATTTATTACAAATTATGTTTCAACAATTGTAATTTTTTACAATTCTTTTTATTAAATGTATATTTCAATTGTAACCATTATAATCATAATGATTTCTTTTGAACTTTTAATAAAATAATATTGAATATTTATTTTTATAATAACAATTTTGGGAATTTCCAGTTTAGGGTAAGCGATAAATTAATTTACAAAAAAATATTTTTGAAGAAACTATAATTTAAAGAGAGTTATAAAGTTTTTAGCAAACGGAATAATTAATGTTAATTAGTATTAAACAATGTTAGAAAATTATCATCATTTTTGCAAAATTAGGAAACTTTTGAAACGAATAGAATGAATTGCCACTCTCATAAGAAAAGATTATCGCTACTATTCAGTTAAAACACTTGACTTAAATACGCCCCCCAAATTAGACCTGTTTACAATAAACTCATTGACAAATATCTTTCATTATAAATATTAATAATTGCAACTTAATTTAACACAGAAAATGCAAAAATAAATCATTTGAGAGTTAATCTATTAAATTCAATAAAATTTTTCTTTCATTTTCCACATTATTTCCACTCGTAACGAATGTGCGACGATTCTGTCGCACATTGCGAAGCCAAGATAGAAAGTTGGAACCGTAAGGAACCCGGCTGAAAAAACTTGTAATTGAAATGAACTTGTACATTTTCTTGTACATGTTCAAGTAATGTTCTTGAACAAGTTCAGCATCCCCTGGTCAAGAAAATGTATACATGTTCTTGTACATATTTCTTTGTGCAGGTTTTATGTAAATTTTCTTGTACCAGATGTGGAACATGTTCTTGTACATGTTCATTTATGTCTTTTAAATTAAAAATTAAAAACTTTAAAGGCTGCGCAGTAGTTTTCTTAAGCCTTTACAGGTGCGCAATAATTTTTAGCATGTGTAAGTGAAGAATCTTAATAATTATAACTTATTAAAATTTCAAATTTTTTTCAAAAACATTTTTAAACAAATGTTCTTGTACAAGAACATAAACGTGTTCATGTAAAAGTACTTGTACATGAAACCTGCACAAAAAATATGTACAAGAACATGTACATTTTCTTGTACAAGTATATTTTCTTATCCAGGATCTTGTACAAGTTCTGGTACAAGAACATGTCTCAATTCCGGATGCTGAACTTGTTCAAGAACATTACTTGAACATGTACAAGTTTTTTCAGCCTGGAACTTCCTCCATTTTTTATTATTTTTCTTAAAACCATCCGATCCCTAATTTTCCAGCTCTTTTTTCCATTACTTAAGAATTTTCTTTTCCCAAATTTGGAGATCATTAGAATATTAAGTGGGGACAAATGTTAAGAAACACAATTCAAATTCGAAAAAATTCGAAATCAAGTTCTCTTCAAAACATTTAATCATCCAGTTCAAAGACTTAATCATTCATCTGATTCCAATCAATAGTTCAGTACTACAAGTTTTGAATTTTAAAGTTCGAATTCAGTTCAAGTTTCCAATCCAATTAAGAAGTTTCCTGAATTATTTTCAATATTAATAAAAAAAGTAAGTTTTCAAAAGATTATTAATTCTTTCTCTAAACGTTTTAACCCAAAATTATCGATTCCGAAGAATTTTTTTGTTCATTTAGTTGACAATTATTTCTTCTTTTTTTCCAATATTGATTACTAATTTAAAATAATTATTTTACGTTCTGGACCTAAATTCATTAGTGCTTCTATTTAGTAGTTGCTAATGAACTTTTATATATACCTGTATTATAATTTTCTAAATGTAAACAAAATTTAACTCGAATGGATATATTTTATAAAATAATAATAATAATATTTAAATAAATTATTATTATTTTATTAATTTATGTTACTTTTTCACGAACGTAACACTAGCAACATTATTTCAAACGCTATAAGTGGCTTTTCTGCTCAACTGAAGAGAGAGAGAGAGAAAGAGAGAAAAAAATTACAATTACACTGGAACACTGATTATACGGAAAGCACGGGCGTGTATCCATATAATCCGGATAGGTCACCATCATGAAAAGTATGTGAAAAAAATTTTAGCTACTCGAACTCGACTGTTCCATTCTCGTCCCATTTCAGCGCCAACATTTTCCATATAATCGGAAATTCAATGTACTTGGTAATGATGATATTACTATAGAGGAGATTAATAAAAGATTTCTAAATTGAATGACATTTTTATAATTAATTAATTTGTATATATTTATTTTTAGATTTTTTTTTTAAATCTGAATGGAGAATAAGAAAATTTTCTATAAAGTTAAAAGGAGAGTTATTATTTTATTTACACTTGACTTTTACAGCCTATCGCGTTTTACAAGTTTTTCCCTAGAACCCTATTATCTATTGCATCTATATAAACCAACTTAAATTAGAAGTACTTGCATTTGCTCTGAACTACCCATTGAGTTTTCTTGCCAGAGGAGGGAAAAAGCTGTAGAAGACATCTCCTGAGTGCAACCGGTTTTATCGACAGTCGAGTTTCAGCGATAAGCACCGGATAATTTTCTCGATATAGTAGACACACACCCCACCGTTATATACCTCGTTGTCAAATCTCCCGCTGTTGTTCCAAGCATGTATAAGTAGAGTTCTTATGAGTTTAGTTTAAAACTTCCTTACATTTTCTACGTTTTACCATATATATGAACATGTACATATCTATTTACTCTTAAGTATCTAAATGTGAAAATATAGATAAGTCCAAATTTTGAGAATGAGATTATTAACTGAGAAAAATAGAAACTTAAAGTTTCACAAAAATTAAATATCTACCCGCGCATATAAAATTAATACCTCCCTAATAAGA